GAGACGGAGCGACGAAACTGCGCTTCGGAATCCGTGTGCAGTGTGCCGACGGCGCGCGGACGGACACAGACATAGAGACGCCTCGCGCCACGCGTGCCTTTGGCTGAGTGGTGAATGACCGAAAAAGCCAACAAGGAGTTTGGAAAACGGTGTGAAAAAGCGATTAGGATATTGTTATACTTTTCGGCCTGCGCACTCATCACATCAGCCCACCACCACCACCACCACCCCGCCCTGTGATTTATGAAGGGGAAACACGGCTCAGCAGTGTACCCGCTTGTTGTTGTTTTTGATGATGATTCTGTGCACCTTCGCTGCTTTTCCTCGGCTGTGAATGGGTCCGACCGTCACCGACGCTTTCTCCCCACCGCCTTATCTGCCCGCAGCGATCCCGTTTTGCACTCGCTTTTGTTTTAAACATGGCCGCTTTTCAGATCATGACAACTGCCCGACAACAAAAGAGAAACGACCCGTCGAAAAGCCCCAGCAAAGAAAATGAGACGAATAAAGAAATTAGAACCCCCGGGGGCATTATTCTGCTCGAGGAATTATTTTGGATGTTCCCCTTTGGCTGCCGTGTGTACCCACTCCCTGCTGGCTGGCACAGTGGCACGCTGCGATGTGTGATCTGCATGCCGCATGCCAGGTTCCCCCCCCCCCCCTTCTGCTCCCTCCCCTCCATTTGTCTCCCGCCTGCCCTGATCCGCTATGCTCTCCGCCAACCTACTCTGAGAGGCGACGGGTCTTCCGATTTCAAGGCTGCCGGTCCTCGTCGGTCGGCTTCCAGGCCGCGGATGCCGTGGGCTCCAGGCTCCAGGCTCCGGGCTCCAGGCTCCGTGCCACGGCCCGGCCTCGACAAAGTTGCTTGACCTCGCCATTTTACGGCCTCGTCATCCTCACCCGTTGCCGTGTGGATATGGGGCGCGACAGGCTGGGGTTCGACTCCCAGCAATTCTTTACATTTTAGGAGTGGCTCCACGGTGTGGGCCGGGCGGCCGGGCGCCCGCGAGACGGCGGGTAGGCAACCCGCTGGCGGGTGGACACAGCTGTTTGCCGGGCAGGCCTACCCCGCGCTCGGCAGGGGCTCCGGACCGCGCGACGACGCGGAGCCGAGGAGCAACATTTGGCAGTGCGTGGCAGCGTGGCAGTCCACAGCAGTGCACGAGCATGCGGTTCGAGCGCGCGCAGGCAGTGCAGGCGGCAGCGGGTGGGACGGTGGTGCGCGCTGCGGTCCCGCATCGCAGTTTTGCCCCAGCTGCCAGTGCCGTGACACGCTTCCCAGGACTTGGGGCGCTGCCGCCAGGACCGCCAGGACCTCCAGGACCGCCAGGACCGCCAAGACCGCCAGGCGGCGGAAAAAAATCCCTCCTTTCTGAATTCTTCGAGGCTTTCTTTTAGAGAAAGCCAGCGCCCCACACGCCCGCAGGCCTACAGGCCCACGGGCATATAGAGCGCCAGACGAATGATTGCCAAGTTCCAACCAAGCGCCCGGTTAACTATTCACGGCCTTACAGCGTCCTGCCCGGCCCTGCCCGGCCCGGCCGGGGGCATCGGGGTAGCGTGCGTGCGTGTGTGTGAGAGAGAGCGTCAGTGTGTGGGGCTCACTAGGTAGGTAGCACAGCTTTGATGTCTGAGCCAACCGAAAGTCCCCCCCCCCCCCACACACACCGCACTCCTGATTCCGTGGACGCGGCGCGCGCGGCGTGTGAAAGCCTCCAAGATCCCTCCCACCCACTGCACCTCACCCTGCCCGCCCCTGCCGGTGCTGCGGCATCTGGCCGCGATCCGGGACGCCCCTGAGCTATGCCGTGCAGCCGGGCCTGCTTGTTGTTGCTGGCCTTGCTGTTGTTGCGAGGCAACTTGGCGAATTACTCGCGAGGGCACCGCACCGGCCGCCCCCGGCCGCCACCGCACGGCCCGGCACTAATTGTGCTATTAATGCCACATGGCCGGCTGCTTTGGCGGCTCGGGCGCTCTGAGCGTTTGCTACCGGCGACGAGATATTGCCCGGTTCTAGGCCGACTCACCCAGGTGTGATTGACCCAAAGCATTTTCACCCATACGCTATTCACCCCCAAGTATTTCACCCAGGTGTAATTGACCCACGTGCGATTGACCCAGAAAGCTGTTCAGCCGGATTTTTTTTTTACTTTTTTTAGCTATATAGCTCATAAGGCCCTCCGAGCTACCAGACTAGTTTTCCCTGGCCCTCCCAGCTGCCGGAATACTTTTCCCTGGCCCTCCCAGCTGCCGGAATACTTTTCCCTGGCCCTCCCAGCTGCCGGAATACTTTTCCCTGGCCCTCCCAGCTGCCGGAATACTTTTCCCTGGCCCTCCCAGCTGCCGGAATACTTTTCCCTGGCCCTCCCAGCTGCCGGAATACTTTTCCCTGGCCCTCCCAGCTGCCGGAATACTTTTCCCTGGCCCTCCCAGCTGCCGGAATACTTTTCCCTGGCCCTCCCAGCTGCCGGAATACTTTTCCCTGGCCCTCCCAGCTGCCGGAATACTTTTCCCTGGCCCTCCCAGCTGCCGGAATACTTTTCCCTGGCCCTCCCAGCTGCCGGAATACTTTTCCCTGGCCCTCCCAGCTGCCGGAATACTTTTCCCTGGCCCTCCCAGCTGCCGGAATACTTTTCCCTGGCCCTCCCAGCTGCCGGAATACTTTTCCCTGGCCCTCCCAGCTGCCGGAATACTTTTCCCTGGCCCTCCCAGCTGCCGGAATACTTTTCCCTGGCCCTCCCAGCTGCCGGAATACTTTTCCCTGGCCCTCCCAGCTGCCGGAATACTTTTCCCTGGCCCTCCCAGCTGCCGGAATACTTTTCCCTGGCCCTCCCAGCTGCCGGAATACTTTTCCCTGGCCCTCCCAGCTGCCGGAATACTTTTCCCTGGCCCTCCCAGCTGCCGGAATACTTTTCCCTGGCCCTCCCAGCTGCCGGAATACTTTTCCCTGGCCCTCCCAGCTGCCGGAATACTTTTCCCTGGCCCTCCCAGCTGCCGGAATACTTTTCCCTGGCCCTCCCAGCTGCCGGAATACTTTTCCCTGGCCCTCCCAGCTGCCGGAATACTTTTCCCTGGCCCTCCCAGCTGCCGGAATACTTTTCCCTGGCCCTCCCAGCTGCCGGAATACTTTTCCCTGGCCCTCCCAGCTGCCGGAATACTTTTCCCTGGCCCTCCCAGCTGCCGGAATACTTTTCCCTGGCCCTCCCAGCTGCCGGAATACTTTTCCCTGGCCCTCCCAGCTGCCGGAATACTTTTCCCTGGCCCTCCCAGCTGCCGGAATACTTTTCCCTGGCCCTCCCAGCTGCCGGAATACTTTTCCCTGGCCCTCCCAGCTGCCGGAATACTTTTCCCTGGCCCTCCCAGCTGCCGGAATACTTTTCCCTGGCCCTCCCAGCTGCCGGAATACTTTTCCCTGGCCCTCCCAGCTGCCGGAATACTTTTCCCTGGCCCTCCCAGCTGCCGGAATACTTTTCCCTGGCCCTCCCAGCTGCCGGAATACTTTTCCCTGGCCCTCCCAGCTGCCGGAATACTTTTCCCTGGCCCTCCCAGCTGCCGGAATACTTTTCCCTGGCCCTCCCAGCTGCCGGAATACTTTTCCCTGGCCCTCCCAGCTGCCGGAATACTTTTCCCTGGCCCTCCCAGCTGCCGGAATACTTTTCCCTGGCCCTCCCAGCTGCCGGAATACTTTTCCCTGGCCCTCCCAGCTGCCGGAATACTTTTCCCTGGCCCTCCCAGCTGCCGGAATACTTTTCCCTGGCCCTCCCAGCTGCCGGAATACTTTTCCCTGGCCCTCCCAGCTGCCGGAATACTTTTCCCTGGCCCTCCCAGCTGCCGGAATACTTTTCCCTGGCCCTCCCAGCTGCCGGAATACTTTTCCCTGGCCCTCCCAGCTGCCGGAATACTTTTCCCTGGCCCTCCCAGCTGCCGGAATACTTTTCCCTGGCCCTCCCAGCTGCCGGAATACTTTTCCCTGGCCCTCCCAGCTGCCGGAATACTTTTCCCTGGCCCTCCCAGCTGCCGGAATACTTTTCCCTGTATTGACTTTCGGCCTATTGGGTTTTGGGTGAATAACGTCTGGGTGAGTGGGCCGGACCCCTATTGCCCGGCTCGCGCGCTCGCGCTTCATGCCCGGGTTCGATCCCCACACGGGGGGTACCGCCCGGCGAGTGCCTCTTGGCCTTGTCGCGAGCCGACAGCTTGTCAGCTCGGCCCCAGCTCCAAGTTGGCCGTGCGGTCGGCAAGACGTCGACGCTGCCCGCCGTCACCACGCTGGCAATCGTGACCGGGCTGTGCTGCTCGGCTGTGCCCAGTTCGACGAGGAGCGGGGCTGCGGGGCGAGGGGAGGGGAGCCGTCCGTGCCGCGCGCCGCGTGCGCATGTGTTACGTGTTGGCAATGACAGTGGAAATCCTAACCGGCTCGGCCGCCCGCTCGCACCTGGGGCACACAAAGCGAAGGGCGTGCCGTCCGCACGGATCACGTTACCCTGGCCGCCCCACCCCGCCCCACTCCGCCCCACCCCGCCCCGCCCCACCCCGCCCCACCCCGCCGCGCCCGGCGGGGAAGGCTGCTGCGCCTACTTCTGCTGCCCCACCGCGGCGCGCCGCTCGGAGCACTTCCCTTTTTCACCGAAACTCACTGCCGTTGTCAATATGTCTGCTGTCAGGCCGCGGTCGCAGCGGAACACAATCACATTTTATTGCTTTTTTTCCGCTCACGTCCGCCACCGCGCCGCCCCGCCGCCGCCTCCGCGCGTCCGTGAGGATGGAGTTGTTGAGCGAGTTTCGCGGCGTGGCGGTGACTTGATCGACAACTTTGCTTCGCTGTGTGATTGCAGATGAGCCGGGAGCTGGCGCTGCTCGTGCTGGCCGTCGCGCTGGTGGGGGTGGTGCCCCCTTCCGCCAGCCCCGCCAGCCCCGCCAGCCCCGCCAGCACCCCGGACGAACCGCCACCGGACCTGCCGGGCCCGGAGGCAGACCCGCCGCCCTGCGACTTCAACTCGATGTGCTCGTGCGCCGCCGGGGAGGTGTCTTGCATCGGCGTGCCGCTGCACAGCATGCCAGGTACAACGCCAAGCGTTCCCCACAGCTCCGATCTCACCGGGGCGACTATCTCAGCCCCACAAAAATTTAATTGGCCATCCAGAATGCAAAAAAAAGGACCTAACGGGTCCTTACGTCCGTCTAGAGAGCGGTGCACGGCCAGCACACTTCGAACGTCGTCCTTCTCGCCGCAGAAGGCGTGGAGCGTTGCCTCGGGTAGCAATGTGGCGGTGTGAAGCACACAGGGGTGTGGAGGGAGGGGAGGGAGACATTGCGAATTCATGGCCAGCGAGAAGGAGCCGGGGGGGGGGACGTCGGGCGGTGGCGGGGAAGTTTTATATATTCACCTGGCCCTGGCCGGACCCAGTCCGACGCCCGGCCCAACGCCCAGCCCTGCAACCCACACCGCCGACTGAAAGGCATTCAAAATACGGCGCGCGGAAAGCACTCCCCCTCCCCCTCCACCTCGCTCACCGCGAGGAACGCGCCACACCGCGTACACCTTGCCATAAGTTGTGTGTGGGACGAATGGAACCACCGCGCGCGCTTATTTCTTTCTTTTCAGTCGCATTTTCCCCTCTCCACGTTTCCTCTTTTCTTTCATTTTGACTGCTTGCGTGTTGAAGCGCTGCCGCGGCGCGCCCTGCACCACGTCGAGGTGATGCAGTCCGAGCTGACGGCGCTGGAGGACGCTGCCCTGGCCGGGACGCGAACCGCCAGCCTGCGGCTCATCGGGGACGGCCTGGTGGTCATCGCGCCGCACGCCCTCGCGTGAGTCCAGCGGTCGGGCCGCACCGCCAATCTACATTGCAGTTTGGTGTGATACTTTGGTTCATCCCTGTGCTTCTTCCTCAGACCCCTGGCAGGGGAGCTGCGTTCACTCGACCTGAGCTACAACCAACTGCAGGAGGTTCCCGCCGCACTCCGGCCGCTCAAGTCGCTGCACTGGCTCAGTCTGCACGGGTAAGTACGACACCACGGCGGTTCCAAAACTGGTCGCAGACCGTTGGAAAGCATTGCAGATGGCCAAACTCACCTCCCATCTGCGCAGTAACCAGCTGACGGCCCTGAACGTGGACTGGGGGCACCTGCGCGACACGCTGGCCAGCCTGTACCTGGGCGAGAACGACCTGACCGCCCTGCCGGACCGGCACGCCCGGCCGCGCGAGCCCAGCGGCCACGCCGCCCACCGCCACCACCGCTGGGCCGAGGGCGGCGAGAACGACGTGCTGACCGACGCGCAAGGTGAGGCCCTGGGTTCGAACACCGACGCGCCAATCCGTTTTCGCCCCTAACACTGCTGTCCAGGTGCGGGCAGCTTGGCGGAGCTGCGTCACCTGCACACGCTGGAGCTGGACAACAATCACCTGAGCGTGCTGACGGCGTCCTCGGTGCCCGCGTCGCTGCGCTCCCTGTCCGCGCAGCACAACGCCCTGGTGCGCGTGCCCTACTCGCTGCTGGAGCCGGGCGGCCCGCCGCGCCTGCAGCACCTCATGCTGCGCGGCAACCTGGTCCGCACGCTGCCCCGGGCCGGCCTCCGCGCGCACAAGGCCCTCGACAGGCTGGACCTCGCCGACAACAACATCCAGGTGGGCAAGGCTTTTCCACCGTCCGCCGCGACACTGCGCGGCACTGCACGGCACGGCGATTGCCGTGGCTTTGAATCCTCCCGATGTGATGGAGCGCCTGGATTAGCAGTGGCGGAGTGGCGCCCCCGCCCCCCCCCCCCCCTTCCCGGCCACTTCGCTCTCTTTTCATCCCTGGACCGGCCGCGGCCGCGCACCGAATAAACAACTTAAAGCGCGCGGTCCGAGCCGAGCTGGCGGGGCGGGGCGGGGCGGGGTGCGGCGGGGTGCGGCGGGGTGCGGCGGGGTGCGGCGGGGTGCGGCGGAGCAGCAAAGGACTCCCCCCGGCCCTGCGGCCCTGCGGCCCACCCCCAGCGCGACGAGTCCCGCAGGATCCGCCGCCCTCTCCTCGGCCAAGGCTGGTGCCTTCAACAGGATTATTTCTGCGCGTTTTGCCCATCTCTTCGCCTTGCTCCTGCTCAACAGGATTTGGCCCGGTCCCCGTTGCTTCTCGTTCGCGATGATGATGATGACCGCAGGAAAGAGCCGGGCCGGGCCGGCTTGATAATAGGGGCGACCGCGGCCAGGCGTGCACGCCGAGCGTTCGGCTCGGCCGCACCTGATTCGGGAATTAAACCCGTCCGCCGTTCCGAACGGTCGCTCTGTCTCTCTCGCTCGCACGCGGCTTCCCGTAGCGGTGCGAGAGAGACAGAGCGCCGAGTTCGGAACGAGACTACCGTGAGCCGTGGAGCCAGTCCAGTGGCTCGCAATGAGCATCCCCGCCCGGTCTGCGCACTCCGTCATGCCCAAGCCGTCTCGAGGGCCCCGCCGCCCCCGCCACCCCCGCCGGCCCCGCTTTCTCTCTGTGTGTGAGAGAGAGATAGAGCGAACGCGCCACCGAGTATTTTTATAATCATCCCCGTTTTGTAAAACGGCGAGCGTTTTTGTCGTTTTGCCGTCACCTCGAAGCCGGGATGAAAATTTATGAGTTTCCTAGGCGAGGCCGGCGCGAGAGGTTGGGCGGGGAGGGAGAGAGAGAGAGACAGACTCACCTGCGGGGCCGCGGGGCCGCGCTCCATTCACAGGCAAGTGGGCCGTCTCCGGCGTCCCCGCCGCCGTCGCGTCCCTCCGTCTTCTTTTCACTTCTCGACGCTCTAGGCTAATTTGCAATTATGTCGTAATTGCCTCGTCTCCCGGCCATATTTATCGCTCGCGTTTCGCGCACAGCTCACAGCGGCGGCCGAGCATCCGAGCGGCCCGCCCTTTTTGCCGTCGAATTTGGCAGCTTATTTTTCTTGTTGCTGATGCCACTGCGGCCGGGCTGGCCGGGCTGGCCGGGCAGCTGGCGCGGCTGGCGCGGCCCCCGTTGGGGCCCGCTGGCCGTCGGTCGCCGTCGTCGCGCACCACTCCGCTTCTTGCCCCTTTCCGCTAATTCACCTCCGCCTCGGCTTCTTTGCAATTTGATTTATATTCCAAGTTGTCGAAAAAAGGGGTAATTCGCCTGTGAGCCGCTTTAATGGAATTATGAATCTGCCACCGGTGGTGCCGTGGCGGCGTGGCGCCGGGGTGCGGCTTCCTGGGAGGGGGTTAGGGGAAGGACGTTTAGAAATTCGTCATGAATTAAAATACCAAAGTGGAATAATCCGTCCTCTCAGCGCTGCGCTGAGCTGCGCTGGGCTGCGCCGCGGACCCACCCTCCCGGCCAATGACCACCGCCTCACTAATCCCGCGTTCCGCCGTTCCGCTCGCAGACGCTGCCCTCGCGGTGCTTCAACGGCACGCTGTCGGTGCGCGACCTCCGCCTGGACTCCAACTCCCTCCGCGCGCTGCCCGCCAACGCGCTGGAGGGCTTCGGCACGGCGCGGCTCTCGCTGGCCAGCAACCGGCTGGAGTACCTGCACCCGGCGGCGCTGCAGGGCCTGGAGCACTCGCTGGAGCACCTGGACCTGGACGGCAACGCGCTGCGCGTCTTCCCCGCCGAGGCGCTGGCCAACCTGACGCGGCTGCGCTCGCTGCTGCTGGCCAACAACCGCCTGTCCGAGGTGGGCGGTGACGCGATGGCGGGCGTGGCCGGGACTCTGCGAGCGCTGTCCCTCGCCGGCAACGACCTGCATGCCCTGCCGCTGGCCGCGCTGCGGCGCTGCGTCGCGCTGTCGCACCTCAACCTGGGCTACAACGGCATCCCCAGCCTGCACGCCGAGGACCTGCGCGGCTGGGGCGCGTCGCTGGACACGCTGCTGCTGGCCAGCAACAAGGTCGCCAGCCTGGAGGCGCGCGCCTTCCGCCACGCGCCGCGGCTGCGGGAGCTGAACCTGTCGTTCAACCGGCTGGCCGGGCTGCACGCCGACGCCTTCCTGGACCTGGCGGCGCTGCAGAGCTTGGAGGCGAGCTTCAGCCTGGCCGAGCTGGACCGCTTCCCGGAGGACGCCCTGCGGCCGCTGGTGGCGCTGCGGTGGCTGGCGCTGGACAACAACGACATCCGCGCCATGGACAGCGGCGCGCTCAAGACCCTCGCCAACCTCGAGTTCCTCAACCTGGAGGACAACTTGCTGTCCGAGCTGCCGCCGGGGCTGTTCGGGCCGCAGCACGCCCGCCTGCGTGAGCTGCGCCTCGGCGGCAACTCGCTGCGCGCCGTGCGCACGGCCGACTTCCGCGGCCTTCGGGGGCTGCGCACGCTGGTGCTGTCCGGCAACCACATCAAGGTGGTGGAGTCCGCGGCGCTGGAGGACCTGCCGCGGCTCGAGACGCTGCTGCTGGCCGACAACGGCATGACGAAGCTGCAGCCGGGCGCGCTGCGCAACCTGCCCGCCCTGGCCACGCTGGACCTGCACCGCAACCGCCTGCAGGTCTTCTCGCTGAGCGCCTTCGTGAACGTGAGCCGCCCCGAGGCACCCCTCGCCATCAACGCGTCCTGGAACCGCGTGGCGGAGCTCTACTCGGCGGACACGGAGGGCGCGCCGCTGTACGTGCACACCCTGGACCTGAGCCACAACTTCGTGGCGGAGCTCAAGACCAAGTTCTTGTCGGGCGTGGGCGCGTCGCTGCGCCGCCTGCACCTCGCGCACAACCGCATCAGCCGCCTGGACGGGCACGTGCTGGCCGCCCTGCAGTCCCTGGAGCTGCTGTCGCTGCAGGACAACGACCTGGTCACGCTGGCGCCCAGGGCCTTCCAGGGCTGCGACATGCTGCAGGTGCTGCTGCTGCAGCGGAACCACATCGACGCGCTGCAGCCCGAGCAGTTCGCGAGGATGGCCAGCCTGCGCGTGCTGGACCTGTCGCACAACCGGCTGCGCGGCGTGCCCGTCGGCGCGCTGGAGGCCACGCCGCTGGAGAGGCTGGACCTGTCGCACAATGACCTGGCGGCCGTGCCGAGCGGCGCGCTGGCCGAGGTGGGCGGCACGCTGCGGTGGCTGGGGCTGGCCGGCAACGCGCTGCAGCACCTCGACGGCACGGTGTTCGTCGCCACGCCGGGGCTGCGGCACCTCGACCTGGCCGCCAACAAGCTCACCTTCCTGCCGGACAACGTGTTCTCGCCCTTGGGCGCGCTGCTGTCGCTACAGCTCGGCCACAACCCGCTGCGCGCCAACCTGGCCGAGCTGCTGCACTACGTGCACGGCCTGCGCGCGCTGGGCCTGGACGCCGTGGGGCTGCGCGCCGCACCGCCGCTGCTGCTGCCGTCCCTCGTGGTGCTCAACCTGTCCGGCAACGCGCTGGCCGCGCCGCCCGCCGGCATGGCCAAGCTGCGCGTGCTGCACCTCGCCGGCAACCGCCTGGCCGCGCCGCCCAGCGCGCCCTTCCCGCTGCTCGCCGACCTGGACGTGTCCGACAACCCCATCACGGTGAGCCCCGTCGCGGTGAGACAGCGGGCGAGTTTGGCAAGGAAGTTGACGGTCTGCTTCACTCCGCAGAGACTGGGGCGCGAGAGCTTCGCCGAGGTTCCGCGCCTCGCCACGCTGACGCTGCGCGCGCTGCCGCTGGACACCATGGAGGCCGACACGCTGCAGCCCCTGCGCCTGCTCCGCGTGCTGCGGGCAGAGGCCTGGACGAGGCTCGGGCCGCACGGCCTGGGCGCGGTGCTGGGCGCGGCGCCGTCCCTCAAGGTGCTGGCCTTGTCGGTGGGCGCCAAGACGGAGGCCTCGCCGCTGCCGCCGCACGTCCTGGGCGGCGCGCTGCGTTCCGGCGTCCGCCGCGTCGAGCTGTCCGGGCCGGGGCTCAAGTCCCTCGGGCCGCACAGCCTCGGCCGCGACGTGCCCGCCGACCTCCGGCGCTTCACCCTGCAGGTACTTGGCGGCCACTTCCGGGCCACTTCCGGCTGGAGGCAGTCCGCGGCAGGCGAGGCAGCCGAGGCCGACTTGTCCGACTTGTTGCAGGTGACGGGGACACAGCTGGCCGAGTTTCCGGCCGCGCTGTTTGTGCGACTCGCCCACATCCCTCATCTGGCGCTCGACTTCCGGGAGAACGGCCTCAGCAGCATGGCCCCGGAGACTTTCTACCGGAACTCGTCCTCGTGGGAGCGCGCCGGCACCACCCTCATTTCCGGTCAGTGCGGGCCCCTCCAGCCCCTCCTGCCCCTGTAGTACGCTGCGCCACACACCCCGCCCCGCCCCGCCCCGCCCCTAGTCGTCATCCGCCGCTTGTCTCCATTTCCGGGGTTCAACGTCGCTTTTGTGCCGGCCCCGCTGTCAAAGGGCCAAGCACGGTGGGGCGCGGCGGGGCCGGAAACACTCACATCTCGCAGACCGTCGCAGACACTGCAAGCCGCGCAAACTCGATCCTTCCGCCCCCCGCGCCAAATTGCCGAACGACACGGGCCAAAGGGCCAAAGAGCCAAAGGGCCAAAGAGCCAAAGGGCCAAAGAGACGGCACCCATTTTTCGAGGCGCCGGCCGGGCTGCCTTGGAATTAGCAGCCTTTAGCCGGGGTGGGATGGCTGGCCATCACAATTGTCCAAAACGGCATCTTTCTCTGTGGCTGTTTGAGCCTGGAACAGCGTGGCTGTTTCAGTCTCGAACAGCGAGGCTGTTTCAGCCTCGAACAGCGTGGCTGTTTGAGAGTGAGAGAGTGGCCGGTTGCAAGGCGCCCCTGCTGTCGCCGCACCGCGCCGCGTGTTCCAGTGGTTCTGGCTCGCCGCCCACCTGGCCGAGTGGACGCCGGGGCCCTGCCACCCTGCCGCCGTGCCGCCCTGCTCCTTCATCTCCAGCACCGAGTAGAATTTCATTTCGCACTGCCACCCCAGTGCTGCCACCCCCGGCCCCCAGCCCCCAGCCCCGCTCTACCAAACTATCGCCAGCGCGCAATCAACAACTCGGAAAGCCAGACCGTCAAAGTAAATTAGGCAAAGGCTGCTGCGTCGCGCAGGTCCTGAAAAACGGAACTACAAGAAACGGTCCAAAAAGTTGGCCCTAACAAAAGGGGTTAGTGGGTTAACTTGGGGGTTAAAAAAATAACAGTTATGAAAATGAAAGATTCTGAAAAGGGCGCTGCGCAGGGGGCGGTCTTCGCCCTCCCGAAATGCATGCTTCTGTTTTTGTTGTCGGTGCGCGTCTGCGCTTCTGCCAGGCGGAGGGCTGGCTGCCTGCCTGCCAGCCTGCCTGCCAGCCTGTCACGCGTGGCAGCGTTACCGCCCGGACGGCCTGGGCGCCCCGGACTGGACGGGCTGCTGTCTGGAAAACCCATTCACTAATTTGAGTCGCCCAGCTTCTGTCTTGGTGCTTAGGGCTCGGCGTCCGGGCCCCTTTTAACACGGCGGCCGGGCCGAGGCCGATCTCGCTACTGCGTCCCCGAGAGCAGGCGAAGCAGGCGAGAGCCAGGCCCATGTCTCTCAGAGGGCCGGGAAAGAGTACGGCGCTACGCTACGCGCTACGCTATGAATTGCGAAATAATCCATTAGGACCTCCTCGAGGCCGTCTCGTCGTCCGCGGCCCGTCCCACCAAGGCGCAGCAGCTCCTCTCCGTCAAGGAGAAGGGGGGGAGTTCAATTTCTCTGTTTCGCCTCGCAGCTCGCAGTCAGCTGCCGCCGCCCGCCGCGACGAAATAGTTTGGATTTGACGCGCCGCCGTGCCGGCGTGCCCGGCCAGTAGCATTGGCCCACGCTGCCGCGGCCGCTCGTCCGCTTAATCCTCTTCCTCGCCCTCAGCCTCGGCAGCCTCGCCTCTTCCCACTCCGAATTCCTCAAAACTTTGACAAGAGTTCGACGCGGCGCGGACGTCCACCCTCGCAGCGCGACTCCGGACTCCCGCAGCAGCGACTCGGACTTGGACCGGCTGGGAATAGTTGGGTGCCGGCCGCGCCGCCCCCGCGTTCCGCGTCTCCGCGTCGCCCTGGAGAAAGAGATGATCCCGACACCGTCTTGGCGCGGCGCAGGGCGTGGTGGGGTGGGGCGGGGCGGGGCGGAGGTGAGACGCGAGCGACGCGAGTAGGCTGGCCTCCAAAACGCGCCTCACCCCGCGTCGCCCGTTCATTTCACTTGATTGCTGGGGAAGGCCCGGGAAGGCCGGAAGGGAGCTGCAATCTGGCGGGAGAAAACTCGCGCGCGGACTTTGTTTGGGGCGCCGCTCTCACCCCCTCCCCGCTCCCTCTTCCTCCCCTTCTGGCGGCGGGTTACACGGTCCTCGCGAATACCTGGCAGCATTGTGTTTAGCAGCCACGGAGGAAGATGGGAATGGATGTACCGGGGCGTGGCGCGGCGTGGCGCGGCGTGGCGAGGGCGTTGTGGCTCCATGCCAACTCATCCGGGGCTGTGTCACTTCCAGGACCGCCCCTGCACTGTGCGGGCGTGGCGAGCGGTGCGAGCCCACACGCCCCCAGCCTCCAAGCGCCTATGCGCTCCCCCTGCTGATCTAGCTAGTCCTGCTGGTCCCCGACACGCTATAAAGACTAGACCACCGGCAGTGGAACAAATTTTAAATCAATCCAATTCTTTTGTCGCAGGTGGCATCAACCTGAAGGGCAACCCCTGGGTGTGCGACTGCTCGCTGTCGTGGCTGGGGGCCTGGCTGCGCCGGTGGCTGCGGGAGGTGTTGCAGGTGGGCCTATCGCTCTGTCTCTGTCTCACGCATTGGGCGTTGTGGTCTGGTGCGAGAGAGACAGCGACGAAATCATTGTTTGGAATCGACTTTGCCCCGAGCCACTCCTGCACTGGTTGACTCGCCGTCGCTCACTCCGTTTCCGACGTTTCCAGGTGCACGCGCTGGAAGCCTCGGCGGCGGCGCGCGTCCGCGAGGCAGCGGAGGAAGCCACCTGCGCCCCGCGCCGCCCCCGCGACCCCTCGGCGCCCGCCGCCCCCGCCGGGCCGCCGCTGCTGCGGTTGCGGGAGGCTGGCTGCCTGGCCTCGGCGCTGAGCGCCACGGCCGCCCGCCCCCGCGCCGCCCCCGCCGCCGCGCTGCTGGTCGTGCTGGGACTGGCCGTCGCCCTGGTGCCGCGACCGGGTGCCGCTCCCGGGACGAGGTGACCGGGACGGCGGCAACGCGGTGGCCGCCAGGCCCGAGGCCAGGCCGCAGCCGATTGACTTCACGTCGTCACCGCCCCGCCCCCCGCCCCGTGCTTTCCCTCCGGTCCGCGAACTCGAACCGCTCCATTCATTATTGTCTGGAAGTTGGAGGCTGCTGGCCCCTTTCTCGGGCCGCGATTTGGACTGTATAACGGGATCCTCCTGCCTGCCTGGCCGTGCCGCGGCGGACACACGTGCACGCCGGGGCCCTTCCCGGCTCACCTTCGTAACGATCAATTACCGGCCGGGCCGCGCCTCCATTGTTGTCGAGTGACCGGGAGGAAGGGAGGGAGGAAGCGGCGCCGAGGGGAAGCGCCAAGATGGGCGGAGCGGAGCAGTCACGGCGGGGCCGCCCCGCCGGTGCCGAAAGAAAACTCTCCTGCCTGGCTGCCTGCCTGGGCGGCCCGCCGGCCGGGCTGCGGGTGAACGGGGATATTTATCGCTGTTCGATTCTCGCCGCCATTAAGTGCGGCGAGGAAAAGCCGTGCTGTGCCGCGACCCACCGCGCGACGAATCGACGACAATCAGTCGCCGAACCAAATGCAAGAATGTGTCATTTTAATTTTAGGGTGAAATAAATGTCAAACTGATTTTTGTTACGTCTGGCTTGTCTCTTTATTTTCAAACTCGATGTGAAAAACGTCCCGGGTTGGCATGAGGGTTCAATATTCATGGAAGGTGCATGCATGCTACGCGGCAGCCAAGGAATGCCTCTGAGTCCATTTGACCGATGCCTCGCGGGCCCAAGAAACAAGAAAAGCACCCATGCGACACGGGTCAACACAACCTACGCCATTTCCACGAACACGCATCAGAAAAAAAACAACAACACATTTACTTTTTAAAAAGACGTTCGGGGGGCTGAAAAAAATTCACGTCGTTGGGGCAATGAGCGAGAAGGGGAGGGGGAGCCGTAACGACCGCATTTGTCCCGACTAATCGGCGCCACCTTTACTTCCGAGTGCGGCCCTCAAACTGCCCGGCGAAACGACAAACATTAGCACGTCGTTTGCCGCCTTTTTGTTTTTGCTTTCTGCAAAGCGCCCTGCACGTCCCCGTGTGCCGCCCTGGTGCCGCCGCGCCGGTTCGATTCCCAAGCCGCCGGAAGGGAAGGGACTCTGAGAGCGACGCCGTGCCGAGCCGAGCCGTGCCGAGCCGAGCCGGCCGTGCCGTGCCGAGCCGAGCCGAGCCGTGCCGCGTCTAGCCGCCCGCCTCGCGATACAGGCCCAGTCCGGCCGTTCCGAGGAGTCGTTTCTTCGACTGTCTCCCTCGCACCCCTTCCGGACGAGACGCCCCGCGAGTGCGACAGAGACAGAGTGACGGAATGAGTGTGCTGCAGGCCGGCCAGGCCGGACGCGACGGCCCGGAGTAAACAGGAGATGAGGAGAGTGAAAGGAGGAAATAAAAACCGGGCTAAAAGGGCGGGACGGGCGGAAACGGCACAAATCAATACGAAGAGCGGCGCTTGGCGCTTCGCGCTTGGCCGGTGTAATGATAACGACGCTATTAAAAAAATGCGAAGCTGGAAATAGCTAGAAGCGAAGCGCCAAGCGCCAAGCCGGCAGGTGGAGCAAACAGAGGCCAAGGAGCGCCGTTCATTTTCCAGCCCCGCTAATTTTCATTCAAGGCCGGCCGCCCTGCGCGTTCGAGGACCGGCCCTTGTCCACGCAGAAGAGCGCTCGGCGGCCTCAAACAGCACGCTCGGGGTGCTCTGCGCTCTGCGAGAGAGAGAAAGAGAGAAATAAAATAAAATAAAAAGGAGCTTTGCCAGAGTGACCGGCAGTCCCTCCGGAATGGCCGTGGTGTACGACTGGCGCGCCGCCCCGCGCCGCCCCGGCCAGGCCATCATCTTCCATCCCCACCCCCTGGCCGCTGTTTTGTATGCCACTCACTGGCCGCGCTGCGAACGCGGCGAAATGAGTTTTACGTCCGCGCCATGATTACGATTCTTTTCACTTTCAATTACTCCCATCCATATGCAGGGGGTATTGTGTTCCGTGTTTCCCGCCGTTGCATTGTCCGGCCGGGGCGAAGCGGGGCGGGCCGGAAGGGAGGGGGGCGCGGTGGACCGTCCGGCCATCGGCTCCCCCACAACATAGGCCATGACAAGTCAAGGCAACCGTGTCCATCCGGGACCGAAAGCGAGATAAAAAGACAAACAGCGCCATGCGCCAGGCCGGGCCGTCAGGGCGGGTCGGGTCAAGTCGGCGAGGCAGAGGCGGCAGAGGCGGCAGGGGCGAGGGAATACGGAATGGGGTCGGTGATTGTTTCCCCGCGGGTCTGGAGAGCTCGGGGAGTCTGAGGGTCCAGGGGGACGCCTCCTTGGGGGCGCGGCGGCGCGGCGGCGCGGCCAACAAGTTGCGTCGCGTTTATCGCCTGCAGGGCCGGGAGGGGACCGGGAGGGGGCCGGGAGGGGGCCGGGAGGGGAGGGGCAGCGCGTCGTCAGCAGATCCACGGAACGGGCTGGCTGGGCGCAGCTGGCGCGCAGAGGCAGAGAGCCCCTGCCGGCGGCTGGATAGGCAACCCGGGGCACACGGCCGTCGCCAATGCCTGCGGCTGCCTACCCCGCCCGGCGCTCGACCTCTCCGCTGCTGATGCCGTCAGCCAGTGTTGCGAAGTCTGCTCGGCGTGCATTGTTGGCGGCCGCCTGTGGTGGGCAACGGCGGGCAGCAGGGAGGACGAGGACGAGGTGCTGGGACAGACGACGACGACGGCGTGCCCCGTGCCCCCGCCGTGACCCGGCACGACGACGCGCCAGTGAAGCGCTCCACGGTACGCCCTGGCCTTCGCCCTGGCCTTGGTGGGCAGGGAGCGCGCTCAGTCGCTTCGTGTGCCTCCAGGTTCGGCTGGCCGCTACGGGCCGGCAGGTGTCGAGATGACCCCCCGCGACGCTGCAGCGGCGACACAGGCCCCAGAACAGGCCCCAGAACAGGCTCCGAGATGCCGCTCTTCTCCAGCAACAAGAACAACAACCGGCCGCCACCCGCCGCCTCCAGGCCGGCGGACGCGGCCGAGCTGTCGGAGGCACTGCTGGTGGAGCTGCGCGGCCAGCGCGCCGACTTCCAGAACACGTATGCCCTCATCGAGTCCAGGCTGGACAAGCTGGAGAAGGCCATCACCAATCAGCCCCGGGTCTCGGTGCGTGGGCGTGGGGTCGCGTGGGGTCGGCGCGGAGCCCCGAGGGAGCAGCTCGTCAGCGACACGGCTTTGCAGGACCCGGCGGCGCGGCCGTCGCCCTCCGACGAGGAGACGCAGTACGTGCTGGGCGACGCCGAGTCCATGGAGATCATCGTGAACCTGGGTCCACTGCGGGCCGGCCGGCCGCTTAACGTCGAGAGGCGCGCGGTGACGCCGTCCTCCAGGCGACTGTGGGACCAGGGTGGCGTCGACGGGGATCTGGTGTTCAGCGTGCCCTCCACGATGGGGGAGTGCGTGCAGCCCCCGCGCCGCGGCAGCCTGGGGCTGGGCCGGCCTCTGGACGCGCCCTCCACGCCGGCGGGCGGCGCGGACGCGAAGCACACCAAGCAGGCACGGCGCCCGTAATTTCCGCAGCCGCGACACTCATCCCTCCGCTTCCTCTCCTCGGCGAGTTCGTCACTCCAGCCGCGTCGTGATAGTGATCTGGAAATGGCAGGTCGCGGGGCCAGCCCCGGGGGCGGCCGCTGGGGCACTGGACACGAGGAAGGCCGTCGGCGACAAGCAGCGCGTCAACGCCCCGTCATCCTACCACTGGATCATCGGGGCTGACGGCGCCATCCGGGAGCACGGACCCCCCTCGCCCGCCCCCTCGCCCGCCCCCTCACCCACCCCTTCACAGCAGCCGTCGCAGCAGCTGGCAGCAGGTGGACTCCGCGCCCCGATGATTTACGGCATGGGAACCGAAGATCGAATACCGGCAGTGGGGATTTTTTTTTGTTCCGTCAGCCCGGGGCGGGGCCGTGCCGCGCACGAGGCCTGAGCCACTCGCGAGGCCGCCGCCGCCACGCGATGCCCAGCCCAAGGTGCCGGAGAGCACCGTCTCCTTGGGCCCCAAGCCCATCTCCAGGATCGCGTCGTCCGTCTGCATCAGCATCACGGACTTCGATGACGACCAGGAGCCCGAGGCCAAGCCTGGGCAACCGCCAGGCAAGCATCCCGCCGCCGGCCCGCGGCCTGTCGAGGACGTCAAGAAGAGCATCGGCGAGGCCAGGAAAACGGTCGCGGGTCCAGCACCCAAGGACAGTCCGGGCAAGGCAGGCAAGTACAGCAGCCTCGCCCATCACTGCACCGCCGCGGAGCGTGTCTCTGACGTCTCGCCGTCCTTCCGAGCAGTGCCGGCTCCCACCAAGGACGTCACCGCCAAGAACATCACCGCCAAGGACGTCTCCGCAAAGGGCGTCACCACCAAAGACATCCCCACGAAAGACGCCATCGTCAAGGACGCCGACGCCAAGGTCGCCACTGCCAAGGACGCCCCCGCCGTCCCCGCTCCAATGCCGCGGCCGGCGTCATCAATCTGCTTCAGCCTGGAGGAGAACGAGGCCGAGGAGGCGGCGCAGGAGGCGCGCAGGGCGGTGGGCCCCAAAGTGTCCCTCAAGCTGCCCGGCCAGGCCCAGGGCCAGGCCTACACGCACGGCCCCTACGCCCTGCGCGGACCCAGAGGCAGCGCGCGGAGCTCGTCGGCGTCGCGGCTATCCTGGCGCTCACCGCCACCCGGCAGCCAGGAACAGTGTGAGCACCGCGGCGATCTCCATCGTTCAATAACTGTGGCTTGTTGAAGACGATTTTGAACCGCGCAGGGCGTAGCGGGCGGTCCCTGCCGAAGCCCTCGGCGGCCGAGGAGGGACTGCGGAGCTGCCTGCGCGTGGCGGAGTACAACGGCGAACCCCGCCAGAAGCCGCCGTCGGCGTCAGGATCGCGCTTGCGAGGGCTGTCACCGCGCCGCTCGCCGTCGCGCCTCGGCCCCAAGATCAAGGCCTGGAACCGCGACAAGCCCCTCAGCCGGCGCCGCTCTCGGCGCGGCGTCAAGCACGACGCTCTAGAGGACGGCGCCCCGCGAGTAGCCACGTCGCGGTCCTCGACGCGCGTCCCTTCCGACGACGACGTCGCGGCGACGGCCAAGTCCAACATCCACCTCGCCAAGATCTACGCGCAGACGGACTTGGCGCTGGCGGCCGCCATGCAGGCCCCTCCTACGCCCCGCCGAGCCCCGCACCCCATGCTGCAGCACCTGCCCACCTGCCCGCGCTACGAGGGCCGGCCGCCCCTCGCCGACGACAAGCCGTTGGAGACGCTCTTCACGTCCAGGGCCGCGGAGCGTGCGCTGGGGCGCTCTGCGGCTTGGGCCGCGCGCGCCCACAAGGACTACCTGGCGCAGCTAAGCGAGTACGTGCGCTCCATCTCCAAAGGCCCTGGCGTGGCCACGGTCATCAGGAACCAGCTGCGGGAGCCCGCGCCAGAGAAGCTCCACAAACGGCAGCCCGCCCACGGCGCCCAAGGCCCTGGACGTCCGCAGCGCGACGCCTCACCCCTCACCCCGCGGTCCAAGACTCGCGATCGCCCGCGGCTGCCCGGCGTCGCAACCACCCCGGCCAGGCACAAGGGCGGGGACGGGACTCGCACCCCGCGGGGCCCGCACCGCAAGGACGCGTGCAGCAGGTAGGCAAGGCCGTGGCGAGGCAGAAAGCGCCCTGGCACCCTAGTGCCCCCCCCCCTTTTCCTCACGGCCTTCTGCCTGCAGGGACAGCCGCTCGGTGCGGCACAGGGGCCGTTACCGCGTGGACATCAAGGACGCCGGGAAGGACCTGCCTTCGATCAAGTCCTCTTCCGACGTGCACGTCGAACCGAGGCGGGACAGCCCGGGTCGGCCCGCCACTCAGCCCAACAACACCATTTGTTCCTTCATTTGTGACTACTGCAGAAAGCTTCGGCAGATGATGTAATCGATTTTCACCCTCCTGTGTCTTAAGATTGACAACGGCATGTCTTGTGCCCGGCCCGTAGTGACTTAGGTTTAATGTCTGTTCAATTTGTATTGCAATGTCGTATTGTGTGTACCCTTTATGTTCGTCGTCTCTAAAAAAATAAAATGGCATTATTTTTTGGTTGTTGTTTTTCACTTTCCCTGAAACGGTAGAAACAAATCGCCCGAGCAGCAAAGCGCTGCTCGGATGATCAGGGCGACACAGGCGCCAGGCGGCATCGCTCGGAGCGTCTCCGTCGCCATGGCGACAGCGCGTTGAGTCGATGCGCGTGCGTGGAGGGGCTGGCGGCTGGCGGCTAGCGCTGAAGGGTGGCGGCGCGTCGAGGCCCGCGGAGTCTTTGTTGGCCAACGCGCACTGCTGCAGCCGGCTCGGCGTGGGCACGCCGTCGACGCCGTCCCGACATGTTCTGGGGCTACACCCCGGCGCTGGACGTGCTCCGCGAGTACTTCTGGTGGCGCGGCAGGGCGCCGGGGGACGTCTCCGCCGAGCCCTCCGCCGGGCCCGACGCCGCCCCCGGGAGCGTGACCGTCACGGAGATCGAGGACCCTGACGGTGAGTAAACAAGAGGCACTCAAGGTTAGAATAATTGGGTGAATCGATGCTTCGCCGCGTGCCGCGGACTGCAGACTGCACTGGGGGCACGCCGGCGAGGCCCCCGCCGGTTGAACCCCCACCCCGTCGCGCCCGCCGCGCCCGCCGCGCCCCCACTACGCTGCGAGCGCCGCCCGCGCCCCGGATGATCTGGGTCAGTTCGGCGGGCAGGCATCTCGCGGTGCTTGGCTGCGCTTGGCTGTGCTGCGCTCCTCCAAGACGCGGGGCGGGACGCGGCGCGACGGCGCGGAGCGGAGGGTTCCTGTCGCGGGGTGTCGCGAGGCGAGCAGTCGGCAGCACGGCGTCGACGCGGACGGAAGCCTCCCCGAGCTGGACCTGACGGCCACCGCCCCTCTCGCTGCTGCAGGGCCCGCGCCACGCCACGAAGGCCATGTCCAAGAAGACGACGCTGCAGATGACGGTGGGCGAGGAGACCCCGACGTGCTGCTCCCAGCTGGCCGAGCTGCCGCGGGGCCGCGCCAAGGGCACGTGCACGGGGGCGGGCGGCAGACTGGTGGTGGCGGAACTGCCGGAGAACCACGCCACGGTGCAGGTGGACAACCGGGACCCGTGCCGCTCCAGGATGGTGCTGACCATGGACGACATGTCCATCTCCATGGAGCAGTCGAGCTGCAGCCGCGCCACGGGGGCCCGCAACTCGAGCGTGACCACGCTGTGCGTCCAGACGGCCAAGCCGCCCCCGCCGCCCTGCTGCCGCCACCACCCCTGCCACCACCTCTGCCACCACCAGTGCCACCCGCACTGCCACCCACCCAGGACCGTCCTGGAGACGCAGCTCGTCGTCAAGAAGTGAAGCCGCCCCGCCACGGCGGCCACGGCGGTCACGGCGGCGCGGGGGACCCGCTGGGGCTGTTCGTCGTGGATCCCCAGCCCGACGAGAGGTGAGCAGTCAGGGTTGGTGGTTAAATACAGCGATGCTGGTGAGCAAAGCTACAGAAGCAAACAAAACAAATGTACACATCACCCCGCTAGTTTGAAATTTTTGTTCTAAGCTGTTTTTTGTTTGGCTTTTTTCGTCGAGTCCGATTTCACACACAAAACTGTATCACACTGTGCTGGCTCTGCCAGGAAGCTGGCTGGTGGGGCCGGGTTCCTGGCAGTGTAGTGGCCCGCTCCGCTTGACGGCCCCGAAAATGGGCGCGTTGTTTCTCCTTGATTCGTGCATGCCTTGCCTGTGCTGCCTGCGCTGCCTTGCCTTGGCCGGGCCGGGGCTCGCCTTGGTCGATTGCTGTCAAACAAGGGAAGGCAAAGCCAGGCAAAGCGCGCAGCGATAGGACCCTTTGCTTCGCTGCTTCGCCCCTTCCAACCCCATCCCGTCCCGGGGAGGCGAGGCGGCCTTGAACGCCGACGCGCAGCGCGCAGCGCGCAGTGGCGGCCCGTAAAGCCGCTTCTGCATCCCTTGCCTGCCCGCCTGCCGTGCGCCCCCGGGCCGGGACGAGAGCCTAAGGAGTCAATGCCACTGACTCGCATCGCCGTGCCGCCGTGCCCATGCAGTGGCGTGCCGCGTGCCGCGCCCCGGGACACCGTCATGTGGGTCTATTGACTTCGTGCCAGCCCGAGCCCCGGCCTTGAAGCATCAGCCCTGGCCTGCATTCTGCGCCTGCACGACGGACGGCACACACACACACACACACCAACACACTCACAAACTTTGCCTTGTTCATAAATTATGGCGCCTTGACGCACAGCTGTCTGGCGGGCTGATCTTGATCTGAGTGACGCCAAGGGCGCGCACGCCGCGCACACCGACGCGTTTGTTGCAGCGCCCACGACGAGGACAGCCTTGACGTGCTGCTCGTCGGCAACATGGACTGCAGGCACGTGCTCAAGACCCTGAGCCGACTGCACCGCCACGCCGCCGCCCTGGAGGACGACGGCCAGGGCGACGGCCAGGAGGAGGGCGGGCGGCCGCGGCGACGCAAGGTGCGCTTCTTCGTGGCCGAGACCGTCATGGAGCTGGTGGCGCGCCAGCTGCTGTTCATCCTGGCGGCGCTGGAGCCGCCCGACCGCCTCGGCAGGACGGAGAAGGTGCGCCTGCTGCTGGAGCTGATGGGCAACTCGTTGGTGCGGCCGAGCACGGCGCTGTGGCTGCGCAACGCGTCCAGCCTGCTGGTGGACTTGGTGACGGACCCCGACGCGCTGCGGCGCCGCCTGCCCCTCGTGGACCTCAGCCACCTGCGGCACCGGGACCGCGACCGCCTAGAGGAGGTGCTGGCCTTCTACCAGGAGCGGCCGCAGAACTTCCGGGTCGGCTACCACTGGGACCAAAGGTGCCCATCACGGAGCCAATCGTGCTGCTCGCCTCCACGTCCATGGTCTCCACGGTGTGCTTGGTGTCCCGCAGGCTGCGGCGCCACTTCGGCACGCGCTACGACAGCCGGGCCGGCGCCTACGACTGGGACTACCACATGGTGCTGCACGACCTGCCGGCCGGCGACAAGGTCTGCGTGCACGAGTACCGCCACTGGAGGGAGACCGGCGTGGCCTTCACGTGGCTGGAGGCCGAGCAGTCCGAGCCCAACCTGTCCCTCGCCGCCGGCATCGTCCGCGAGGGCTGCCACCTGCTGCACGGCGGCTACCTGGGGGACATCGTCGCGTCGCCCTTCATCGCCTACGCCATCGAGGTAACCACACCGTCAAACCAACTGTGGAGAACAGGAATAAGTTTGTGTGGCCGCAGATCTCATCGCCTCTCTTGGCAGCTGGAGCCCGAGGACGCGGCCGAGGTGTTCCGCAAGGCCAACGACAAGTACGTGAGCAGGTCCACGGACGCGGCGGAGCGCCACCTGAACAGGATCACATACGAGCTGCAGCATGGCCAGGACTACCAGCCGACGTGAGTGGGGCCTGTATTCGACTTGCCGACGTCCGCGCCATGTACTTACGTACTTGTTGTTGTTGATTTAAGAGAGGATCCTTCGAGGGGCAACGGCGGCGTCGTACTCACCCGCGTGACGGACGAGTCCCGCCTGGACCCGGCGGCGCCTCCTGAGGAGGACGACCAGACCCTGCGCAAGGTGCGCCGGTCCGCCGACATGAAGGGCTACGCGCCGTTGCCAGTGGAGAACGCCGAGGTGAGGCTCGCGGGCACGCGCCCGACGGAACGATCGTGTTTGAGCCGAAGCAGCAATTGCTCCGAGACGGTGTTCTCCGCAGGTGGTGTTCCTGTCACCCAAGTTCCTGCAGGCGCCGCGCGAGGGCCGCGCGAGGTTCTCCGGCCGCTTCCACTGCGCGGTGCTCGGCCTCGGCCTCGGCGAGCGCCACCTGGACGCCGCGCTGCGCGCCGTGCTGGCGCCCGAGGCCGTGGTGCTGGTAGAAGGCTCGCGCTTCCTGCTGCAGCGCCCCGAGGTCCGGCAGCAGGCCGCCGACGACCTGGTGCGGCGCGCTCGCGACGCGGGCCTGGCGCCGCTGCAGCCCTTCCAGCCCGACAAGGACGACTTCGCCAAGTTCGTGGTGGACGCGGGCTGAAGAGGAGCGCACCCGCTGTCTGGGAAGAAAGCGCGACTCGTGAAGCGGCGCAGCCAACGACATGCGAACCCTGGCCCGCCTTGACGGCCACTCTCGACCAAGTTTAAGAATCACCGGTTGGCAATGCTCTTTGTTTTCGAGACAGTCTGCTGGAGGGGATCGCGTCTCCGCGGGACGCTTGCATTTCCCACCGCACGACCACTGTTCTGTGTCGGGGGAATTCCGCGAACACTTAACCACCATAGACTTTAGTTTTATTTTTCCTACCAGGACCACACCAGCGAACCACTGCCCTACTGCCGTTTATACTAGAGTTGCACATCCAGTAGCGTGCTTTGTTCGTCTGCCTTGTACTTACTTTTGCTGATTCCTCTGTGACAGTTAAATTATTGAACGAATAAACACTTTGCAGTCATGCAACCGCCTCTCGCTTTCTCTCCCAATGCCACAGGGCCGCCACAGTGCCGACACGGGGCCGCCACGCCGCCAGGTACGAAACTGTCACCGCGACATCCCACGCGGGTCGGAGGTCGGGGGGAAGCGGGGCGGGGTCAAGGCTGAGACGTAATAGGGCTGCACCACGCAGCAGGTTCATTCCGAACAATGCGTTCGTCGTTCCGTCTCTCTCACACTCGCGGTGTGTCCCGTGTGAGCGTGAGAGAGGCAGAGCGAGGAAGCGCTGATCGAAATCGGCCTCCAGCGAAAGGACGAGCACGACGTCGCGAGTCACTCCAGCCATGCTCCAGCCAAGCGCGAATAGGATGGAAAGGGGGGGGGGCCTCCTGGGTAGAAATGTGGGCAAAAAGTAAGACTTTGGCCCTGTACCGCACCAGCGCCACCGAGTGGGCACGTTAGTGGACTGGGCTGGACTCCAACGTTTCGACTAACGTCGGCCCGTTCTCTCCTGGTGGTGCCCCCGCCCTTCCCTCCCTTTAACCTCCACTTCCGGACCACGTAGTACAACATTGTACTCGCCATCATCAAATCAGTGACTACTGCCGCCATTCAAGGATCCCAGAACTGTGACCACGAGGCGGCGAGGAGGTAATTAGGGTCCAGGAGGCTCCCCACCTCCGACACCTCCGTTCGGTTCGGGCTGGAGCTGGAGCTGGAGCCATGCCGGCAGGGGCAGGAGGAGGGCGAGGAGGGCGAGGAGGGCCCTCCCGGCGCCCGGCGTCGCCGCCGCGCCGCCGCATGCCGCAGACGCAACGACGGAACGACTCGGACTAGTCACGTGTCGGCGGCACCGCGCCGCGCACCGCCACGCCACGCCACGCCGCGCGTCTCGGATACTCGGCGCTGGCCGACGCAGACACCGGAGCCGCGCGTGTGCGGTGTGCGTGGCCGAGCAGTGGCCGAGGAGACGAGACGAGGCAGCAGCGGCAGAGGGCCGAACGCCAGCGCCACCAAGGACATGTCAGGCATGTCGACGCCGGGGAGTGAGGAACGCCCCTCGCGGGGGCGGCACGGCACTGTGGCGAGTGACTCGTCCGCGCTGACCACCAGCACCGGCACCTGCTCGGCCACCTTCAGCGAGGACAGCGGCAGTGGCCTCAGGAGCAGCAGCGACGCCGACGACGAGGTAAACAGTGCGCAGAGGTTAGGTTGCCCCGTGTCAAGTTTGTAAACAAAGGCAGGTGACTGAGGGTTGGGGGTGTTTGAAAGTCGCTGACGGCCACTGTCTTAGTTCGTGGCCTTCCAGGTTGTTCTGTTGCTCGTTGGTTCTTGTTGTCACGTTTAAATGGAAATTTCAATTAATTTTTTTGGCGACGTTTTTGATTTGACATGCGTTGTTTTGACGGTAATTCTATAGATTACGACCAATTACGACGTCGCCCCTGATGTGCATGTATATGTAACGTGCACGGCGTACAGCTTGTGGGCACTGTTAACCCAGGTGAACCCATAACGCCGTGCAGATAGGCAACCCAACGGGCACTGGGCACCCAGGGTCTGGGATAGGCAACCCAACTAACGCCTGGGGGAAGGGCCACGAGGCCGATATGCAGGCCAATGTGCAACGGAGTGCATTCATTGGCCTCGCCTCGCCCCGTTCCTTTCTTTCTCTCTAATCCGTAATCTCTGATATCCCGTCGTGAACGCCGAGCCGAAAACGAAGCAACGGAACCCAGAGGCCGGAACACAGGAAGCAGCGAATAAAGGGGGAGGGGTGATTCCCACCGTAGTGAGATGATAAGATGCTCTGGTTTTTTCTTTGTTCTTCCTCCTTTTGCTGTCACTGATATCGCCCTGTTTCTAACGCAGACCTCGCCCCGCCTCGAGCTGCTGCACCGGAGGCCGTCCGAGGTGCGGCGCGTCGGCGAGCCCGAGTGGAGCCCGCTGCTGGCCAAGACCCTGCCCGGCCTGCCCCACTCCGAGGCCGTGCAGCCCTCCAAGGCCACCGAGGCTTGCCGAAGGTGCCCGCTCTGCTCCAGTTCTCCGCCGCGACCTCGCGGGCCTGCACCGCGCAGCCCTTTTGGTGGAAAACGTAAACACGGCCGACTATCTATCGGCCGAGGCCGCGCCGCGTTGCCCAGTGCCCAGTCATTCCCTGCGACCCGCTAGCCGCGCTAGCCGGTCGGCGCACACGCCGCACGCATGGCATGACACGCACTTGGCGTAGCGCGTAGCGCGCTGGCCGCGAGTGACGTCACTGTCACCGCGCGTCCTATCAGGGAATGACCGACACGACGTCAGGCCGGGGCGGCGTCGCGGTGGACACGCGGACTCGGAAGGAAGGAGGCCACCGTGGCGATGAACTGCCGCCCGCCGCGTCCGCTCATCGGCAGGGAAGACGGATGCTGGAGCACGATGTGCCAGGGGTTGCTTACTCGTGTACTTCAAGATCCAAATGGAGTTCATAAAAAGTTCCCACCGGATAGCTAAACCTATTCCATAACTATTTGGGGCGTCCGCTGATGACGCTGATCGGAACTGGACACACGCTGCAAGCATGACGCGTGCAACTGTCGCGTCGCCGATCGGGGAGGGGAGGGGGACGCGTCTAGGGCGTAAAGACCGAGACCCAAACGCTTCGGCTCTCGGAATCGGCCTGCCTCTTCGGCTGGGTGGCTGGGTGGAGGTGTGACTGTGTGACTGCAACTGGAGTGACGCAGCGGATTGAGCTGCGCGTCGGCCCGGGCGGTGGGCAGCCCGGGCTTTGTTTGTGTTGTGCCGGTCTTGCCCGTCGTCCCGTACCGGCCGGCGGGGGCCCCGATAGGGCGGGTGGCATCCCCAGCCCCGCGCTGCCTCGCGACACTCCCAGTGCAGGGCGCACGGCACGTCGTCCGCAGTCCCCGCGGCACTTTGTCGCCAGCCCCGAGGCCTGCAGGACGTCCCCTGGCTCCGCTAGCTCGCACCGACCGCACGGACCGCCGACGGCATGATGAAGCCCTTGTCGGGCAAGGCGCTGGAGGAGGTGCCGCTGCTGGGTGCGCAGGCCCAGGGCGCCCAGGGCGGCCGCTGCAAGTCGTACGGGCTGGCCGTCGGCGATGCCGATGGCGGTCCGAGGGCCTCGCGCACACGGTAAAGCCACCACCACTCGCCGCCCTCGTCGTGCGTCCGGCTGCCGCTGTCGCCACTCTCTTTTATTTTAACTTCCTTCCGTTTTATGCACGTTTAGGAAAGGCAAGGCAGTCCTAGACGACGACGACGATGACCGCGGTATTCGGAAATCCGGCCTATCTGGTCTGGTGAGTTTTGGCTACGTCAATTTTAATTGGGTGTTTTTTTTCATCTTGTTGGTGTTTCTTTGAAAGATGTGTGTGGATCCAGTTCAGGTACGCCACTCGGCGGGACAAGATGCTCATGCTGGTGGGCCTGCTGTTCGCGGCGGTGCACGGGGCGTCATTCCCCGTGCTGGCGCTCGTCTTCGGACAGATGACCAACACCTTCATTCTGCAGTCCACTGCTGTAAGTGACATTTTACTCGTTTTGGAGGTTTTCCACTCACTTGAGAGGATTAATATTTTTCGTCTAATTTGATTAGACTTCTGTCAACAAAAAGAACAATGAGTCAGCTCTTAATGGTGAGATGTTTGGTGAAACTACACCCTCATCAACTATGATCAACCCTGATCCAAATACCACCAGGTAACTTTGATCTTAGAGTTACATTTTAGAATGATTTTCTATTTGTTGCACCTTGTTTTATTCTCCAACTTTGTTTTAGTGTGCCTGACATCAACGAACTGTGGAGAAGTGGAGGTCTCTCGCCAGCTGAATTCACAGCTTATATGTCTCAATTTTCACTGTATTACCTTTATATTGGTATAGGTGTCCTTACTGCAGCTTTTATTCAGGTTGGTCTTATACAAATTGTTTATGCATTCTGTGGTGGTTTTTCCCGATAATTTTTTATAACAATAGTTAAAACAATTATGTTCGTACATTTTTAGACACTTTGCTGGGAGTTGGCTTGTGAGGGTCAGGTCCATACTTTGCGTAAAATATTTTATGCTCAAGTGCTTCGTCAAGATATCAGCTGGTATGATCAAAATGAAGAGAATGACCTGACATCCAAGCTTGCTGAGTGAGTGTACATGTACTTGGGTTAGTCAAAAGAAAATTTCAGAACACATCTGTATCTTTTTTCTTTTCTTTTTTATTGCAGTGATTTAGAGAGGGTTCGTGAAGGCATAGGAAGTAAATTCAGCATGGTCATTCAGTACATCGCCACCTTCATATCTGGCCTGGCAGTGGGCTTGGTGGCTAATTGGCGGCTCACTGTTGTCATTCTGGGTGTGGGCCCCCTGCTCATTGGCACGTCAGGCTTCCTCGCAAGGGTGGCTGCATCATCAGCTGCTCGAGAGCAGATGAAATACGCTATTGCTGGTGGCATTGCGGATGAAGTATTGAACTGTATACGAACTGTGGCTGCATTTGGGGCTCAAGATAGAGAAGCAAAGAGGTATTTATATTTTTGCTTAAAATAATAAACTGTAGATTTGTGGGTACTTAATTTATTTTTTTGATCAGGTATGAGAATGCTTTGGAAAAAGGCCGATGGATGGCTATGAAAAAATATTATTACTTAGCAGTTGGCCTAGGTGTTGTCTTTTTTGTGACCTATGCTTCTTATGGCTTGGCATTCTGGTATGGGTCACAGCTGATTGGAGCTGGTGTGGTGACTCCAGGCAGTGTCTTCACAGTAAGTATCTGGTCAAACTAGACTGTCTTAAAAAAAATTAAAAAAACATTGTTACTTTAAACTTATTTTTTGTGGCCAGGTATTTTTCAGTGTCATGGCTGGAGCTTTTTCTCTTGGCAATGCTCTTCCCTTTATAAATGCTGTGAGCACTGCTATTGGTGCAGCATCTAATGTTTTTAATATTATCGATAGAGTGCCCAATATTGATCCATATGACACAAGAGGATTGAAGGTTCACAAAGTGAAAGGTCACATTGAATTCAAAAAAGTTGGTTTCACTTATCCAGCAAGACCAGAAGTACAGGTACATATTTCTAACAAAACTTATCTTAAGTGTTGTGAGTATTTTTTTTTTTTGTATTATTACTTTTTTTTTTTGTTTTTTTTTTTGTAGATTTTGAAAGACTTTACTCTTTTGATTGAGCCTGGGAAGACAGTTGCTCTTGTTGGACCCAGTGGTGCAGGAAAGAGCACTGTGGTGGGATTGCTTCTTCGATTTTATGATGTAACTCTTGGCCAGGTAAAGAAATTTGGCACTGATGTGACAATAGCTCTTTTTATTGGTGTTACAACAAATGGTTGAAATTATCCATATTTCCTAGGTTCTGGTGGATGGAGTTGACATAAAGGACCTTAATCTTTCCTGGTTGAGGTCTCAGATTGGAGTGGTATCTCAAGAGCCTGTTCTTTTTGGAACAACTATTTATGAAAATATACGCTATGGTAGAGACGATGTGTCAAAAGCAGAAATTGTCCAAGCAGCTCTCATTGCCAATGCCCACAGTTTCATCTCTAGTCTACCAGATGTAAAGAATCCTAATGACGTTTACTCCATAATACATCAAATATCAGTAATTATTTTTCTCTATGACAACCTAATTGGCTTTATCCTATGTTCTGTTAGGGCTATGACACCATGGTTGGTGATCGGGGAGCTCAATTGTCAGGAGGCCAGAAGCAAAGAATTGCAATTGCCCGAGCTTTAGTGAGAAACCCTAAGTTGCTCTTGCTTGATGAAGCCACATCTGCTCTGGATGCTCAAAGTGAGGGTGTGGTACAGGCTGCCTTGGACAACGCCATGCAAGGGAGGACAACCATCATCATCGCTCACAGATTGTCGACTGTGAGAAATGCTGATTTCATTTATGCTATGAAGGTACGGTCAAACATCAATAGGTAACAGATTGTGTTAAATTTTGATATCTAACTCTTTTTTTTCGTCTTTTTTGCAGGATGGAGCTATTGAAGAATATGGAACACATGCAGATTTGATGTCCAAGGAGGGGCTTTATCATCATCTTGTAATGACTCAACTGGGTGAGAAAGAATCTGTTCGAAATGACTACTCTTCTGGTGGAGAAGCTTTAGGAGCCGCGTAAGTTTTTTGATTTAATGTTTCCTCCTTATTTTTTTGTATTAGTCAATTCTGTAATTTTTATTTGCTTGGAACTTTTAGAACTGAGTCATGTGATGGAACTCAAACACCAACCAGGGAAAAAAGATACAACAAGCGAAGGTCTCTTTCCTTGTCATTGGCATCCTTGGAGGACCCTGAGCTTGACAGACTTGCCAAGGAAGCAGATGAGGTGGGTTCTTGCATTAAATTTTAATCATTGGTATGTTTTTTTAAAAAATATTGTGCTTGTACTTGAAATTTATTCTTATCTTATTTTTTAGACTGAAGTTAGTGAAGATGTGAGTGTCAGACGCTTGTTTCAACTAAATTCTCCAGAGTGGATGTGGTTGTTGCTTGGATTTATTGGATGTGCTCTCACTGGTTCCATCATGCCTGTATTTGCATTTTTTTATGGAGAAGTTTTTGCTGTAAGTATTTCTAGTGCTGGTTGCTTTTTTGTTGTCTTCTGGTAAAAAATTTGAATTTGAAATTTTGGTTTTTCTTTGTCAGACTTTTACTTTGAGAGGAGAAGCGCTCGAAAAAGCAGCTCTTTTCTGGACGTACATGTTCTTAGTTCTTGCAGTTGTATCTGGCTTGAGCTTTTGGCTCCAGGTAAGATTTTCGATATGTTGTAGAAAGACATACACTGACTTCCAGTATATTGATTTTGACAACCTGCTCCTTTCTGTATAGCTTGTGGCTATGACAACTGCGGCAGAGAAGCTTGTGATGCGAATGAGGCTGCTGGCCTTCAAAAATATTTGTTACCAGGCGGTCGGATGGTTTGACTTAGACAGCTCCTCAGCTGGAAGGCTTACTAATCGTCTAGCTCGTGATGCACCCCTTGTCAAAGCAGTAAGGTTTTTCCATGGCCATAAAAAAAGTTTTAATTTTTTTTATCTCTAAATTTTATGGGTTTATATTTATTCATTTTCAGGCAGCAGGCTTGAGAGCAGGGCAGGTAATTGGTGCATTTGTAACTCTCTTTGCTGCACTTCTCATTGCCTTTTTGTTTGGATGGAAATTGGCTCTGCTACTTGTAGTAGCTGTCCCTTTCATAGCGGGAGCATCATACCAACAAATGATGATTCTAAGAAGAAATCAGCGAAGAGATGCCGAACTCATGAACGAGGCTGCAAGAGTAAGTGATTTGCTTGTATTTTCGTTTTGCTTGGAAACAGTGGTTATATTGTATCTTAAAATAATTTACTGTCTGGTGTTTTTTCAGGTCGCATCAGAGAGCGTTTCAAATATTAGAACTGTACAAGCTCTTGGAAAAGAACGCTTATTCTTTGAATTGTATTTGGGATACCTGAGTGCTCCATTTGCGTAAGTGTCATGATTAAAATCTCAGTTTCTTCCCTTGAAAAAAAATTTGCTCACCTTCCTGACCTTTTTCAAATTCAAAATTTTCAGTGAGGCGAAGAAACAAGCATACATATACTCCATAGTTTTTGCCCTTTCACAAGCTGTAATCTACATGATGTATGCTGGAGCATTCCGATTTGGTGCATACCTGATTGAAATTGGAGATATGGCACCAACTGATGTGTATAGGTAAGTCAGAATATGCATTTCATATAAACATCAATCATGAGTGATTTCATTAACTTAATTCTGTATTTCTTCATTTAGAGTTTTCTTCGCACTGGCTTTCTGTGCTGCTTCTGTCGGACAAACGTCAGCGTATCTGCAAGACTATGCCAAAGCTAAGCTGGCTTCTTCTTTGATGTTTCAATTGATTGATAGGAAGCCAGATATTGATTGCTCTCCTACAACTGGAATAAGACCAGTAAGTTATATTTACCTTCAAGCCCCTTTAAAAATGTAGATGTGGATTCATTGCCTTGTTTGTTTGGTGCCTGTAGGTCATCTCTGGCAAAGTTACTTTCAAAGACGTTCGGTTCCACTACCCCTCTCGACCTGATGTCCCAGTGCTACGTGGATTGTCTGTCTCTGTGGATCCTGGTCAGACACTCGCTCTGGTTGGCTCTTCCGGTTGTGGTAAAAGCACAACTGTCTCTCTTCTGGAACGATTCTATGACCCCTCCTCAGGATCAGTAGTAAGTGCCCCACATTATTTATTTAATCTTGGATAAATCCTAATTAAACTATAATTATGTTTATTTTATTTTTTTAGATGGTTGATGACATTGATATCCGTACCATTAATCTTCCTCATCTTCGTTCTCACATTGGGCTAGTCACGCAAGAGCCTGTATTGTTTGACTGTTCAATAAGACACAATATTGCATATGGGAAAGCCTTTACTTTAACTTCAGGCTCCAAGTCCGCTCAGGCGGACCAGCTTGACACTGTACCTATGCATGAAATTATTGAAGCTGCCAAGGCAGCAAATATCCACAACTTTGTCACTAGCTTGCCTCAGGTTAGATGCAGTTCATTACTTTACATTATTTACCAAGAGTGTCTTGTTATTTGTTTCGGCTTTTAAACACAAGTCTAATTCATAGGGATATGAGACCATGGCTGGTGATCGTGGGACGCAACTGTCAGGAGGCCAAAAACAGCGTATTGCTATTGCACGTGCTCTTCTGCGTGATCCCAAAATACTCTTACTTGATGAAGCAACATCTGCTTTGGATACAGATAGTGAAAAGGTATTTTTTCTCCAATAATTTAAATTACTTTTTTCCTCTAGTATTACTGTATTTAATGCATTACTTCTGGATTCCGGTACTTTTCAGGTTGTCCAAGACGCTCTAGATCGTGCTAGAAAAGGACGCACGTGCATCACGATTGCTCATCGTCTGTCAACTGTGCAAAACGCAGATTGCATTGCTGTTATACACAATGGTCGAGTTGCTGAAATTGGGACTCATGAAGAATTAAAAGCACGTCACGGAAGATATTATCAACTCATTAAACGCCAAAGATTGTAATGTAATGTGTTAAATTAAGTTGGAAACCATACTTTTATTAAATTTAAAGAATCACAATAATGTTGCAGTATTAAAATGTGCTGGTATTATTTTTAATATCAAATCAAACCACATCTATCGTGATCTCTCATCTTGCATATCTTATAGCACTTCTAATCAATATTAATTTTAATTGTTGTTTGGCTGTGCCAAAATTCTTATGTCTTATGTGTGTTTGTATTTTTTTTTAAAGATTGTATGATCTGTTTATGATCAATGTTTATTGATATCTATATTTGTTTTAACGATGCTCTGAAAGAGTGTCCTGTTGTAGTTAAGGACTTTTCATAGTTTGTTAAATGTTATTAGAAAAAGTATGTGCAATCTCAAATAAAATACATAGAATGCGTGGGGAACGTATATTTATTAAAAATGGCATGGCTTTGCCAGCAGAACGGTAGGACAGCACGTGCATGCCAAAGCAAAATGACTCGAGCTAGCAATACGGGTGATGGCCCTGGAAAATGAGTGATTTGGTGTCATCTTTGGTTTCTATTTGTCCCAGGAACAGTGTTCCAAACGGTGCCCCACGGGGATGACGGCCTACAGCTTGGTGAGCGCCTCGCGCTTCTTGTGGCTGTTGCTCTTCTTGGCGGCCGTCCTGGCCTTGACGGCCGGTGGCGGGTAGCAGGGGTGCCCGGGCGGCGGCCCCAGACGCAGCTGCCGGTCGTGCGTCTGCTCCAGGAAGCCGTAGTGGCCGTCGTGGCCGCCGAGGCCGCCGCGCGGCGGGAAGGACGAGGACAGCGTCGTCGGGTGCACCGGGGACTCGAGGTCACCCCCCGCAGTCGCCTTCGTACCGGCCGGGTCGTCGAACATGGTGGCCAGCTCCACCTGACACGAACATCGTCACACATGCCAAAGATTAGTTACTCTGGGAATAAGACCGGCAAAAAGAATCCCCCTGGTGCAACTCACGTCGAGGTGGGCGGGCGCGCGGGCGGCGCGGCACGTCCCCAGCAGGGACTCGGCCAGCTTCATGCGGCGCAGCTCCTGCTCCAGGTGGCGGTCGGCCTCGGTCAGGGACTCGTGGTCGTCCTTGTCCTCCTCGCGGTACGGCGACGGTGTGCCCAGGGCGTGCTCGTCCGTCACGCGGTACTGCTCCGCGTGGACGTCGCGAGCGTCGTCCTCGCCTGGCGCCTTGCCGCCGCGCCGCAGGGTGGACGTCGGCGTGATCCGGGAGCGGGCGGCCGAGCGGCGTCGGGACTCACGCGCCATCCGGGCCACGCCGTCGAGAACCTCGCCGCGCTGCGGCTCCGGCAGCGACCAGGCCGCCTCCTGCACGAGCTGCAACGGCAGTGTGAACGAGCAGGCACCACAGAGTGCGAGATGTGAAATGTCGTACTTACAGAGAACTTCTGCATGGCTAGCAGCGCCGGGAGCAGGTCGCCGATGGCGCGGTGAAGGCCCTGGCGGTGGCGCTGCAGCAGCAGGTCGCTGAGCGGCGACGCGTTGCGCAGGCGGCCGTGCAGCGGCTCCCACTCCTCGTCCTCCTCGGGGTCGGCCTCCGCCTCAGACCCCGACCCGCCAGCCGCGGCCAGCATGGCGCGGTACACTTTGGCCACGGCGGGGGTCATGGTGCTGGCCCCGCTCGTGGAGGAGCCCTTGCTGGCCCTGCTGGCCCTGCTGGTCCTGCCGGGGGAGCCGGGGCGTGAGCGCGCCGCCGTCTGGAAGCCCGTCCCACCGGTCCCACCGTCCGCTCGGCTCTGCCACCGCGAAGGCAGAGAGTCGCACGGAAGCGAGAACCGCAGCACGCGGCCCGGGGAGGGCGCCAGCACGGCGTGGACGCCGCCGGGGAGGCGGCCGGACAGGCGGAGCAGCCACCGCGCCCACTCCCAGCCCTTGTCCGCGGCCTCCACCACTCCTGGAACACGTGGAACACGACGGGCACGATGAAGATGTGGCCAAGCCGCTACAAGTGCAGCTGGTAGGAAATTTTGCGCACCTGGCATGGGCTGCGTGTGGCCCGAGTCCACCAGCCTGCAGAAGGCGGCGAGGGCGGCCAGCTCGTCGCGGGCCTTCGTCCGGGACGACGCCCACAGCGAGTGCAGCCCCGCGGTGCGGTGCGCCGCCTGGGCCAGGGCGCGGAGGTAGCGCCGCAGGGGGGCCGCCAGGGCGCGGGGCGCGCGGTCCGCGCTCGCCAGCAGCCACCGCAACACGCTGCCCACCAGGGCGGCGTCGTCCGCAGGCACCACCACGCCAGGGTCCGAGCGAATCTGCGCCCGCACCGTAAGAATGAGCAACCCGCCTCGTCTCAGAAACAGAATGACAGGACCGACGAACACACCGCTTCGAGGAGCAGGTCCACGGCCGCGTTGTAGCGGCGCCGGAACACGCTGTCCGCCCGGGCGCGGCCGCGGCCTCTGCGACCGCCATCCCCGCCGACGGCCGCCCCTCCGCTGCTGCTGCTGGACGCGCGGCGCGGCCGGCGAGGGTGAGGACTCGCACTGGGCGAGTGGGCGGAGCGGCTCCTGGACCCGCTCTCCGATCCCCGCCTCTGCGTCGCGAACATCCAAATGAGATCGTTACTTGCGGCCCCACACACTGTGAGAGTTGACTGCTACTGGCACTGCCGCGCGGCTGCTACCGGCTGCCACTCACCGCGAGGGCGTACGTCCTGGCCTGCTCCAGCACCACGGCCACGAGGCACGCCACGTCCTCGGCGTCCGCGGTCACGGCTGCTTCCCTGCTGCCTGCGAAGGCAGCCTCTCCCGCCGGCTTCTTCTCGTTGGAGCTGGCCGAGCCGCTGGAACGCAGCGTCCCGGTGGAGGACGCCGCCGACAGCGTGGCGAAGGGGTGGCGCCGCATGGTGCCGGGGAACCAGGAGTGGGCCGAGGCGCCCTGGAACAACAGCAACAACGTGTACTCGTGTGGGCGCGCGGCCGACACCAGTCACCTCCAAACAGCACACGCACCTCGATGCGCAGCGCGCGGCACAGCAGCAGCCCCCGCAGCAGCGCGCCGATGTACTGCAGCTGCCGCGGGCTGAAGTGCGCCGTCTCGGCGGCCGGCCCGTTGCTGGACACGCGGAAGCCCAGGCGCCGCGACCTGGTGGCCGCGGGGGGCGTGCTGTCCTTGACGGCGGCCGTCCAGGCGGGGAGCAGCGCCTCCTCCAGGCGGCCCCAGCAGTCGCCGCTCGTCGCCTCCTCGCCCGGCCAGCACGTCCAGCTCTGACAACACGGTCAATCCCATCAGGCACCTGGCGAGCAACGCGAAGCGCTTCTCCTAGGTCCGCGTCCTAACCTGGTGCGAATGTCGCCGGGTCCTGGCGTCCACACCCGCGCCGGAGCCGAGGCCCTGGGGCACGCCAGGCACGGCGGGGGCCGAGCAGTCAACGTGCAGACGGCGCAGGAAAGCGGCCAGGGCAGAGGCGTCGCCCATCAGGGCCTCCTCGGACAGCGGCACGCCCTGGCGCGCGCTCGCCGACAGGATGTGCAGCGACGGGAACAGGTAGCTGCGTTCGCTGGCGCCGCGCAGGACGCACACCAGCCTGTCCAGCACGGCGACCACGTGCAGCGCGGCGGACGCGGGCAGCCAGCGCTGCATGTGCAGCATGTCGGGGTCCTCGTCCAGCTCCAGAGCTTCCAGGCGCCAGAGCAGCAGCGACTTGAGGGCGTGCCTGGACACGGCGCGCAGGGCCAGGGCGCGGCGCACGGCGTGCAGGGCGCGGAGGGCACGCGTCACGGCGCTCCGCGGGCCGTAGTGGCGCAGCAGCGTGGCCTCGGCGCAGGGCGCCCACAGCTGCCAAGTACAGGGCCGGTCGTCGCACCGCAGCAGCAGCGGGGGGCCGCTCGCCACCAGGAAGCAGCCCGTCGTGGCCACGTGCTGGTACAGCAGGCAGTCGGGGTGCGTCAGCGGCACCCTGGCCGGCAGGTCGGTGCCGCGCGGCCACCGGTCCACGCCCACGCCCAGCACCAGCTTGACGAGCACGTCGCGGGTCAGGCCCAGTCGCAGACGCACCCACGGCGACCCCTCCACGATGGCGATGCGAGCGTCCCTGGGGTCGGGGTAGCGGTCAGTACCGGACGCCAGGAAGAGCTGCCCGTCGGCGGGCAGCGCCAGGAGGTCCGCCAACACCGCGGCGTCCACCACCTTGCCCGGCGCGCCGCACAGCCGTGACTCGTCCACCTGGGGGCCGCAACGTTGGCACAGGGTTAGACAGAGACAGGGTGTCAAACTTGAAGCAGAGCGAGGAGCCTTTCCGGCGATCTTACTTGCAATGGCGAGTGCGGCCCGCGGGGCCCGCGAGGGGCAGGGGTGGGCAAGGCGACGCCCCCTGCCGGGGGCTTCACGGGCCTCACGGACGGCGACGACACGGGGGCGGCGGCGGCGGCCAGCAGCTCGACGAAGCGCTCCTGCACTTTGTCTCTGCAAGGAGCGTGAAAACGTGCAGGCACAGGAGACTCTGGATAACAGTCCTGTGTTATCACCGCACTTACCTCCGCAGGAAGCCGCCGGGGCTCAGGAATTCGGCCCACGGGTCGTGGTCGTGGCCGTTGGCGCGCAGGCGAGCATAGCCCTGCGGCACGGCCTCCTGGGCGGCGCCCTCCACCACGCGACACGGCGGCGGCGCGTCCCCTGGGTACAGCGCGGGGGTTGAGAGCGCGTCCAGGCGGACCAGGTACTCCAGCGTCAGACCGTCGCTCTGAGACAACGAGGGCCGTGAGTGGAGGCTGTTTGAGGCGGACGCCAACGCTCTAACTGCGGCGAGAACTCACCTCGCCTGAAGTCCGCCGGTCCAAACAAACGAGGTACTTGGAGGCGAAGCGCGAGTCGGCGGCCCCCACGGCGCACAGCAAGCGCTGCACCAGCCGCTCGCAGACGGCCTCCACGCCGGGCGCTATGTCCCCTGCACAAGGCCACCCCAGGCACATCAAGGCTGGATCGGACACGGTCGCCGCCGCCACACAGAGGCTTACCTTGCATGGGCAGGTCATCCCGGATGATGTCCCCCAGCACGGCGTCAGCGCGAGCGAGCTGCGGCGCGGTGAACTTGATGGTGTCGTGCTGCAAGGCGAGGCTCGCCTCTGCACCCTTGCCGCCGGCCCCGCGCCGGCCTCGAGGTCCTCGACGGCCGCGAAGGCCCTCCAGGCACCCGGCGTCCTCTTCACTGCTGCCGCCGCCGCCGCTCACGCAGCCGCCCGCGCCGCCCCCCATGGCCTGAGGGGGCCGACCGCCAGCACTGCCGCTTTTCGCCGCTTTCGTCTGAGCAGAAAAACCCATCGGAGAGATATTAGCCATTTCCTTATGCCTGTGACGTCACGTCACTCCCGCGAGCGGCCGCCTATCGCGCTACTCGCGCCCCTTCTCGTTCATCTCCCGACGCCCCCCCGACGCCCCCGCGACGCACATTGCCATTGCCGGGAGTGGGCGCTGAGCACGCAGGGTGCCGCCGGCGTCGCACGCAGGGTGCGTGTCCAATGATTATTTCTTCGCCCAGAGCCGGTTCCACTCGACACCACGAGGTGTCGGGAGGGACGACGTTGGCGAGCTCGAGCACAATCGATTGCCACAAGTGGAGCTCCCTCCCGCGGACACGGAGACGGAGGCGAAGCGAAGGCAGCGCGGAAGCCGCCTTGCGGTGCTCGCGGTGCTCGCGGTGCTTCCACGGGACAACGCCGTCAAATAGTCGTCGCCTCGTCCTGCAATTGCTGCCGCTCCGCGAGTCTAGTGTGTGAGCGGGGAGGTGACGCGGCGCGGCGCCGGAGCCAGAGGCCAGAGGAAACCACACTGCTATTACAGGCGATGCGGCGGCCTCACGGAGACGGGCTGGTGACGACGGGAGCCGCCAATTCAAATAGAGAGGGAAAAAAAGGGAGAGATTTTTTGACGGGAACCTCCTTTTGGTCTTCCCCCATCACTTAAGACCACACCATTGCCGCTTTCACGCGTGTGGATGCTACGCCCAGTTTCCTACATTCCTGACAGACCCGCGCCCAAAAGATAAGGCCACCAGCGCGACAGTAAATTGACAGTGGCGGCCCAGCCAGCCCAGCCCTCCGGTGCCGCAAGAGGAACAGGGCGCACTGGGCGCACGCAGTCGTACTACACACGCCGTCAACGCCTCCCCGACGCGAGGCGCGAGATTAGGCCAGCGCCAGCCCCCCAGTGCCCGCCAGCCACGGCGGCCCCTTTGACAACCTGGCCGGGCCGGGACGGGCCGGGCGGGGTGCGGGCCGCCGAACACACAGGTGCCGCCGGGTACTTGAGCACGACGAACAATGGCTTGCTGATTGCTGATTGTCCCCCACCGTGTCACGCACCGCCCCGGCCGGCGGTTCGCCTCTCGCTGCGGTTCACGGCGCCGTCTGTTTTGCATGCGCCCAGCAACCGCTTCCGGTCCAGCAGCTTAGCGCAGCTCCGCAGACTGATGCCGAGAGTCACTTCCTCGCACTCATACCGTGAGAGCGACGGGTCGACGAAAACGACTCTTGAAATCAGTCTGCAGCTTGGGCGCTCCTTGATGAAGGCGAGGGCGCCGTGAAGGCCCCTGACTTACCCCGGCTGCCCCGGTGGTGCTTGCCGCGCTGCACTGCCTCCGCGGGGATCACGGCGCTACTGGCGGCGCGCCGCGTCCCCCACGGCCTCCATGGCGCTCCGCGGTGCCGCACTCCGTGTCGCGGCCCCGGCTGACCGCGCTGCGCCGCGCCACGTGTGTCCCCGCCCCGCCCCCGCGCAGCTTCCGGTCGAGTTTTGCCGTGGACCGCGCAGGACACCGTGCGGTGCACGCTGCACGCCGTGTCGGTGCTCGCTGCCTCGGTGCGTTGCCGCGGTGACCGTCCGGAACGCGGCCCGCGCGGCCCGGGGACGAGGCTGGGAGGCCGGAAGTGGCGGAAAGCCGTGGCGCGGCACTGTCCGTCCTACCGTCGGCTGGCTGCCCAGCCGATGTGTGGACTGCGCTCCACCAGCTGCTGAGCCCCTGGCGAAGCGAATGCAGTCATCCTGGAGGGCCAACCACCTGCGATCCTGAAGCCCTGGGGCTCTCGACACCCAACTACGACCACCTCGCGGCGGCGCTGCTCTCCGTCGCTTCAACGCCGGGCCTCCTTCCGGCCGCACGCCCAGCACGCCGCGCCGCGTCACGCCGCGCACGCACGCCTGCTTCCGGTCACTAGTAAATGGCCATGAGCGCCGTCGGCTCGCCGTCGGCTCGCCGTCGGCCTCCGTACCTGGATGGTGTGGAAGGGGTGGCTGGCGTCGGCGGCGAGGTCCTGGTAGTACCCCATCTGGGGCAGAGGAGGCAGCTTGAGGACGTAGCGCGCCATGGCCGTGCTGCCGCGCGGGCCGTGCGCCACTCACTGCGACTCACTGTGGCGGGAGTCCAAGGCAGGCCGACCACACCCTCGCCGCGACCTTTCATTCGACGGGCAGGTGACACCTCTCGGTGACACCGTGGTGGCATCCGGTGCCCAGGTCAACCGTCAGGGACAATGTAACAATGACTCGGGCACACACATACACACAGCGCCAGTGCCTCCTGGCTGGAGGCCCCCCGAAAGTGCCGCGAGCCGCGTTCTCCGCGGCAAGCAGCTCGCTGCACTGCAAGCTTCCCGTAGCCCGGCGTAGCCCCCACACCTCTGCCCCGGCCTAGACCGCGGCCCCGCGGTGGGGTTGGCTAGGGGTAGCCCCTTGCGTGAGCAAGCGCCTTAGCCCAAGGGCGGATCCAGGAATGGGCTCTAGGGGGAAAGCACCAAAAGTTGCTTACTTACAGAGGCAAAGCGCGACATTTTGCCTTTCCTCCAGGGTGCTGCGCCTTGGGCTGCGTCGCCTGCAGTACGAACAAAGCCCCCTTTCCTCCCACCAACAAGGTGTCAGGAACAATAATTTATTTGGAAAAAACATCAATTACTGACAACATATTTTATTTAATCAATATTTTAAGATAACATTGATAACATTGGCTCAATGATAAATGACAAATAAGATAACTCGCAAAATATAATTTTTTCATACAAACACAAAGTTCTCTGATGTGTAAGTACTTCAAAGAACAGCCTAAAAGTAGTTACACCACCAATTTCCCTTTTTTTAAATTCTTCCAAACATACATAAAACTTATGCCATATCACAGATATATTTTATAAAATGTAATGGTTTGTTTTAAATTAACTTACGTTCTATTGACTTCTTCACACGGATAGGGAATCACCAGAACCAAATGAGTATTGGTGGTGTGTAAAATCCCCACAGAACAATACATGCATCATTACACCACGCAGCATAGCGATCATCCTTGCGCAAAATCCCTTGGATACAATACTTTAGAGTTTTGTCTAACCAACTCCATACTTCAACATCTTCTCCATTTCTTAATATGAACAGATCGCCCATACCTTTAGTAAGAAATTTAGTTGATGGTTCCACCTCAAATTTGTTGAACTGAATTTTCCCTGTACTGTTTAGAACAGAACCAATTGTGTTACCTGATTGGTATAAAATAGAATCTCCAAACAATCCCAAACTTGTGTCTTGGAATGTAAGACCCAGGGGAGGAAGTACACAATGCTTTCCTCCTTTCAAACAGTCCCAGATAGTGAATATTCCTTGCTTGTTCACACTAACAAGAAAGTTACAATTTAAATGAATACGCATTATTGTAGACGTGTCTTGAAGCTGTTTCACACATAAATCTTTCTCTAAACTATACTCTAAAATAACATTCCCTAGTACTTTGCTTTCAAGGGCTACATAGATAAGAGAGGCATGAGAACCAAGAGCAACATCACTAATTTTATAGTTTTCAAATGGTAACTTCAAAGTCTTAAGATTTCCGCCAGGTTTAAGGGACAGAACTTCTACAGATTTAATAGTACCCCAAAAGGCTACAACAGGATCTTGGCATGCTCTTGCATAGCGAAATTCATCCTCCTCAAAATTTTCATAGATGTTTTCCACAAACCAATCATCTAGGGCTTTATCAGTTTCGCCAAGAGACAATGGAGGCAAATCAGGTGCTTCAACTATCATAGCCTTAGTATAACACAAAGTGTAATTTCCACTGTCACTTTTGTGGTAGACTTGTAATAGTCCAAGCTGAAGAACCGCAAAAGAAGTACCCTCCAAAAATATTTCAGATATGACAGCATTTGAGAATAAACAGGAAACATATTCAACAAATTCTGGCTTCTCTTTTGCTTGCTTCCATATTGTAACACCACCTGTGTCGTCGCCGAGGACAACAAACATGCGATTGAGATCCATTGAGGTGATGAGGACATGCCCTAATTGTTCAGAAACAATTTCATCAAAGTTCTGGATGGCATAACAGCCTTGTCTCCAATTCTTGTACAGATGTGCACACTGAAGAAAGTCCACATGCCAGGAGCACAATGGGACTAGTCTTGATCCTTCTTTTTGCTCAGGTGCTTTAAAATTGGGCTCCACACGGGAAGTAGTTTGGCTCCAAACTTCCGGTTGATCCAGAACTTCAGCCCAACCGCGCTGCAGACACAAGCGTCTCCAAAGCTCATTGCGATTAATTTCTTCTCGCCATCGCAAACAAACCAGAGAACAATTGGCAATATCTGATGCAGGCAGATATTCAAATATCATAGAAAGTATCTCAGGTGGAAGGAAAGCTTCGGTTTCTTCTAACATTTTGGTCATTGTAACACAACACAAAAATCTGTAAAAAATAAAACAATGTTAGGAATGTTTGCACTATTTCATGGAAAGAATACAAAAATTTTCCAAAACAAAATGTCACTCACTGTCATTTGCAACCCTATGCTGTGAACATATTGAAAAGTTTTAACCTAGCAACAACCATACGACTTGAAGCAGGTAACTTTTGAAAAGATGGTCAATACAAAGGGAGCCATGTCAAAGTACACTTTCATTAAGCAGTAAGAAAACAATTGCAAATTATCAGCTGTCATCAATGACAAGTGATCTGCACTGCAGCAAGGCCTAGCACTGCATCGAACAAACAAACCACAGAGGAAACAATTCGAACAAAACCAGGCAGGAACTTGTAGGTGACGAACTAAGTCTCTATTTCCTATTTGCCATCACATCACAAAAGTTTCCTGGTTCAAAAAAGTTAATCCAAGTGTTGTTTGTTTTTAATAACTGAACCACAGCCTTCTCACCGAACTCTGCTGGCCCTTCCCTTGAAGGCGGTGGCTTAAAATCCGAAGTGTCCAGTCCAGTGTTTCCTCATCTCCATTTTTCAGTCATTCGTCCAGAATCGGATTGTCAGTCTTTTCGCGAAACTCTCCGTAAATACCACGAAGCCTCGCCGTCACGCTTTGCCGCACTTGAGGGAATTGTGCCACAAAACGACCGTCTTGGACCACGTATTGCCCATGATTCTTTGTGTTCGTGTCTGAAATTCAGAAGTACAGTGGGCTGAAAGCTGAAGTGGAGTGAAGAGGCTCGGGGACGGCAAGGCAGTCCGAAGACTGGGTGTTGTCTGTTGTCTGGCTTTGTGTAGCTTTAAACTCTCATTTCAAGTCGACACCAATTTAGACAGAAAATGAGCGAAGAACGCGAGAGGGAAGAGGACCCACTAGTGGATTTGTGGCTCGCCAATTGGGAACAACAATGTGCCGAGCACTTGGAGAGCGAGCCTGATTGCGAGGGTCAGCTGCAGGCCGAGCGAGACAGATCCATCCACAATAATTGGTTATTGTTTCAGAACACGGCCACTGCTATCGCACAGCTGTATAAAGGTAATGCCTGCGACGCACATTCCTTAGGTTACTAATGAAACGCTCTCTCCGTCGCTACAGTTAGGCCGTCTGTTCTGGGAACTGACAATATTGATTTGTTGCGGGTTTGTTTATTATTTCAGATCGGCAGCAGGGCGTTTCGTTATGGATTCCCTTTCAAACGGCCGCCGGCACCGTCACTTCACTGTACAAAGGTATGGCAGTGCCGTGTGTGTGTTTTGCGATGGAAGCCTCTGTGAGGTGTCAAGGTTGATTGCTGTGACTTCTGTTGTTTTGATGAGGTTAAGTGCATGCACAGCCAATAACTATTCAGACACCCCCTAAAAGATGTAGTTTCAACCCAAGTTTGTGCAGTTATTCTCTTTCTGCTCCATTTCCATGCTCTCTGTGTTTGTTAAAATTTAAATTAAACTAACCCGCCTAGTTTTCTTCCGTAGCAGTCCCTTTACTATGTTTTTACGATGTTCAAAAGTAATGTTCTGACCCAGTCTGACCTCTTTGCAATAACGACTTTTTTCACTTAAATCAACATGTTTCAGAATTTTCTATCTAGCAGAAGCAAATGAACTGTTAAGATTGTCCACAGTCTGATTTAATTTTTCATCTAGTTTGCTGTATTTCCTTTGTTCTAGTCTTTTGTAATATCATCAATTCTTTATGACTAGGTTACATATTAGTTTTAAATGACGGTTGTTTTATTTCTAAGGAGTTACCTTTTTATTCTTTGAATTTCTAAACTTATTTTCAGATTCAACTGATGCCATTAGGCGGGTAGGTGAGCTAGGAGTCCAGTGTGGCTATCAACGGCGTAATAAGGAGTTAATGAACTGGGCAAGAAAGAAACGCCGCCACATTCGCCGAGAAGACTTGATGGCATATTTGGCAGGCAAACCACCCCCATTACGTCCTCATCATAGGTATGCTGTTGTGGGTGACTCAGACAAACAAAGATATAAAATTTCATTCATTTTTCTGTTTGTAATTTTTATTGTTAATGTTTCTAATAGTTTGTTTTTTTGTCTTTTCAATTTTTACATATTAATTGCAGCAGAGTCTCACCGAGGCCAAGGGTAATGCTGACAGAACGTCATGGATCTCCCAATGCTCAGCAGATGGACATCCACCATTTCCACCACAATAACCCAGCCACTATCAACACAGAAGATAACATGCATACTTTCAGAGAGGCCTTGTCTATTGCAAGTAAGTGTGATTTTCTATTCATGTTTGAAATGACCAGTTTTTTGCAGTTGCTCAGATGCCTTGTACACTTTACCGTTTCCTTTTCCTTCCTAAGGTTCAAATGTCAGTTTTGCTCGGAAACCAAGGTCTGCTGATCTAAGCACCTACATCGCAAGCGAATTTGTACGTAATGGTACTAAACGGCCGGCATCTTCGAGTCCACCTCATGATGTTAATATGGATTCTCCTACTCACAAACGAACTCGCTTTATGTAGTATAAATGTAAGTACACTAAAAATGAGACATTCTAGTGCACATTGTTTCTATTGATCTAATAGTTTTCTAATTCAATTGCTTGTTGGTTTGCAGATGTTAAGGGGAGGGGGGGATCAATAGGCAATGCCTGGGAACAACTAGAAATGTCACTTTGAATCTGTTATATCTACAACTGTGTGAACTGGGAGTATTTTTTTAAACAATTTAAATTGCTTTTTTGGCCGGCATGTCAGGTGGTCTGATTTCCCATGCCCGTATGCTATTTTCATTCACATTTTATCTGTAGTTATTTCAGGAACAGGTTTAGTCTTTGTTCTTTCCATGTGTTACTCAGTTTTGCAGTTTAAAGCGGATAGCTTACTTGGTTCCCTTGCTCATTGTTTCTGTTTGTTAGCATTGTTATTTTTTTTGTTTGTTTTATCAGTGCTTGGGTGGTTATGAAGATGTACATATGATGTATTTAACATGTGCAACCAATGAGCCTTTAACAAAAGGCCCCTGTAAAGTTTTATTTTCCTGTAGATCTTTCCAGTATGTGATGATTTTGCTGTATTTCAGCATAAAATCTAAGGAAAACTATTCTTCTGTTTAAAAAATTTAATGTATATATCCATAAATATATATACATATATATCTTATAGTTAAACACTGTGAAAAATAAACTATGTAAATAATAGCATTGTTTAAAGACAACTGTACACAATCCCTGATTCTAGTAAACCTTAAATTATTGAAAACATTTTTGAAATGTGAGTTGAAACATATCACCCCATATGCAGTACTTCGATTTTGTATTTGAGGCTTGATCAGTACGTCCTACTTGTTCAGACTCCAAAACCTTTGGAGAGACTTGTTGAAATTTTTATGATGCTGCTGCCGCTCCTTGATCATACAGGCCAGGATTAAAGAACAATCGTTTGCTTACTCCATATTTGTAGAATGAAAGTGTTTGTATTTTATGAGAATGATGATAATATTCTTCAAATTTATCATTGATCTGAAAAAGGTTTGAACATAACTTAAACTGCTTTAAAAAGAAAAACAGTCTCAACAACTTGATGCAATTGGAGTTTACCAGGTTTTTCATTTGATCCAGGTCTTTGTCGCATGCATGTTCTTTAAAGACCTCAATGAGAGCCATGAACAGCCAAGAACCATATTCTTCAAACCTATTTGCAGTTGTTCCTATAAAAAAAATTGCATTTAATTTCTAAATATTGTATTGAATGGTAAAAACTTCAACCAAATATCCTGGCAGAGAAAAAGAGAGAAAAGAAGAGTCTAGAAAAAACCAATAGGTTTTCCAGCATGTGACCGACCTTCAAAACATGGAGCCAGAAAGAAAGTATCCAACCACATATTTCGCCTATGAATAATTTCAGTGCGTCCATCTTTATCATCCCTGAAAATAAACATCTTTGATGGTTATATCAGCTGATTCCAACACAATTCCAAACTAAGCCAAACCATACATTCCTACAACAATGTTACCTGCATGCATTGATACAAAATATTTTTGGTTGTCCTTGAGGTAACTTGCAACAATCAAACAATGAAATGACCTCATTCACAAGGATTGGATCCGATTCGTCTAAATCATCAGATGAACAAATCATCAATTCCATTGAGTCATTAACTTTACCATGACTTGAAATTGCTACAATTAGAGAATCAACTGTTGATAAATCTTCTTTGGCGGCGAATTCTTTGAGCAAGCGCCGCATATCCTGAAGACAGAAGAAACTTGACTGAGTGCCACCAGGAAATAACATAAGGTAGTACATAGAAAAGACTCATGCCCATACCTTCTTGGTCTGATTTTGGTGGTATGTACCTACATAGCCCATATCTATCAAGAGATTTCCAAATGCCCTATCTAAATGTGCTCCTTTTCTTTCATCAAGTTTCTGAAATTTGATATTGTTGATAAATATGAAATAGCCTCTTGGGTCTGATGTCATCTTATAAACCTTTAAATCATACCAAAAGTTCCAATGAAACGTCTTATTAAATGGTGAAAGGGTAGTAAATAAAAAACATTTGCACATACAGATTGGCTTGGACGTTGGATTGTGCGAGACTTTTTTACTTTCTCCTGTTCATCTCTTGATTCCGTATCGGTTTTACCACTGTGAAAGCCAGTCAATATCATATATTGAGTTAAATGACCCGTATTCTTAAAACACTGTAAGAGATCCTTGAAGGCGTTTGGCCCTCGAGTTTGAATATCTTCAAATAACGACTGACATTTCAATTCTTCAGTTTTTTTCATGAAAGATTCACTCTAAATTGGAAGGAAAGGAACAGGAGAAACGTAGCAATAGATCAGATCCACAAAGACTGCCCTATCAGTAACAAAACAAAACTTACCCGGTACATTTGCAGCTGTCTCTCAGTAAATAGGTTCTCCAGACAACCTAAGACGTAATCAAAATTGCAGTTTACTGACAATTTGGATAAATTGTCGTTAAGAGTTTGTCTATCCTTTTCATCCATTTCATCAATCCAAGAGAGAAACCTCAAGCCTGACAAGTATTTGTTGTCACCGACGACCACGGTGCGAGTTGTTGTTGTTGTTGACGTGAGTGACTGTGAATATCTCTTGGATCAATTATATGCACTTCGGTGCAGTAAAAAAGTCTTTTAGCGCTTTTAGGTTTGCTTTAAATAGTTGGTGTGGTGTAGTGAGGGAAATTAGTGTTTCATTTGAAATAATTATGAAAGTATTATTACCAAAATAAAAAGTAACGAGAGTCGCAATGCTCTTAAGTGAGTGTTCGCAGGTCTCCTGCAGGGAATCTCTCCAATCCTCCCCTCCCCTTACCCTCCCGCCCCCTCGTTCCCGCCTCTTTTGTCAGATTCGGAGAGTTCTTCAAGAAGTTTTGTTGGTGCCTGTCTTATTGTTGGGATTAATCGGGATCTACGTGATCTGCAGGTACATCCGGGGGCTAATTAAGGTACCAAGCCACTGTCTGTGTTAATGCCAACGTACATAGGTATTTATTTTAACGCTTCATCATAATTGACGCTGCAGCTTGGTAAACTCAAAGGTTAGGAGAATGCCGAATGTATTTAACGATCACGGTTTCATAAGAGAGAAAACCATAGTAAAGAAGGTAGAATTTATAACATGTTTACTTTAATCATGTGCACACCAGTGTTGAGCTGTGTTGCCACTGCTAAGTAGGCTATCAAGTTGCATCTCTAGGGAACTACTCTTCTAATTTTCCTATACCATCTCTACTTGTCTGTTTTGTCCGCAGACCTTCACAATGGAGGAATCTTCTAGTCATGCTGCAAGCTCGTCGGGAAGTGAAACATCTGATGGACAAAATGGAAAGGATGTGCCTCAAACTGATGGGGTAGATAATGCCACGGAATCCACAGCCAATGGTAGCACAGAACCATTGTCCAATGCAGAAACACATTCTGAGATGGATGCAGTTCTTGAAGAAGAAAGTGAACGCTTAGATAAAGTGATGTCAAAATCCCAAGAGGCACACAAAAAAGATTACAAGCCACAGGTAAGTTGTGTTCTGTTCCATAATTTAAGATTTTTTAAATATGATTACTTAATTATCATCGCCTGACTACTGATACACATCTTCCATTCCTTGTAGGACATTGACAAAAATCATCAGTATAAGAAACTTGTTGAATTATTGACTAAAAGCCAATTTTATACCGAGTTTCTTGTTAAAAAATTAGAACAAGATCCACTTAAAAGAAACAGTCCCAAAAAAGGGAGAGGAAGGTAATCAGTTTTCTTTCTTTCAAATGCTGCAGGGCATGATTTCCTTTGTACACTCTTACAAATTAATGTACAATACTGTCAATCTTTTAGGAAGAAGGATGACAAAAATGATCAGCCTGTGCCCCGCAAAGGAAATCAAAGAGACACCGAGCGGGTAATGGAAATTGCTGCTGATGTCATCGCCAATAAGGTATGCTTGTTACACGTAGGTTGTTAGGTTGCCTAACATGTGTATCTTATTTTAATATGTTTGCATTATTTTTTTTAAGAAATCTGGAGAGGAAGATGTTGAAGAGGGGCCAGCTGCAGAGGATGCTGACAGTGGTAGAACAAAGACATTGGAAAGTGGTCTTGTTGTTCCTCTTGGTCAACCAAAGCTGCTAGTTGGGGCATGCCTCAGGGACTACCAAATGGAAGGGCTTAACTGGTTGAGAGTAAGTTGAATTTTGAATGGTGCCTCAATTATAGTCTCTCTCACTTTTACTGAATGTCTTCATTTAAAGTATTTACTTGCTGAACTTTTTTAAATGAATTTTATTCTTTTCTAGCTGTTGTTTGAAAATGGTGTCAATGGAATATTGGCTGATGAAATGGGTCTTGGCAAGACTATTCAAGTAATTGCTCTTATTTGTCACTTAGTAGAAAAAAATGTTCGTGGTCCTTTCCTGGTCATAGGACCTCTCTCAACCCTACCTAATTGGGCAATTGAGTTTGAACGATTTGCACCACAGGTAGGGAATTCTCTAGTGCTTTGATTGGAGATATTTGCTAATTGGATTTGTTAATTAATATTTTAAAATATTGTCGTCCTTTAGATTCCTTTTATTTTGTATTATGGGAATGAAGAAAGTAGAATTGCATTGCGGAAGAAGATGTCACAGAAAAAGGTGGTAGAGGGTCATAAGGTTTACCCTGTTATTATCACCTCTTATGACTATCCTCTCAGAGATGCCAAATTCCTCAATAAGACAAGCTGGAGATACATTATAATTGACGAAGGCCATCGCTTAAAGAACCACAACAGTCTGTTATCACGGTATGTTACCCTGCTTGTTTTACCTACCCACAATTCTCTTGTTGGTATTTATTTTAATTTACATTGTCACCAATAGGGCACTCCGGCAGTACACATCTGCAAATCGTCTGCTTTTAACTGGTACACCGCTACACAACAGTTTAAGTGAGCTTTGGGCCTTGTTAAATTTCCTTGTCCCAGAAATATTTGACAATCTAGAAATATTTGAATCTTGGTTCCGTATTGAAGATTTGTCAGATGACAACGCCAGTGAAAAGGTTCTTGAAGAAGAGAAAAAGTCACAAATATTATCCACGATGCACAAAGTAATTTTTGTGAAGCTAAACCAATGAAAAAGTTTTGATACTGTGATGGTGTAAACTGGTTCATCTTTACTCTTTGTAGATCCTTTCACCTTTCATGTTGAGACGGGTGAAGTCTGAGGTGAAATTAAACCTTCCCTCCAAGAAGGAGTTAGTTGTATATGCTCCAATGAGTTCCATTCAGCTAGATTTATATAGAGCAGTCTTGGATTACAATTATTCAAAACTGAAAGCTATGGATGAAGTAAGTACCAGAACAATGAACTTGATTGTAATGTTTGGTTTCTTGCATTTTTTTATGACCTTATTTCTCCTAGCAAAAAGATGTTGAGGAAGATGGGTCACGCCCCAAACGTTCCTGTACTCAAACTAAGAAATATTATGTATTGGAGGATCTGTTTCATGATGAAGATGCTCTTATGAACAGTTCTGGATCAACAATTGATAAGTTAGTATTCTACTAGACCTCCTTGCCCCATGTGTGTGCTGGATATTTGATTTTTTGTCTATGACCTTGTTACAGTAAAACTCTGATTGTTGAAGATAAAGAAAACCCTAAGTATGCAATCCGAGTAAAAATGCAGAATTCCTCTATGATGTTGCGCAAAATAGTCAACCACCCATATTTGATTCAGTATCCTTTGGAACAAGGCACAGAGTATGCTCGTATTGATGAAGATCTAGTGAAAGCATCTGGCAAGTTGCAGGTTCTGGATGCTATGTTAACTAAATTGAAGGAAAGAGGGCATAAGGTACCCTTTCATCTTTTCTTCTGTACTTTTATGTTGTTTGGATCAAAACAACTGTAATTTCAAAGCTTTCTTATTTTTTATTTATTTTTTATTTTTTTACCTTTTCATATTTTATTAATCTTTTCTTTTTTATCTCATAGGTTCTATTGTTTAGCACATTCACATCACTTATTGAAATCCTAGAAGACTATTTATCTCTTCGCTCGTTCCCCTATGTTCGACTTGATGGCAATACCAAGTTGGAAGATCGCCAAGCTTACATCAAGCAGTACAACAATGATCCTGATATGTTCCTATTTTTAATATCTACCCGTGCCGGTGGTCTTGGTATCAATTTAGCTGCAGCAGACACTGTCATCATATTTGATAGTGATTGGGTACAATGTTTTTGTATATTTGCTAGTATTTTTCAAGTAAGTCCCGTTTTACAAGTCTTTTCTCTAATGTGTTCTTGATCTTACAGAACCCTCAGGTTGACCTGCAGGCTCAAGACCGTTGTCACAGGATAGGCCAAACCCGTCCTGTTGTTGTTTACCGGTTTGTAACTGCTGGAACTGTTGATGAACGAATATTTGTTAGAGCAGCAGCAAAGCGCAAACTTGAGAAAATTATTATTCATAAAGGTACTTTTTCTAATAAATTGAAATATATTTAGTGTATTTGGAATGACAGCAATTTTAGTTTCAAATAGATGTGCCGTACTCGACATATTACTTATTAGCCTCCCTCTTGTTCCAGGCAATTACAGTGCCCTTAAACCAAAAGATGAACACTCCATTGATTTAGTAGAGCTACGAAAACTGCTAAACTCTCGAGATCATCAGCAGGTGATTTATCCTAATGGTTATGGTAAGTATCTTTATGGATTCAGTATACGAACTGTATGTTTTCATGGTGAAGTCCCCTTATGTGTTTTTCTCTTTGACAGTTTTCTCTGATAACGAACTGGACGAATTGTTGGATCGATCTGACTTAATTGATGGAAAAGTTGAAAATTCGTCTTCAAGTGGTTCCAAAGTTGAAGAACGGTCATTCAAAGAATACTATGGGTATACAGGAACAAAAAAAGTCATCAATGATGAAGAAATCAGTAGTAATGTTCAAATTGTAGATCAAGATAGCAATGATGCGCCTTGCGAGGTCACTCCTGTGAAAAGAAGCCCCATGAAAAAGAATGGCTCATCTGAAACTGTTTCAGTCCAAAACCATGATTCAGGTACAGTATAACATGATTTAAATTTGTCACCAAATTGTCAATTTTTGCCTTCAATATGATTGCATTTTTACCTTTGTTTTTTCATTTTGAAGAACTGAATGATCAGTCTGAAACCAATGATGCTGAAAGAAGTGCCCAACAGAACAAAGGCACAACCTCAGAGGGACCTGATGAAAGTGATAGTGGATCACAACCAGCCAAAAGAATCAAACTCCAGGATGAAGCTGAAGTTGGTTCATCTGAGTCATCAAAATCCAGTATACCTCGAACAAACAGAGCAGCCAAAAAATTATAGAAAAATTCTTTTCTAGTTTTATACATGTGCAAGTTCCTAGGTCTGGATTGACTTTGATGTGTAACTATTTTTAGTTTGTAACCTCCTGTCACAACTTGTTTTAAGTTACTTGCTGATTCTTTATAAGTTCTTAAACAGTCTCATTTCTACCAGTAACATTCCTTCAAACTGCCTTGTTTCCTTCAAATCTTCTTTCTGTCAAAACTTTATTGTGCTCATTTGTTACATGGCTGTTTCGAATTACTCAAAGTGATTTAAGATCCTTGTGTTTCGTTTTTTTTTTTCTTCATTTTTATTCTCATTTTTTTTATTTAATCAACAATAAAAGTGGATGAGGAAACAACACAATACACCTCTGAGTTTATTCCCTTGCCATCTCACCCTGTCACTTGGGTGGCGCATGGCCCAACCATAAAGCGGCGGCTATTTACACTCTAGAAGTCTCTCTGGTGATGAAGCAGAAATTTGTTTGATCAGGGAGGAACGCCCTAAACCGCGAACTGCGTCCCCTGTGCGTCCCACTTTTCGTATCGGGCAATCGCCCGCGGGGAAGTCGGGAACAGATAGCGGACGCCTCGCGAGCGAGGGAGATAGCACGACACCTTCGTCAGCTGACTGGCGACTCCCCACTCCACTCTCCACTGCGGTCCCCACGCCACGCCACTGCTCCCCGACGCGACGCTGACGCTTGTCTGTGCTTGTCTGTCTGGCACGCAGTCGCAAGTCGCAGCATCCCTCCTCGACACGCCCATCGTCCTGAGTATCACAACCGTCAGCATGACCCAAAGGAAGGAAGATCCAGCCGTGACCAACTTCAGAGAGTATCTCAGGATCCCGTCCGTCCATCCCGACGTCAACTACGGTGAGGTCAAGTTCCCCGTTCGAGTCAAGCAGTCAGCGTCAGCGTTAGTGACTGTGAGTCGCTCGCCGGCAGGCGACACTGGAGGGGTCGTTTGATTCTTTACCATCTACTGACTGAAAATTGATGTCCGTAGTCAATTGGCTTAATGCTGACATACTGTTGGCGTCAGTCTGCAAATCTGAAATGTGTTGAGCATCTTGCATCTCGGACCCCTGGAGATGTGTGGATGGGGGTTGAGGTTTGGGGCTGACTTATTTCGTCCCCTATGCTCGCAGATCCTCAACGTTTCGTAGCCAGTTTTGGGACATACGGTGAAAACTGTCTTTCAAGGCTTGCCCTTTTCTTGAGATAAGCGTTAATCCCCCTGCTACGTGACGTCTTTTGGTACACCAACCCCGTGAACGGTGTACGGGATGAGTGTACGTCATATGATGGGGACGCAGGATTGGTGTTGAACCGATTGTCTTTGGTGTGTGTATGTTGCGTCGTTAACTTAGTTATTCTGTCGTTTCTAGTTCTAGTTGCCCGTTCCCTTGGTTCTCGATGTTCTTGATCCTCAGGATGCGTCTGGTCGCCCTTTGTCTCCCCCTAGGAGCCTCTTGGGACTACCCTTGTTGCCATGGTAGCAAGGAGCATACCTTATCTGTGTACATTATGTGATTGGGTTGGCTTCAGTAAACTAGACCAGCTTAACTGTGCTTTACAACTCCTACCTAATTCTTGTAGGAACAGTAATGGTTAAAGTTATATTTTACCATTTATGTAATTTTGACGCACATTCTTAGCGAATCCAGTCAGTTACTTTTCTTCCACAATTATCCCTGAATTAGACTTCCTTGCTGTAATTTGTCTCATGAGCAAGCTTCATACATCTCAATCACTCTTAGCAATTTTCCACTTGAGCTGGTTGTTGGGGCCTAGCCACTTATCTCATCATAAAGCTAGCGTTCCTATCACATGGGGGTGTAGGATTTATATTGAATCAATTTTTCAATCAGGTCCATTATAATGTATAACTTGTTTCCTCTTTTTCAGATGATTGTGTTACCTTCCTGAAGAAGCAATCCGATTCCCTAGGGCTACCCTATAAGATATACTATGCAGTTCCAAAGAAGCCCATTTTTGTCATTACATGGGCGGGCAAAGATCCAAGCCTTCCTGCTGTTCTCCTGAACTCTCATATGGATGTGGTGCCAGTATTTCCGGTATGTTCTAAATTCTTATTATTAAGTTAATTCAAATAGTGATGTCATGTTTTTCATGCCAAGCTTTTTAATGTTTTACATTTATTTTTTGCAGGAAAGCTGGACCCACCCTCCATTTGCTGCTGAAAAAGATGAGAATGGTAACATATTTGCCCGGGGTTCTCAAGACATGAAATGTGTTGGCATACAGTACATTGAGGCTGTGCGTAGACTGAAGCTGAAAAATGTGCAACTGCTCCGGACTTTGCACCTGGTGTTTAATCCTGGTAAGTACCTCTTATCTACCTCAGTGGTAGGAACACATTGATAACCTCTGGGTTGATAAGGATAGACTGTGGTATTGTAAAGTTCTCATCTGAACTCTCGCTCAATGGAAATGTGTTTGACAAGTTTTTCTCGTTTCAGATGAAGAGATCGGTGGTGTTGATGGAATGTCAAAGTTTGTTCACATGAAAGAATTTCGAGATCTTAATGTGGGCTTTGCCTTAGATGAAGGCATGGCGAGCAAAGCAGATCACTTCATCCTTTTTCCAGGCGAACGCTCTATTTGGCGTGAGTTGGCACTCCCTTGTTAAAACTAAATTTACAACAATTTCTTGAATGGAGCTTCAATGTATCAAAATGTTTGCTTCCAGAAATCCATGTTCACTGCCCAGGCAACCCTGGCCATGGATCACTCCTTTTATCTAACACAGCAGGGGAAAAGTTGCGAGTTGTTATTGACAAATTCATGGATTTCCGTCAAAACCAAAAGGCCCGCCTTGAAAATGATCCTAATTTAACCATTGGAGATGTGACTACTGTGAACCTCACTGTTATTAAGGTATTTGTTGATTATAAAATACCAAATGCACCTACTGGCCTGATGTTGAGTGTCTGTATCCTATTTTCTGTTGTCAGGGTGGAGTGCAGACCAATGTTATACCACAAGAAATGGTTGCCTGCTTTGATGTTCGTTTGGCCTGTGATGTAGACCATGATGAATTTGAAAAAATGGTGAACGGATGGTGCAAGGAAGCAGGCTCTGACATTAAGATAGAATTTGAGCAAAAAAATCCCAAAATAGAGGTTACTAAACTGGACGAGACAAATCCTTGGTGGATTGCTTTTAAAAAGGAGTGTGATAATATGTAAGTACAGCATTATTGAAAATTTTAGAACTCTGAAAATTATTTAGGATTGCAAATACAAATTTTATTTAGGAACTTTGTGCTGTAATTTTGGATAAATGGGTTGTATTGGTGCAATTCAGCTGTGGGAATTGATTTGGGTTATTCCGTAGTTCAATGGTCTCTTTAGGTCCTTTGCCATGGCCTGAAATGGAGTTTCATTGACTTTCAGAGGAATGAACTTGAAGACCACAATATTTCCTGGAGGTACAGATAGCGGGTTCTTGCGTGAGGTTAGTCAGCATTTCCCCTCCAATCTTTGTCCTTTGGACTGTCAGATCTGTCATGTCCAAGCTTAGCTGTTCTTGCACCTCTAAAATAGCATTTTAGCACAATATTTTGTTGGAAATCGTTTTATTTAAATTTATTTTAGCTTTTGCAGTGGTCTAACATTGTTCATCTAGGTTACAGCTCTTAAACATTATCTTGGTAATGGGAGAAAACTATCAGTTGTAGGTTTTTCCTAATTTTTCCAGACAGTGCACAGTCATATTTTTTTAGAGTTCGGCAGATCTTAGCTTGATTGAATGGTCTGATTTGTTGCATCTAAACCTACTGATTTCTTTCACAAAGTTTCGGATGATCTTTATTTAATATAGTACCTTTGTTGGGGTTGGTGTACTATTTCTTCTTACATTTCAGACCCTGATCAGTTCAAATTTAAATAGTTTCATTTTCTCAAGGATGGTCTTTTTCTATGGTACATTTCTGAAAGATTTCCTCTTGTTAAATCTAATAATAGTTCTATGAACATGAATTTCAATAGTGTTCTAATTTATCCAAGTCTCATTTTTACTGTTAATTTTTACTTGCAGGAGTTTCAATCTTGTGCATGTGACATGTCCAGGTGCTACTGATGCCCGTTGGCTTAGACAGGTGAACATTCAATGTGTTTGTTGCATCTTTTGGGGAAGGGCTGTTGGCCTACTTAAGCTTGCAGCTTTCTCATAATATTTTTAAAAAAAAATTTGGATGGGGATTTGAACAATTGACCTCGATGCTTTTACAACTGAACAGTTAAATTAGTTTCATTTGAGGAATTGCTTTGGGCGCCAAGTCCTTAATTGTGAAATGTACCATTGGAATTGAGCAAATGTATTTTTCTTCATGTAGTGCACGCAAAATTTCTTTATCTCACCAGTAGTTCCCCAAGATGAGAAAAATTTAGTCACTTGACTGATCTTTCATAATTTAGTACCATTATGATGATAATACATTATCTTAAATTATCAATAAAATGCTGACAATTCGTTTTTTGTAAATAAAATAATTATTTATTCATAGGGGCCTGAAATTGAAAAGGGAGATCTTCCCTGGTGGCACGGATGGCAGATACATTCGTTATGTGAGAATCTTTTTTTTCATCTTTGCATTATTTAGTTACTTTTTAGTTACAGTTTTGCTTGGCTGCTTTATGTATTCGTTGAGAGCTTTCACACTTCGCAGTTTCAACATTATTCCTGCATGGCCCCATTATCAAGATTTATTGTTAGGTGAAGCACTCCAAGCATTTTCATTCTTTTAATTTCATCTTTTAGGTCGGCATTCCTGCATTTGGATTTTCCCCCATGAATAACACGCCTGTGCTCCTCCACGATCATGATGAGTATTTGAATGAGTCTGTGTTTCTTCGGGGAATTGACATCTATTATAACCTTCTTTCTGCTGTTGGCAACGTTGCACCTTAGAGGTATGTGCAACTTATGCTTAATACAGAGTTTCTCATTTTTCAATGTGTCAGCCATTGGCAAAGGTGGTGTTGTGGTGTTGTCTGTTCTAGGTTGAGTGTCAAATGAAGTGAGCTGGTGCTCCTCTCAAGATGGGAGCCTTGTGCCCATGCACACACTGTTATTGTTGTTTATCATTGTTGAACTAATTACCTTGAGTACAATTATTTTGACCTACAATTCGATTGTGATTTTTAAACACAGGGTGCTAGGTTTCTTATGCTACAGACTTCAAATTATTTTATCTGTAAAAATTATTTTATGTATGTTAACTGGTTGATGTATATTTTGACTGTGGAAAATGTTTGATGTGTTATGGGAGTTAAATATGTAACAGACCACATTGTTTTGTGGTTTGACTTTCTGTCTGTCTGTCTATCAGTCATCATGCAGTGCCATAGTCTTGTGCCAAAAAGCGTCAGGGCAATGTTAAAGACAATAGTCCCTGATTGTATGTTTCTCTCTAGTACCATTTCTGTGTCCAACCTTTTTCTATAAAGTAAGCATATTGATGATGGTCAGTGGGTTGTTAACTTTGAGTAAACCTGTGGTTTGGATACTGTGGGATCCATCTTGCAATTCAAACAAATACGCTGCATGTAACTTTGTTAAATTCAGAGTGCCACTTCAGGCTTGTTATTGTTACCTGAATAATGATATATTATGGAAGTTACCTATATGATTAAAAGAGAGTATATGTTCTCCTTGACAGTTTCGAGTTTCTTGACATATCGTCTGCTGTTAGCTTAGTCCCTTAGTTTGGTCGTGTTTACATTCTTTTCCCGCCAGCTGCCACCGCCCCTTTCCCGCCTTTCGGTACTCAATGGATACAACTTCCCCTCCCCTCCCCGCGGCTCCGCTTCCCCCACCTGTCCCCATCTCCTCCCGTGCCTACTCGCTACGACGCGCCTGGTCTGCGCATGCGTGGAGTGGCGACGGCCACGCTCCTGCGGCGACTACGACAACTACGACGCCACCTTGTACGGCGCGCGCACAGTGCAGTGTTATTGTCGGGTCTGCGGCTACTTGTATTTTTGCATCTATAAATGGGAATTATCACAGTTGCGTAAGTATACTGGAAAACTTTGCATATTTTTTCGCACGCCCATGTCAATTTATCCACCCCGAGGTTGCGGTCGACAGGAGAAATTTATTAGAAACTGATATTGAAGCTTTGCCGCCGAAGTTTGCCGCCATGTTGCTTACAGTAGACGTTGTTTCCCGGCTTATCCAGAGTCGTGAATTCACGCTAAAACTTTGTTTTTACGCCTGACTGCGGTTTGAACGGGTGTTCAGAAAAATTATCTGTAATACAGGAATTTGTTCTAAGTCATATTTTGTCGAGTTACGCCCCGAATTCTTTGTTTCGGGCTTGTTTGTGTCTTTATTTACGTTCCTCAACATGTGCATCGTTTTCATTTTAAAATGGCCTCCGAAGGCCTCCCTGTGCCAGCCAATGGGAAGGCAGCGCCAAAGCCACATGATTCAAACCGACCAATAGCAGCTCGGCTCTCTCGAATATCAGCTCGTCTTTGTTCGAGCATGAAACCGTCTCGCAGTCCGCTCGGCAAGGAAACAGAGCGAGATGGTGATATGTGAGGGACGAGAAAATTTAGATTTGTAGTGAATTTATGGTGAGATTGCTGTCGACATTGTATCAACACCACCTTATTATTAATTGGTGAGTTTGATTAGTGGCATTTCTATTCGGTTGGCTTCGTTTTAGGGGAGAAAAGGCATTTTTGTGGTCGCCTGACATGGAGACGTTTCATTTGCCGAGCCCGCTCTTTCTGCATTTGAATCTGAGGGGTGAGGGGTGTTTGTTTTGGTTTTGTCTAGGATCTCTGGACAAGATATTGTGACTTATTTTAGGACTTTTTACGGTTTCCTTGTTTGTTTATATCGATTTCAAACCTATTTTGTTTTAAATTTAAATTTTGAGCTATTAAGAAAATTACTAGAAACCTTCCGGCAGTCCGTCACTATGGCAACGAAGACAGCCTCTCGGACATCACCAATTTTCTGTCCGATTCTCTTGGGGATCTCGTGATACATATTCGAAGCAATGAATGAGAACTTTTCACACAGTTGCAGTTATGTTTGTTTCCTTCTCTCTGCTTCCCTCCTACTGCCTAACCTCTTCCTTTGCTGCTCCATCATCTGAATGATTATTTCTCAGTGCCCTGAAGACTGTCAAGCTATGAAATTGGTACCGATTACTGTCGATTTGCTTTCATTTTCTTCCCAATGTCATACGTGGTAAATAATATCTTTGACAGCTGTCAAGGCAAAGCTGGCAAAGCTCTGTTCAAAATTAATGTTTGGAATAGGCGAATTCATTGCTATCAACCAGCGCTTTCTTCTCCCCTTCGTCTTTGTCTTCGCAATTTTTTTTATTGATATGGTTATATTAAATGTCAGTATTGCACCGGCAGTTGCATGGATCAGAATAAATTTAAAGTGTATTTACTGAATGTGAACCATGAAAAGTACATACATAGATCATGGCATTTGGTTTGCATGACTGCTTTTCTCACTCCGATATTTTTTTTTCATAAAAGTAGTTGCCTGTGATTCTTAGGTTGCATTATAAGCACATTAGAAATGTAGCCAGAGACACTTAGGTCTAATTTATGGATTCCCTTCATTTATTTTCTGCGTTTGCTGTTTTATTGTGACAAATACTGAAACTGCAAACCTTTACAATGTGCCTCATGTGCTCAGTTTGCCAGCGCCAGGCTCTTGCAGACGACTACGTCCAAACTATGTTTTGCAGTTTTCTCTGTGGTCTTTTGACAATAGCAGCAGTTAACTCCCGTGCTCAATCACTGAAGGGTTTTCTATTTCGGTCCGGCTGGAAGTTACTTGGACTTGACTTTCCATCCTCATGAAAATTGAACGTAGTTAATCGCAGCAATCCTCACTGTGGCATCTAAAAAGGGGGCTTTAAAACGTTAGGCGTTGTGAGAGGGTCCGAGCCGGTGCCGGTGTTCATCCCCTAGCCGGGCCCCCGCCCTACCCTACCATGGCCGATGTGCGCGGGGCCCGGGGCGGGTAGGCCCGTGTAGGCCCAACCAGACAGACGGCGCTGCGCTGCGAGGGGGGTCTTCGCCCTCAGCTGTACAGTCCGCTCGCCAAGTTCGCGGCTCCCCCTCGCCCCTGTCCTCCCTTGTCCGCCCCTGGCTCTGGCGCCCCTCGGCCGGTAGGGCCTCTCTCTTCCCTCGCCTCGTCCCACCCCTTCCACCAGTGCCACCCCGGCGGTGGCGCTAGGCCCATTGTTTGAAGTATCCGATTGCTTTTCTGCGCTCTGCGCTAGCTGCTTGCTCATCATTGTTGTAGCCGGCCGGGCAGGGATGGGGTGGGTTTGTTGTTGGCACGGCACGGCGGGCGGGGCTGGGGAGCGACGTACGGACGGACGCATGCGCACTGCGCACGATGGGGTGGGAGCCACCCCTACCCTGCCCACCCCTGTGCGCTCCCCTGCCACCCCATCCCCGTCGCCAAGGGCAGCGGCAACGACCCTTGCTACGGTCGACACCCCCAGCGCAGCGTAGCGAGCGCAGCGCCGCCGAGGCACTACCCTCACCGCGTAGAGCGACCCGCCGCTTCAGGGAAGGCTTGCGTGGTTCGCAGGGAATTACAGCCAAGTTGAATTTACCGCCCGTCCCGGTGACGGATTTCCACCGCCCCCGACGACAATAAGGGTTGAGGTTGACAGACGTCTTGCGAGCCAGGCGGCCAGGCCCGCTGAACCTGGCCTGGGCCCCTTTAGTCGGGACTCTGGACGGACGCGGCACCCTGGGCACCCTCGCCTTCTGTGTCCGTCGGCCCTCGAGTGCAACTTTTATTTTTATGTCTGTTTCCCAACGCAGTTGGAGGGGGGCAAGTCCCAGGGCTGGCCAGGGCCCGTGGGGAAGGGGCCGTCGCGGCTTGAGCAGGACCATGCAGCCGAGCCAGCCATGGGCAGGCCCTGGGCCGGGCCATGAGCTGCCATGAGCCATGGCGGAGTGCGGCCTCATGGCCGGTGCCGGGCAGGCCGCGCTGTGGCCGCGCTCGCGCTCGGCCCGGCCGGAGTGAATGCACGCTCTCCAACAAGTTCAAGGACAGTCGAGGCGAGACGAGCACCTCCTCCTCCTTCCCTTCCCCGCGTCCACCCACACCTTCGGGCCTTCGGGGGGCCGCGGCGGGGAGCACGGGAACCGACGGGAACGCAGCCCGCTGCGCTGGAGAACTGCTCGCGTTGTCCGCCGACGGCGGCGGCGGCGCCAAGGCTCATGCTCGCCGGGCCGTGTCTGAATTTTGTAGCTTGTAAGCCAACGAAAGAGAAGGTCCTTCTGCCGGCCGGCCAACGAGTCCCGCGTTGGGCCCCTCGCTCCGGCCCCTCCGGCCGCGCCTCTCCGCTTTGCCGGCTTTGCCCCTTTCCTTTCCTTTTCGACGGGCCGAGCGGCGAGCGTCACCAAGTGGGGCAACGTTCAGTTTCCACATTTATTTTCGGAGCCGAAACGGCGCACCCGTTTCCCCCAGGATCGAGCTTTGCCGGCCGACCGATTCAGCAGTCATTTCTTTGCTCTGTCTCTTTCGCACTCAAGGGGCACCCCGAAATGGTGCGAGAGAGACAGAGCGACGAACTGCTCTTCTGCATTCGGTCGGCGCGGGGCGCGGGCAGACTCCACCGACGACACGAGACGGAATGCTGGTTTCGCGCCAAAACGATGCGCAGCGGGGGTGGGGGCTGTGGGGGCCCACCGGGCGCACTGGGGGGCGAGGGGAGGGGCCGTGCTAGCCGTGCTGGACCAGGGCTGAAGGCCTCGGTGGTTCTTGGAACTTGGAGGAGGGAGCCCCACAAGGCCCAAAGGCCCACGGGGGGCGTCGCTCACGAGGCAGGCGAGTGGCGTGGACCAAGGAGGGCCGAACACAGGGCTCCGCCCCGCCTCGGACAGACCTGGGCAGGGTCCGTCCTCGAGCGAGGCAAGGCAGGCAAGTGCAGTGGAGGCACACTGACGGCCTGACGCAGTCACGCAGCGCCCAGACCTCCCCATTTTTCCCACGCGTCGTTTGTGCTTTACGGGCAGGATGACTCGTCCTGGAGGAGGCTCTCCGAGTCCCTCTGGGCGCTGTGCACCTGTGGTGCTGCGGCATTGTGTCGACGATGCAGGCGGGCGGAGTGTAGCGGACCGTGGCGAGGAAGACCAAGACGGTGCAGGAGGGTCGAGGAGGGTGCAGCTCCAGCGACGACGCTCCAGCGCAGCAAGTGCATCGCCCATTGTTGCGAATGCCAAGTGGCCCGTCCGCCCGCCGTCATGCTTTCTTTCGCACCCGTCTTTATGTTCGGCTTACGTACCCGACAAAAATAAATCGGAAAGCCCGATATAATTGTAAGTTTTGTGAGACGCTTCTTTCCACATACGAGTCCGGGCTCGGGAAGGGGTGGCGCAAACAGCGCTTAGCAGTGAATTTGGGGCCCGGGCGAGCCCCCTTTGGGGCCCCGCTAGACGACGGGCGGTGGGGAAGGGAAGGGACCGAAGGGCCGGCGAAAGGCGCTGCGCCGAGCCGGCCGGCTTGTTTTGGAGCCCTTAGCAAGGTGGTGCAGGCAGGCCGTGCCGGCCGGCCGGCCCAGGGCGATGCGGGGCGGGTTGGTTTAGGCAGTATTCGCTCCGGCAGTGAGCGGAGCGGCACGGCGGGGTCCAGGCAAGGGAGGGTCGGCCGAGGGGAGGGGAGGCCTACCGCGCCCGCCACGCCCGCTCCCGCTCTGCGGCGGACGGACGGACAGACGGACGGCAGCAGGCGGACAGACAGACAGGAATCACGGAGTCCTGCGAAGGGGAGAGGAGAGGAGAGGGGGAAGCCGGTTTGGTTCCTGCGGGCACTGCCGGCTGGGTGGCGTCCGAAGCGACGTTTGAAACGCAGCCCTTGTGGTCGGGTGCTTCTTTACTCCTGCCGTGCCGGCTTCGGCTCGGCTCCGCGGTGCGTAGTGCTGCGGTGCCGAGCTGAGCACCCTTCCGCTCGTTCACTTTAGTTATGTTTCCCGGCGTTCCACTAGTTTTCGTCTACGCTCACCATGAGTTACAGTTCGTTTCAAATATATGCTTTTCCATTCCTGTTCAACATGAAGGCGCATCAGTATAAACGAGACGTTGATACGGTACAATCTGGTACAGAATGGATGATCAGATTACAACTTCCTGGCGATGAATGTGTGCTGGGTACCTACATCACTCAATCAATCGCAAAAGAGTGGAATGGACACGTCGATACCCCATGGGCGAGAGACCGCCTCTGTGGCCGGCTTCTAAAGCCCATGGGCATGGGGTATTGGCGACCAGTACTTCCCCCTGCCGAATCAAACTGGCACCGTATTTGAAACGTGTTGAATTTTGTTGCAGCATCGCCTGAACATGGATCTCTACCTGGGCCAGGACTCGCTGTCGCTGTCCCTCCAGGACATGCTGGACTGCGACATCAAGACGGAGATGGACTCGGTGCTGGCGGGCACCGACCTGAGCCACAGCCACGGCCTGGGACTGCCACCACTAGACCTGGACGATGACTCCCTGGGCATGAGCCACATGACGCACATGTGGTTCAGCGCCAACAGCAACTCGTCCAACTCCAACTTCAACTTGGACTTCGTGGGCGGAGACGGCGCGGCGATGATGGTCAACCCCAACAGTGTGATGCCGCTCACGCTGACGGCCACCGCCGTGTCGTCCACGCCCACGCCGTCGGCGTTCGCGGCCGCGAGCCCCTCCAGCAGCACGCGCAGCTCTCCGGCGCCCTCACCCTCACCGCCACCCCCGCCGTCTCCTCCGGCGCCCAGCTACGTGCGAACCGTGTCCAACTTCGCGACGGCCGCGACGTTGGCGCCGCGCGCACCGGCAGGGGCGGCGGGCATCGTCGGCAGCCAGGTGCGCGTCGTGCCCAGCGTGCGCATCGCGCCGGCGTCGTCCACCTCGCAGCACTTGAGCACCGTGGCCAGCAACGGCGGCTCCACCAAGCTGCAGAAGCAGCTGCAGCAGCTCAGCGGCAGTGGCGGCCTCGCGAGCCACAACGGGCGCATCCACGTCCAGCAGGCGCACCTCCAGGCGGGCGGCCACACCAAGAAGTACGCCCACAACAACAACAAGTACCTGGACGTGGACCTGGACGAGAAGATTTATCCTAAGCCGGCCTACTCGTACTCCTGTCTGATTGCCATGGCCTTGAAAAACAGTAAGAGCGGGAGTCTGCCTGTATCGGACATTTACAGCTTTATGTGGTAAGGATTCCATTTTCACACAATTTCTGCAGCTTAATCATGTATCTATTAAGTCTCTTAAATTTTTAATGATTTCATCTATTTATTTTGCAGTGAACACTTTCCCTATTTCAAAACTGCTCCAAATGGATGGAAGAATTCCGTTAGGCATAATCTAAGCTTGAACAAATGTTTTGAAAAGATTGAAAAACCAGCAGGAAATGGGAGTCAGCGAAAAGGGTGTCTTTGGGCAATGAATCCTGCTAAAATTGCCAAAATGGATGATGAAGTTCAGAAGTGGTCTCGGAAGGACCCTATGGCTATTAAGAAAGCTATGATTTTTCCAGGTAAGAAACTAACACATTTGTTACGTAAAGTTTTCTTTATGTTAGTATCCTACGCTAACTAACAACATGTTACCCTAACAGAAAACCTCGAAATGCTTGAACGAGGAGAAATGAAAATGACAAGCCGAGCTGATTATATGCAAAGCAATGGTGATGACAGTGACAGCTCTGATGAAGAGGGAGATGAAGATGTTGATGATAATGATGATACTGGTGCAGCCTCTTCAGAAGATGAGGTGGATACTGAGATGGAACTGGATTCTCAGATTTCCTCTACTCACTTTGAGATGCCTGATTCATTTGAGGAATCTAGTCTCACTGATTTTGATATTGAGGTATATTAAGTCTTGATGGTCACAAGGATTTCACCACTCAGTGGTGCTAAATATCAACATTTCCTAATCAAACTAATTTTTATTTCCAGGGAACTGAAGGAATTTATGAATTGGATGGCCAGCAACCATTAAAAATAAGACTTACTCAAGCCAAGAATATTCAGAAGAATACAGTCATAACTATGGGAAGTGCAACAATGCGCAGAACACAATCTGATCCTGACAGGCAAGATGGCTATGATTTTGATTTGGATGAAGAAGAATTTTCAGGAAGAACCATTCAGGTATGTTAATATTTTTAAAAATGATCTGTCTTTCTGTTTTACCTTGAATATAGTATGACATGCTAACTTAAATCTTTGATTCCAGGGTAATTACATTTACAAAGTAAATGGTTCATTTACTACTACAACAACAAGTGGCTCCAGAAGAAAACAGCCTCTTCTTGTGCGAGCTACTGGCCCCTCAGTCATCTAATGTATCTTCAGCAAGCATAAGTGTATGCTTGAGAGATTTTTTTAGTGGTTTTCACCGAGTGATAATGTTTGTCCTTTGTTTTGCAAAGGACATTGAGGCTTAGGAAAAATGTGATTTTGTTTTTAAAAGACAAATGCTGTTTTCTTTGTGTGTTTTTTAAACTCAGTTCTTAGTTATGCAGCACTGCTGTTTACCTGTTTGTATAATACTGTAATATATACTTGCTTCTGTTACAATATCAACTTTAGTAACTTGTAATTCTGACTTTGGTGTCATTGCAAGTGTTAGTTGATTCCAAGTCAGCTAAACAGTCTTATCTGATCAGATGAAATATTATCTGTCGTCTTGTATTATGTCTGTAAATACTCTTAGACAAGTTCGTGTATTTTATTTTAAGTGGTTTTATACTTTTGTAAAAAGAAAACGTTAGTGAATTTTTACTCTAATTTGATTGTTTAATGTGACCCCTTGGATATTGACAGTAGTTCAAAGTGTAAGAAATATTAGTGCTCTTGCCGAATGCTATACAATATTTGTGATATTTTTTGTGTTGGTTGCAAAAGGTATTGTACCTGCTACCTCATTACTATTTGACCTTATGCAACTGGTGGTTAGTTTACTTTAGTTCAGCTTCTCTGTGCTGCTTCCTCTTCTCATTGCATTACTGAGTAGAGTTGACATCTTCATTAAGATGTCAAGTCTTTTCATTTTGGTTGCCTTATATCTCACCAAGTCTCTTGCAGTAGTATTGTATGTGCAAGCTGCAGCTGCTGCTACTTCTGCATATTCCATAGCTGCTCTGGCAGCAGTTACAGCTTGCACTGGTTTTCCTTACTGAACAGAAATGTGCCTAGCACACATTTTTGGTTACACCCATCAAACCACTACTTGCATTTGTTCATTATGTACTCATTTGGATTTCTTTGTAAGAACAATAATATTGTAACTTTATTTTCTGCAATCATGAAGGAATTCAGATAGTGTTCCACCATGGTGCAATGTGCTTCTGATTTGAGGAATGGTAATACAAAACTGAACTGATCTTAAGCAGAGGCTTTTTAATCTTAATTGTGAGTTTTAATTATTTGAATGGCATCTGTTTCTTTGCTACCTACCCATTGCTTAGAACAGATGGCATTGTTTAGTCCTTCCTCAGAACATGGTTCAATTCAAGTTTTGAAAAGCGTATTTGTTGCTATGTCTTTCTTAATATTTCTTTTCATTTTCATTCTTGGAGGTGTTAAAATCATGTCACTGACCTTAGTTTCAATTTAAATGCCATGTCTGATAGTTTGTACTTATAATTACTTTCTTTCTTGTAGTAAATCCTCAAGCAAAGAATAGCAACTATTCTATGTTGATTGCTTTAAACCATTTTAATGCTGAGTAATTCCCTGTGTCCATTGTAAGGAATTTGAAAGGGGCTGAGTTGAACATCCATCAAAGTGATATTTGGGTAGATTGGCAAGTCTGCCATGTATTGTTAGGATTGTCAATAGTACAAACTTTCACTGTATGTACAAACTAAACAAGTAAGGTGTATGAAGTTTATCCGGTGTGAATGAAAGGGCATGTTTTGATTAATGAGTCATTACATTTTGCTTTCATCTCTTATTTATCTTGGTTGCTGTAACGTACAAGCAGGACTTCTTTAGTATGAAACCACGTTTTAGAATTAAATTTTCTGCTTATTTGCTGGATCTCACTAGGTTTCTGCCTGTTATGTAAATTAAGGACTCAAAGTATCTGTGAAATTGTGTCTACGTTGCAAGTTGCAATTTGTTGATTGATTCGAAATCAATGTTGAATGTGTAATGAAATTGCTTGAATTTGATAAATGGTTGTCAATGACATGAGTGTCAAACTTAAGTCCTAGTCTTCTGTAAAAAAATAAAAATAAAGAAAAATAATAATAATATTGAAAGAACTACTAAAATAAAGGGAAAATGTGTTATTTAACATATGTTTTTTATTTGTGCGAAAGAAGCATTTATTATATACCAGTTTACCTATGCAACTGTAGGTCGTTTAGAAAAGTGGAGTACACTTAGATTATGTGATTAACTTAATGTAGGGTACATGTAGATTGATGAGAATTGCTGGCATTTTTTTACATATTCATTGAGTGTTTTTGTAATGCAGAATTGTCATCACATCTTGAGATCAGTATTGGACTTGTTGCTAATGCAATGTTATCTTCCAACTTGTGTGGTCTGGAGATAAAATTCTTCCTGCACTTGTTGCTCTCAACCACATCATCGCCCAACTGCTCCTATAACTGATTTGATAAGCAAATGAGTTTACATCTTTTAATAGGTAACGAAATTTGAAGGACACCACCAAACTTATAGGTATCTTATCTATTTTTGGAGAAGAATGTTTGAATTACGGACTTCCCTAGTGATATTTGAGTGTAGGCATTGATTGGCTGTGTTGTAAGGCATCAAAGTTCTGTGAAACAACTCCAGTGAAATTGTGAATGTTCCCTACCACTTGGTAAGGCACCTTAAGGAGTATATTCAGTAAACTGGGCTTTGGAAACTAAGTCTCCAGTAGATATGGGTATGAAAGACTTCACAATTTCACTGTATTTGGGAATATTTATGTAAAAACTAAAGGTAGGTTAGTATGGTTCAACTACCTGGCTGTGTTTCAACTGATTTTCTATTGATCAATCATCTCCATGTATTTTGAAAGAAACCAGAAAGTTATCCATTCATGTATACTCAGGTTTAATTTTTTTTTTTTTTAAATGAAGGTATAAAATTAGTGTACAGTTGTGTTGAGACACATCACATTTGTACAGTGACGATGCTTCTTGATTGGAAGTGTGTATTATGAATGATTTTTCACTCTGCACTGATTTACAGAATTCATGTTGGATCCAAACAATGATGTGTGGCCTGTGTGCAAGTCTGCCAATGTGAAACCTACCTATAAGTTTTTTGTACAATAGTGTTTTTTTTTTTTAGCAAAGTACTTTTATAAAAATAAAAATGTTTTTAAATCAAAAGCTTTTTTATTGATTTCACTTCTCATGAAGTGACTCAAAGCTGGGGTTTCCTTTCCTTGTGATCCCTGAGGCTCCAACAATCGATCTTACTTCTGGTCACTGATGGACTACATTCTGCTGGCCTGCGGACAGTTTGTTTGGGACGATGCAACAAGTCCCCTGAATGAAATCGACTTTCACAAGTAACATTTTCCCTTCCAATTAGGTTGATTGTTTCTTCTCTCCTTATAGTGCATCAATGTTTGTTCATGATTTTTAAGGAAAAAGAGTGAGTAAGTCAACAATTGCAAAAGCCTAATAATTTAATTGAAGGTTGGAATAGCTCCACACACATCCACACAACAGCAATGCATTTCTTTCCAGACAACAAATAAAATTAAAAGGAAAAAAAAAAACAGTTTCTACTCTCATGAGAAAGATCTTACAAAACTCAAAGAACCTCTTAAGCCATGAGTAAAAGCGCATAGGTATGTTATAAACTTTTACAACTGGAACAGCTGGAACAGCAATTAACATAAATAAAGAATAATTAAACAACTATCAAATAAATTAACACTACATGTACAAGGTCTTTATACCCCACAAAATCTGAGGACCCTGATGTCCTCCATGAACTCCAAAACAAGGTATACAGTACAAAAATTGAAACTATCATTCATGCCTTAAAAAATAAATACCACAGACTTAAGAGCAGTGCAGGAATAGTGCGGGTCTCCCTCGCCCGCTGGTGCATTCCATCATACTGGTACATTCCCATAATAGCCAAGAATGACCAATTCCATCAGTCCCAATGCGGTGCGGGTTCCAAGCTTTCTTCCCTCTAAATTCAGAAAATAGACTCCTTGCATAAAATAGGCTGTTATGATCAATAACTAATATACTAAGGAATATTATGCCAAGGTGTGAAAAAAATAAAAATAAAAAATCAGATGTTGTATGGTGCTGTGTATTGAGTGCTAAACGGCACACACATGTATGCATGCACGGGGGGAAGGTGACAATTTTTGAATTGATCAACTACAAGTTGCTGTCACTTAGAGCGTGTAATACTGCAAGGTTTGGGTTTCGAAATAGACAAAAAAGCTAGTACCCATCATTGTTTCAACATCATTGAGCTCCTGTTTGGAGGCAAACTAGGCAAACCTGTTCAAGTTGATTTATCATATAGGAAATGGAAGCACCACAAATAATCAAAATTTCATAAATTAAAACGGTGAGAAGCATATACAGAGCATAAAGGAAGCTAATAAAGCACTTAGACCACCAGTAACTCAACCACTAAAATAGATTGCAACTCATCCATAGTGGTTTAAATAAAAACTGCCTCATGTCTAGATATTTAAGCCAACATAAGAGGAACTTTTTATGTTTTGTAACCAAAAAAAAAGGTTGCCTTTGACAATTTTTTACAAATTTTTTTATTCTTTTCAGATTTTCAGTTGCCAATGGTTTCTTTGGAATACTGATCACATTCCCTGGTGTGAAATAAGTTTGTACATCTTAAGTGCTAACTGTCTGTTAACACAGAATTCAAAACCCATTTCACAGCACCACAAACTTTAAACTACATAATCTGTGCTTTCTGCACTTTCAGGAGGAGCTCGATCCCTCACCCAACTCTTACAAAGCAATCAGCAGTGACAAATACTTAGCAATGACGCTAAGTTGTACTTCTGATATTTTCAAACAAAAACAAAAAGCAAAACTCATGAAAGTGCATTCTGAATATCAGTCAGTGCTGATGTAGAAGGGAATACAACCTCCTACACCAATAGTACTTAACCTAATACCGCACCACCATACACCGCCTCCTGTCAAGCTGTTAATGCAAGAAGTAAAAGAAAAAAACTGGGGTATAAATTGATCAAATGTGAACAAATCTTTGAGGCAATATAATTGATCTAGATTAAATTAAATCAGTGTCTACAAGTCATATAGCCCAATCCTTTAACATTGAGGCTTAAATTTTGATGTCCACCTGCATGGATAGGTTTATTGAGTGATTGAAATCTGCAAGGACTTCAATGATGTACACTATCCCCGGCACATTCGACCCAAGATACAGACTAATATTCCCCATCCATAGGAAGTATTCCTAAAAATAAAGAGGATCTGTTAAGAGTTTAAATTGGTTGGAACCACTGATGGAGGTGAAACCATCTGCCATCTGATCTTTCCCTTTAGCAAACATTTACCACAAAGGTCTTGAACACAGAATCATGGCCCTGACATGAGGCAACAGTCCACGTGTCGAAGAAGAAAAGAGTTGCAGGTCAGAAAAATAAAACATGAAACTGACTTAAATCTTCACATTAGATAAATTATTTTAACAAAAGGGATAAAATGTCAACAAACAAAATATAGGAATCTATAATACAAACAGCTAGATTGATCCAACACTCAAGAAGCCTCACAACTCACAGATCATAATTACAACACTGGTAAAAAACAAAAACAAAAGAAAACAAAAATTTTAAAAATCAAGTCATTGAAAACATTGACACATACAAAACGGAATTGTCTAATTGCCATTAAGCACCAGGCCTTATTAGTTGGTCCATCTTCAAACTGTAGATCGCAGTACAAGTAAATTAAAATGGTGTACACTATCAATAAAGCACATAAGGTAGGTAACAGCAACAGCAGGCAATCAAAAGTCATGTATAAAATAAAACGTTGCAGTCAGAAGAACACAGCCGACAACCTTGGGCTGGATTGTCCAGGCATACCTGATTCTATGCTTTAAAAAAAGCCATGAAAAGCAAATCAATGAAATCATTTGAACAATTTACAATTGATGAAGTATGTACATAGCATAAGTATTGTATGCCAGTACACCTCCTACAGTCAACAATTTTATAAGGTTTCATTGAATATAACCAACAATCAATATATGCCACCAAGATTGCAGACTGTTGCAAGAATTCTTGACACTTAATAGTATCATGATCCACATGCCAAAGATAAAAGTCATAAATGCCGCAGAATTTAATAGATTGGAAGTACATCCGCTGTTCAAAATTAGTTGGATTTGATGGTGTTTTGAAGTCAATTGATGTCACACCTTTAATACAAAATACATTTCAATATTGGTGATAAGTTTGGCTTTTGAAAACGTTGTTATATCACACTGCTAAAAGCTTTTAATGCTGTCCACTAATTGTTTTTTATTTTTTTTATTTTTAAAAGATGCTTTATACACGTTTTTATACAGGTTTCAAGTGCACATAAGTAAAATATTGTAAGGGAAGTGATCCTTTTCTTTTTTTAAAACAAAGGGAGATGTCTTAATGTACAAGCATGTAAAAAAATCCTTTTCCTCTCTAATTGCACAGTATGCAAGAAGCAGAGACTCGTATGACAATAAATATAAAACGTATTACAAAAGGAATTGGAGCTAGGTTTTGTTTTCTCTGGGTAGTCTCAGGTTGCTGATACAGTGAGCAAAATAGGAGAGGCATCAGTTATTTCTTCACAGAAGTTATCACAAGAGACATGGTTACATTTCTTTGGATTAGATAAAAGAGAAACTTAAAGTGCCCAGCAGTAGTAAACTCACAATCTATACATTATCAGCAATCAACATTAACCTCAGATTGGAACATCTAACATCTTTAAAAAATTAGTCCCACACAATCTTTTCCACTACCCAAAGAGCTCACCCGTAGATTATCAACACAGACTTACTACATGGCAGCATTTCTGATGTACGATTTCTACGTAACATAAAGTTGCTGACCAAGCAAAGCATGCAGTCTGCAATGTGCAAGATTGGGTCCAAGCCTGGCATACCACAGAAACAAACGAAGGCATTTTAAACAAAACACCCAGTGCCAGTATTAGAAGTTAAGTGGATTAAAAGGTTTCATATTAGGAGAGTATGTGAAAACTGAACAAAAAATTTAGCACTTGACAATTGCCACACCAAGCAGCATTTTGGCGGTGAGAGATCACAGTGCCCAGTGAGGCTGCTTCCAGCAATTACTGCGTCAATACACACATGCATCACTTGCATTCACAAAGGAAGGAGACATTATGATGCAATGTGTGTAAAAAATATATGTTCATCATCTCTTCAGCTTTCCATCTCTGTACGAAATAGGGAAAGACAATCAGTAACAGTCCACCCAACCTACAGAAATGACACAGAAAATGTATTATCCTCACCTCTGGTGGCGCCACCTGATAGGATGCTCTTTTTCTTCTGAGCACTTTCATCACTAATTCTGTTACTTGCAGTAACCATGTGAGCTTGTGGCCTAATGCCGCCTAGAGCTCCAGTCATGTGATGCTGGCCAGCGCGAATGGGTTTGGCTGCAAGAAGAGATTGTTATGAGCAAACAAACTGAAAACTGTTCTCCATGCCATAGTTGATTCAAGGTACACACCGATCTGGGCACTATTTCCCCTTCTTGCAAGATTCTTCTGACGGACAGCTTCCTTGATGCGGTCCACCTCACTCTGATAGCGTTTACGGTCACGCATAGCACCTTCCTTTGCTTCTTTCAGTGCAGTTTCAAGAGCCTAAAAACAAGTTTATTTATTTTTCAGCCTTATTTCTTATGCACCAATTCAGAAGCAAGCCCATATGAGACATTGTATACCTTAACTCGCTCCATGGTGGTCCGAAGGCGTTTTTCTAGCTTGGGCAACTCGCATCGTAGATCAGCATTGTCACGAACAAGTTGCTTGTGGACTTTAGTGAGTTGATCAAGATTGTTCTCAAGGAAGCTGATCTTTTGCTTTTGAGCAAGCGATCCGCCATCATCTTCATTTTCTTCAGTGTTAGCAGACTGCAAGAGCAAGTTATCATTAACATATTGCTACATCAATATGAATTCTTTAAACAAGAGAACAATTACCTTTTTGATCCGTGCTTGCAAGTCTTGAACAAACAGCTTGCGCAGATTATGTAATGTCTGAAGTTCCTTGGCGACAGTGTCCTCTAGACCTTTGAGGTCTTTACGAGCCTCCTCTCTCCGCTCATTGGAAAGTCTGCACGATATGAAATGCAAAATGTATGACAATGGATTGCAATATTAAACATTCAGTGAAAAATTTCAGACACCAGATCAACTTACATCAACTCTTGCAGTTTCTGACTCTTTTCTTCCTCTTCCCTCTTGAGTTTCTCAAATTCTTGTTTGAGCTGTTCATGAGCAAGGGAGTACCTCTGGTTGTCACTGCAAAGCACAAATCAAATTAATTGGTATAATTGAGAAAATAAATAATTCAAATGAGGTGCTATCGCTCTATACAAGATATAATATAGAATGTATCATAATAATTGTTGTAATATACGTACTCCTTCAACTCTGTGATGAGAGTTTGTTTCTCCATGAGCTCATCACGAAGTGAACCAACTTGTTTTTGATGGACATCTCTCAACGTATCCATTTGCTCCTCCAAAGCAAGGCGGGCCTTGTTAACTTCAATCTGTTCTTCAGCCTTATCCTTTGTAGATACAGCTTGAACTTGTTCTAAAAACAGAGGATATTTAAGTAGTTTCCTCCCAACTCTTGAAACAACACAGGCACATTGATAACGGAAAGAAACCAGCAGTACATACCAGCAGCCTTCATTTTAGCATTATCCTCTCTCAACATATCTACCTCCTCCTCCAGGGTGCGTTTTTTATTCTCTGCTTCTCGCATTGTTTCTTGGAGGGTTTTAATCCTGGCATCCAACTGAGATATGTGCAGCCTACACTCTGCTAAATCTTTCTCATATTCAGTAACCTTAACACAAACAAGTAGGAAGATAAACAATGCATAAAATCACAAACCTTAGAGCAAAAAAGTTTACTTCATGAAAGCTGAATTAGATAAGATAAGAGGAATTTTAAGGATGGCTACCTTCTTATTGCTGTCAGTCTGGGTTGTTTCTAGGTTCTGACATCTAGTAACCAAGTTCTTAACCTCTGATTTCATCTTGGAGATGTACAGACGTGCAACAGTGAACTCCTCCTCCAACTTACTATTGCCATCAGGATTCATCTGAAAAAGAATACATGCCCATAAGAAACCAAAGTTGGCTGAGAAACAATTTAAAAGAGGAAGAAGGTAAGACTTGTCTACCTTCAGGTCTCCTTCATTTCCAATAGACACTCCAATTTCAGTCAGATCTTTTAATAGATTGGTCAACATATCGGTGATGCGGCGGCGCTGGTGTGTGGACATATCTTTTAGCTGCTGAAGCTCTGAAGACGTTGTGTTCAATGCAGATTGCTTTTGCATGAGTTCTTCAGTGAGGCTTTCATATTCTTTGTTCTTAGTCTCAACTTCTTGGCTTTTCTGGTCATAATTGACAGCGAGCTCTTCCAAGGCTTGCAAAACCTCCTTTACTTCCTCCTTGGCAGATTCATTTTCTTGCTGGATGCGGTTCATTTCATGTTGAAGCAGTTCATAGTCTTTCCTCGTACTAGCAATGAGTTCCTCTTGTTCCATCATTTGTTCCTTCAGCTTTTCAACAAACTGAGAATGCTGATTGATTTCTTCATCTTTCTCATCTAGCTGCTGATAAAGTCGCTCCCGTTCCTCTTCTAGCTTTTGCCTTTCCTCATTAGATAATGAGCCAATCATAATTCCACCACCTGGGGTGGCTGGAATAGGACCCAATAGAGCCTCTGTAAATGTGTGAGATAAATTGTTAAGATAAGATAACATGAGATAAATAAACATCTTGGATAGTAACAAACCTTTCTTCACTTCAGGTACAGGGGCAACAGGGGTAACAGCCTCCATTGGCTCTTGAAGATTAACTTGCTCATCAGGATTAACAGTTTCACCAGAGCGCCACCTTAGAGAAAAGAGAGGACAATGCAAACTTCACTATACGGCTTTCCAACTCTGAAGATACAATAGCTTTGATAATGGACCCGTATTATTTAGGTAACTGGGGCTATTAATTATCAGACAATATTATAAAGCAAGAATTTACTCTCAATAATCAAATACCTGCTCAGCTCCAGCTCCAGCTTTTCCACTTTGCCCTTTAACCGCCCAACACGCTCCTTTTCTTTTTCGTAGCGTCTCTTCCATTCTTCTGCAGTAAGTTCTTCGTTCACTGTTACAACATTCTTAATGGTCTTGGCTCTGAGAATATAATGAAGTAATAATAATTATTTAAAATAAAATCTTCAGATGTTGAAAGGAGACCTGCAGCTAGTGACATACAGACCTCTTTCCAAAATCCAAGGTAGACTTGGTTTCAGATTCATTGAAAGATGCTGGAGAACAGCAAATGATAATTGTAGTGCGGGCATTGCCTCCCAAAGATTCTTGCAAAATTCGAGTTAATTTGGAGTCACGATAGGGTATGTGTGTTTTGTTGCCATCAGCAAGAGCTGATATCACATTTCCCAAAGCAGACAGTGATTTGTTAATATTTTTAGCTTCGTCAAGGACAGTACCTTCAGCACCAGTCTTACTGACCTAAAAATAAGAAAAATGAAATTAATTATAACAACATATTAGTCTACATTGTAAAATCTTGTTTTTCACATGTCTTTGCAATGAAGAGCGCCATCACCAAATATAACATAAGCCCTACCCAAAATGTTCCTGATCCATTCCCTCCTTAGAACATTAGAGGCAGGATGGGAGGTAGTCTAAAAATAAAATTACCTTTTCACTACCAGCCAAGTCCACTAGATACAATTTTCCAGAGAGCTTTTTCTCATTCTCCAAATTCTCTTGTTTTACATTGATCAGGAACACACTGTGACTCCTAGAGCTGTGTTCATTCATGTCTAGAAAATTGAACAGATTCAATAATTAGATACAATAATATTTAAGAATAATTTTAATAAGAACTGATCTTTGTTCATCTTTATTCAACTCACTAGTCACTGCAATGTGACGATTTGATTTCCCTTCCTCAATAACTTCAAACACCTCTTCAGGACTGGACACAAAGCGCTCAGTAGCTCCTTTCACAAAAGGAACTCTGTTCTTGTCTTCGTGAACACTGAGGTTGACCTTAGAGACTGCAAGGAAAAGTTTTGTTTATCAGAAAGTTAATAAAAGTGCAAATATTCAAGTGACACAATATTTAAAATCTTTACCATCTAACAAATCACGAATTTTGTCCATATAAATTTCAAAGTAAGAAACCTTTATATGGAATTCAAGGTTTTCTTCCATAGCATAAATATGGTTAAAAATGTCGTTGACAATGCGCGGTATGATTCCCTGCTTGCCGGCATCTCCAATAACACCCTCCATTGTGTGGGTTTTACCGGAGGATGTTTGACCATACGCAAATATGGTACCATTGTAGCCACACAGTACATCTGCAATGAAGAAAACAGAAATTATTGAGTAAAACAGTAATGCAATGCACTTACGCAAATACAACGAATTTACATTCATGATATCAAACTTCACCTGTAACAATTGATTTTGCGGCCTCACAGTACACTTTTTCTTGAGTGGCATTTGGCTTGAAGACTTTGTCAAACAAATAGACTTTGCCCTGGAAAAATGAAAAGAACACCCCTATTAGAATAACTTGTAACAAACCAAACCACGGAGAAAACAAAATTAATCAAGAGGAGAAGACACAAATGTAAAACGAAGTCATAGATTTAAAATTGTAAGAAACTAACTAGAGCGTAAGTAAAGACCAAGCAGAAAGCCCCAAAAGACAGACTGCTGAAACATTTGAAAGTATGCCACCAATGACAGTTCATAAATATGACATTATAGTTGTTTGTCTTGCGCGGAAGGTCTTGGCCACCGCACGAACCACCAATGGCGAAGGCATAATAATCTGATGAAAACGATCAGATTTATCACAATACCCCATATGCTTTCAAACCTTCTTAACAGGTTAAGGTTACTTGGGTTACATACAAGTGGGGTCGGTGGCACTGGCACGTCACTCCTCAACTGAGCGCAGACAACCATTGACAGTAAACATGTCGCGCATACAATCAAAATGTGACTCACCCCGATGGATATGCAATTTTCGTCGGGTCCCGAGGGGAACTTGACGACGAATTTGGATCCAGCTTTTTCTTCGGAATCGTTGAGGGGCCTGAACCTGCAGACCACTTTGATACTGTCCTCAGCTGCCATCTCCCGTTCACGCTCGGTAGCCATGGTGTTAGATTAAATTAAACTATTTCTTAAAAAAGTACTCTTGCTTGTGAACAGGCAAGCCAAGGTACAGTTGAAAGGCAGGACAAGGAATTAATATTTTGACAACACCCAGGCTATACCAAAATGGCTGCCATGGTTCAGTCACTTGTGGTTTGTCAGTTCCATTAGGATTGACACAGGATGGAGAAATATCGTCTAAAACGTAATCTCAGGCAAGCACAGATGGAGGCGTTGCTTTTACGGTGATAAAACTTGTCAAAATTGTTCACTTCATGTCACAACTTTCCCCCAAATGCATGGGACTCATACTACCGCAGGGGACTGCGGCACTCTCTCGGAGAAGACTCGCAACCCGCGCAACATAACAGCTTGAACTCCCCGTGTGAAGCGAATAAACTCGGTCGATCGGCATTACTGGAGAAACGTCAGCGCGAGTCGTGTGAGTGACAGTCCGCCACAAGATTTAGTTGTTCATGTCATTCTGAGGCCGAATCAAAGCGCAAAGCGGCATCGTTAAGGACAGTGCGGGACAGCGGTCGCGGACGGGTGGCAGCACTGCGATGTGCCGGTGGAAAACAGAAGTAGAAGGCCGTGGCTGAGGGAACCGCCGGAAGCGGACATCGCAAATGCGGCGCCGTGGTGGGCGGTGGCGGGCCCGGTTTCGAATGACTGCAGTGCACACCTACCCTTTTGACGCACTCTTTCCGTCTGTGGCGACGGCAGCCCCCCTTTATTTGGCATCCTGACAGCACCCGATCGCATTCAGACGACAAAAAGTTGCTGCCCTCGCAGTCACCACTTCATCTTGAGGGTTTCGGAACAAAGAAGGTCAAGCTGTGGCCGATGTAGGGTTGATGTTGGCAAACAACATCTAGTCCTCCCACCGTAACAGAAGACACCTGGGTCGCGCAGAAATAATACGATTCTCCTTAATCTCATCTTTGTTGAGACCCGTAGTCAAATTTTTGTCACTTCAAGAAGACGAGTGTTTCGGTGCTTCTCCAGTCACCATTGTCACGGTTTCTTCAACCCTAACCTTGTTTACGTGTCTGACAAATGTTTTGGTTTTATTGGTCCGATGACGCTTCGTTAGGCGGTGCGGTGCATATCATGAATATAAATGACGCTTAGTTCGAACCTTCACTCAATTGTTACCTTGTCACCCCATGCCTCTCATTAGCGCCAGTTTCAGTGGAATGACCTCATTTTGAGGTTGTAATTTGTATGTTGTCTTCAGTGACATCTATCTGACAGCCAGCTTTAGGACTCTACCAAAAGCTTTACGATGATGTCATTTGTCCCTAACATGGTTAATTCCATAGAGAATGTCATTGGTAAGATACTGACTTTTTTCTTCGAACATACTTATCATGAAACTGCTGCTTTGATTTATTAACTTTTCAAATGAACCCTCTGCTGCCAATGGAAGCCCAATCTTTGCGTAACAGTTAGCGACGGGAATTCATGTTCAGTTCAATACTAGGAGAACCATGCTAATTTGTGAGTCGTCATGAAAATTTTTGACTGTTGCAATCACTGCACAATATGCCTGATAAATGTTTTGTAGCGTTTTGTTGTTTTTTGATTCTTGTATTTTGAAGTTCTGTTGCTGTTATGTTTTTTTCCCCTGTAGATTGGAGGTCAGAAATTTGAGCAAACTATAGTTGCACATTTAGTATAGTTACAACCTCCATTATTTTTATTTTAAAAAAATCAACTTACTTTTATGTGCTTGACTTATTTTTTGTTGACTTCTACATTTTTAGCTCTGTCCTTATTTTTGAATTGCTTTGGAATGTAACAGTTTCCATGATGTGAATTATTGTAGGCAAATGATAAGTCTGCATGCCCCCCTGCATTTTCTATAAAATTAAAACTAAATGCTTCACAATCTAATACATATACTTGCTTGGCACTGAACATTGTTTTCTAGCTTGACTGCTAGTACTTTTAATGCGTTCTCATTACTAATGCTAGACTTTCTGTTTTCAGTTCAATACATTGATATAGACTTCACCCTCTGGCTTACGTGGGTTCTAGCCCCAGTAATCATAACATTTCTCTTACCAATAGTCATTGTCCTTTTACTTTATTTAACAAGCATCATCCTCTACATCTATCGCTGGCATAGGTAAAATTTGCATTGTCATATGGGCAGTTTTTTTATTTTCTGATGTTAAAAATAAAAAACTAAGGGGTTTCTTTATTTCTTAGACATCGTTTGCGAGATGTCGCTGGTTTTTGGGACGGAGCTAGAAAACTGGTTGCAATTGTTTGGGATGCTCATGGATGGATTTGGCATGGTAAGTATTAAAGGTTTCTATTTTTAGAAAGAAATTTCTTTTCTCCTTCCTCCTTCTAAATTATAAATTGCAATCCACCTTTACAGGGTATGAAGTTTGTGGACTGGAAAATGTACCAGATGACACCCCTGCATTAATCATCTACTATCATGGTGCAGTCCCAGTTGATGTTTATTACTTCTTATCAAAAGTAATGTTGTTCAAAAATCGTATGGTTCACACAGTTGCTGATCGTTTCTTATTTAAGATACCAGGTTTGAGGCAATCATGTCATCAGGAACTGATTTCATTCATACATTGTTAGGATAGCATACATATTTGTTCTTCTTTCAGGCTTTTCAATTATTGCTGAGGCACTGAAAGTAATCCCTGGCACAGTTCAAACATGTTCTGCAGTACTTAAGGAAAACAATTTACTTGCAATCTCACCAGGAGGTGTTTATGAAGCTCAATTTGGAAACTCTTACTATCATCTAGAGTGGAAAGGTAGATTAGGCTTTGCCAAAGCTGCCTTGGACGCAAAAGCTGTATGTATACATCCCTTTTTTTCCTCCTCAAATTTTTTTTTTGTTTTTGTTAGTGCTGTGTTTTATTTATTGTCGTTGTAAGCTTGATATCTCAACTTATTATTTCCAGCCTATTATTCCATTATTTACACAAAATATACGAGAATCATTCAGAACAGTTAGTTTTGGTAGGCAATTTTGGTTAAAAATTTACCAGTGGACAAGGCTTCCTATTGTCCCTATCTATGGCGGTTTCCCTGTAAAACTTAAGACCCATGTTGGCAAACCAATTCCTTATGATCCTGGGCTTACTCCTGAAGAGTTGTCTGCCAAGGTCGGTAGAGACTTTTCAGCATTTAAAACAATGAAGTAAAATTATGTGTGTACCGTCTCCTTACTATATGACTTCATTTTTTAGGTCGCAGCTGCTGTAGAAGATCTCATTGCAACACATCAAAGAATTCCTGGTAGTTTTGTCCGTGCTTTGATTGAGCGAATTCATGAAACACCTAAGGATAAAGATCATTGAGTCTTGAGACACGCAATGTATCTCCAATTTGAAAAGAGTTACTTTTGGATCTGAGGACATCATTGGTGCATAAAATAGGAACATAAGCTCTTCAAAGACTTTGCTGTTGGTAAATTTTGTGGTTTTATTTGTCTGGCTAAAATGGAATGAGAAGACTGATTTTTTTGTGTGAGCATGCGTAGCACATGTCACATATAATGCTAGTTGTTGAAATCTTCTGGCGGCGTGACATGTGGTGATGATGTTTACTTAATATTTATATTTGACAAGTCACTTATATTGGATGATGGGCCATTAATCACTTAACCGCCTACCTACTATCTATTTACTTAATATTTCAACATGTATTCAGAACACTATAATGCAAGTTCATTTTGTTGTAATTTGTGTACAGTTCTTGTGCCAATCGTTTCTAACACCCCTTTCAACCGTAGCTTAATGCTGATGCTTTGATGCCTCTCTCCCTCCCACCAAACTCCTGTCTAAAATGCTTCAGTCACAATGCATTATTGAAATTGCATCGTCATCAAACTTTGCGTTTATTGTTGAGTTAGTTCCTATCTTTGGAATTTGTGAATATGCCAAATCTTTTTGGTAGCCATTGTATTTATTAGATAATATTTGTTCTAAGAATTCTGTTACTCTTTTCATATTTTCTATTTGTGTTGTATTTGTTAAAATTGTTGACTAATTCCCATTGTTTAACATAACAACTGTGTTTTTCAGTTGTTGACCTCTTTTTTTGATTTTGTTTTGAGAAGTATTGACGCTGTACACTCTTCATATGAATTGGAGCAATGGGCATGACTTTGGTATCATAACAAAGATGTTATGATAAGATCAGAAGTCACCAGAAGTAGCCATTCTAGAGGAACTTGTGCCTCAGGTTGTTGTCACTTGGACCAATTACAACATTATCTTCCTTTGGGATGGGTGTTCCGTCCTAGATTGAAGAAACAAAATAATTTGACATTCCTCACCCCTTCAGATCCTCGTCATCTGCTGTGAATATTTTTTTCCTACCTTAAATCTGCATGAGCATGCCATAGGCTTGTAGATTGTATTGTGCCATAGTTCTTACTTGTTGATAGAGATACATTTTTACTCTCTCATTTTTTTGTATTACTGATGCACAGTATTGTAATTGATAGTGATGAAATGCCTGTATTAACATCCAATTCTTGTAGTCCTAGCCATATCATTCCTTAGCACTTTTGTTTATACTATTTTTCAGAAGATATCCAAGATATTGTTATTGTTGTAATGACTTCAACGAAATGACTGCAGTAATTCATTGCTATTATTCAATGGCACATACTATTTCCTGCCATAGAAACAAGATGTTATTGCTTCTTAATTATGTTTCTTGTTTTTATTATTATTATTATTATTGTAAATGGATTTGTGATTCTGTCAACAGGCTAGTGCCATTTTCCAGGTACATTTCACATTGAACTGTTTTGAGTATTTTAAAAGCTAAATTTATTTCTATCATTTGTTATAAGGAAGTCTTTTTTTTCTTTGTGAACCATGTATCCTTAGTAACTGTTCATTGACTGACTAGTAAATTAAGAAGATACCATGGTCAAGCGCTTATAAAGAGCCCATCTTACTCGTTTTCAGAGGCCTGGGAACTCCCCACATGCATGGGCGTGTAAGATCTTACAAGTAAGATCCTGAAAAGTTGGTTTCGTTTATTTGCGTACTGACACGGAATATTTACCTTCTAAACCAAGTGAGACGACCCAAGTTTTCATCATAAGTGACATTGTCTTTTACATTCTTGTGCTCATTGTGGTGACGGTGATATATAAATATTCTATTTTCCCCTTGCTTAATTGTTGTTTAAATAAATTTGTTAGTTTCATAAGATATTACTTCGTCTTCTTTCTAATGAACAGTATCCAATGCTTTAGAGAGGTCTTAAAATTATTACAAAAAGCTTAGACGGACATCCAGTTTGGAAGTACTTGGCAGACCAAATCACACAAGATGAATTTCTGAGCCATGTAATGCAGAGCTTAATATACCTAAAAATTCATTTAACTTATTGTGTCGATGGGATAAGAGAAACACACAGTAAAAAACATCTGTTTCCCTCCACTCAAATTTTTTGTAACTTACAACTTGACTAGCACACAGGATAAGAAGTTAAAGAAAAAGTATTGATGATCCAGCATTGGATGGGCTTACTATCAACCAAAATTCATAGAAAATGAAGCTTAAAATTTAACAAATGTGATTACTTTCAGTTAAACTTAGTAATAACAGTAAAATTCTATTTAAAACATTGGAGGGCAGCAGTAAAAATTTGGGCAAAAACAAATAGCATACAGGGATGTTGAGATAAATGCAGAAATGAATGCTTCACTGAATACAACATCAGAAATATTTGCTCTTTGCTTTGATACCCACATCAACTGATTTTGTGTTTGTGTGAGGAGTGTGCCTGATTAGAGAACATCCACAACCATACCAGCATAATCAAGTAGGCACTAGAAAGTGCATTTTCAGTTACACAGAAAAAAATATTAGGAGGGGAAAGACAAACAACACTATAATACTCAAAAAAGGCACCTGTAACTGGAACAGGGGGTCTATGTGGCATTGTAAAAACTGGTTTTACCCATTTAGGGATTGGAAGCCGGATAAGATTGGGAACTGCTGGATTAATCTTAATTCACTCCCATACATAAATGCGTTGGCTCAGTAAAATCTCATATATCCATCTTACTATCTATACAAAATATCAATACCAATGCTTCACAAGAGGATCATTCTCAACTAGCGCTCTGTTCTAACAGAAGCACTTAAATCACTAAAGTATGGATGGGCCATTGATTCATCTGCTGGTAACCGCATTAGTGGATTACAAACTAGTAACCGCTGAAACAAAAATCCACACAATTTTCAAAATTAATTACATCTACAGCAAAGAAAGTGGAAAGATGTCAGAAAGGAATGGTTCAAATGAAGCACATACCTGAAGAAGGTCTCTGCCTTTTGAGTTGAGTTTTGGAACAACTTGACTGAAGCTCATAGAAGGATGGTAAATGGGGAAAGGCTTATAATCAGGTAATAAAGAAATGCCCTGCCATGTCTCTTCAGTGGGAGTTCCTAATAGTCTAAATATTCTTTTCAATTGGTCATCGACATCTGACCCAGGAAATAAAGGTCGACCAGCATTTGCTAATTCTAGAAGAAGAAAAAATGACAAAATAAATACATAAAAGTGACACATTTCATTAAATGGCAGAATGAATGGTGATTCAAAACTTCACCTGCAAAGATGCATCCTGCTGACCACATGTCAATAGAAGTAGTGTAAAGTTTTGCACCAAACAGCACATCGGGAGGTCGATACCATAGTGTTACAACTTCTGCTGAGTAGCACTTTACTGGAATTCCAAATGCCCGGGCCAGACCAAAATCAGCAAGTTTCAGCTCACCATTCTGAAAATAGTTTCCAAAAAATATGAAAAAGGAAGGCGTTGCTCATCTTAAGGGTTGACAGGACAACTGCCACATTAAAACTACTTGAATTTACTGTATTCATTACCTTGTTAATGAGAAGATTTTGTGGTTTTAAATCACGATGAAGAACATTATTGCTGTGGCAAAATGCAAGCCCACGAAGGAGTTGATACCTATCACAATAGCAAAACAAAGTTAACTAGATGTGAAGAAATACAGTACTGATTGTTTCAGCCACATTTGTCAAAGAGGAAAATAAATGAAATAGATCTTAACTGTAACTTACATGAAAGACTTGACAATATCCAAATCAATTTCACCATTCAAGCTGTCAAAATACTTTTTCAGATCTTGGTCGCAATGTTCAAAAACAAGAGTAAGTTTTTTGTCGCTGTGCAGCACATCATATAATCGAACTATATTTTTGTGTTTCAACTCTTTTAACAGACATATCTCTCTTAAAGCAGATGAAGGTACACCCTGCAACACAAATTGGAATATTAAAGACGCATTATAAAGTTTGAGAAAGAAAATGGATGCCAAAGCGAACCTCATCATCATCATCAAGGCGAACTCGCTTCAAAGCAACAATCTCATGCGTTTCACGATTTTTGGCCTTGAACACTGTCCCATAGGTCCCTGAAATTGGCGCACAACTATTAGTACTTCTTAAATTATCAAGCAATATTAGACAAGGAGCTGAATCTCAAGTTATAGAAATATTGGACAAACCTTCTCCAATTTTTTCCAACTTTTCGTACTTTTGCATGGCGTTTAAAAATATTATCCAAAGATAATGTGAAATAATATTATGCTTCCTCACACAATATAAAATAAAATTAAAGAGAAACAAGTCATGTCAAGCCAAGTCAACATTGAGATTATAACCTACAAAAGGTTTTGATGGGAAAAAGTCAAATCTCTTTTATTTGACTGGCGACGACGTCAATGAAAAGAAGCGGTACAGTGTACAAGTAAAAAGTTACCCAACACCCAACTGTTAGAGATAGTTTATTTATTATGACAAACGTTTCGACACAATAACAAAAACAACAACAACATACCCAAACAAAACCAAATCACAACTGAAACCAGCACGAACTCAACCACAGAGAAACATTTTCGCGCGAATCAAAATTGCCAAAAATTTTATACTGAAACATCAGAAAAATTAATAGTCTAATTCACAACTGCTATAAAAATTCTATCAAGATCCCCTGCGAGCAAACGTAGCTTGTTTTCAATCTGTACTTTATAGTTGTGGGTTGGTACGAGAACTCCCCTTCTGTTTACTTCAAAAAAAAGCCGGGCTCAGTGTCTTATGTCCTGTCTGGCGGGCCCGGGGGCGGGGTGGGTTGTGGGTTCCAGGATTTACCGAGTTCACGAGTGACCGTGGAAAGGAAAGAGCAGCCTAGAACACTTCTGAAAATGAGCTAAGGTACGTGGAGTGGAAGAACTATCTCAGGTTTCTCCGAATTTCTCGCAATCAGAGGCCGGAAACCAGACTGGCGGTGTGCACGTGCACAGCCCCCGCGTGAACTACCACCGTGTCCCATGGTCAGTTTTTGGCGGCCTGCCGGCTAGGCGCTACAGAGGGCCGCGACAGACTCGGCAAACAGTTTGATAAAGTCGGATAAACTTCCGCCACCACAAACCAGGGACTATCACTGTGACTCGGTAAACAATAGATTTGCACGCTCACACCTGTGCCCAACAAACCAAAGCGCGCCAAGCCTGTGAGCGGAAGATAGGAGCAGCATGATCGTTATCCGCATGTAATACAGCGCGCGATAACAACTATCAACATCAACTAACCATCGCTCCAAACCAACTACTGCTTCGAACTAATCGCGCTGACAGAGGGATAGGATGATTCACCAGCAGCCCTCCTCCCTTCCAAATCAAGTGGAAGTATACACGCGCGACCCGCCAAGATGGCATAATTTTTCTGGTGGCTTACATTAAATGGATCGTTTCCCAGACGTCCCGATAGACAATTAATTTTGGTGGCCACGGGTACACTGCTCCACATCGACCCAGAGGCAAGCCCAGAGGTGATCCATTGCAGGCAGCCGACATGTCAAAGCCCTTTTTATGGACTGCCAGTATTGTGACGAAGCCCCATTAGACCACGGGCCAACCCTGCCAGCCTTGCCAGCCCCGGCTTCCTGCAACCCGATATTAGTCACCGGCCGGCCGGGCCTCATCCTTCACCGCGACCAAAGGGCCAGGGGCGCCAGGGCCGAAGGGCCGAAGGGCGCGGACGCGGACGCGGAAAGGGGAACGCGCGTTCAAAGCGCGGCGCACGCCCTTTGTGCTTCGAGTCGCGGGGCGTGGCGGGGCGGGGCGGGGCGGGGCGGGGCGTGCCCTCGCGTGTGCGGGCCATGGCGCCACGGCGCACCTCGTTACGGCTATCCGTGTGTGGGCAGTGATGCTGTGAGGAGCGGCAAGACAAGGGCGTCTCTTCTTTTGTTTTTAAGGATGCGCTTGGTTCACTGCACAGTGCACATGCAATCGGAGACCGTTGTACTCGCATGGGTTCTTGTTACACGCTGCCTGCCATTACTCCTGACATACCCGCTGCCAGGCGGTTTCAGACTCGAGATGAGTGTTCCGCGTCCTACCCTACCACACTGCATTCGTCTCGACGAGAAGATCAAAAATGTAAGCGCATGACGTAGGTTCGGATTCGAAATGAAAAAGTTATAAGTCGTCAAATGACCAAAGTGAGGGTTTTTGTACATCGAAGAGTGTAGTTCCAGGAACAGGATTCACTGTACGATCCTGTTCCTGAAGCGGGATTGACGCTACTTTTTTCTCACAGTGTGCTCCCTAAACACCCCGGACTGGTCCCGCAAGTCCAAAAAATCTGCACTTCTTGCTCGTGTGGAGGCAGGGAGTCACTCATTCAAAGACTTTGCTATCAAAATTTAGTTTATTTATTTCAGATGAACAGGTTTGAGGGTTACATGTTAATTTGGATGAAGGCAGACAAGGAAATCACAACACCATATGAAACCCGTTTGGCGGCGCACAACTCCCAAGACCACAGCGTCAAACTTGTCGCCGGAAACCCCGGATCCCCGGCAGCGCTCGGCGTTGAAATGCGCGTTGGGGCGCTACAGTTTGAATGGTTGGACTGGACGTTTGAATTTGAAGCTGCGGTAACACTGGCAAAACAAACGTGGCGAATTCCGTTCGGTGATGCGGACAGAGAGAGACCGCATTTTCTAGTGCGGGCGCCACGAAACGCGATCAACTCCCTGTCCGCACCACACGTGTGGCATGGTGCACGTTAGTTTTCTCGGTGAAGCACTGAGCACACTGGTATGAGTAGCGCCGCTCACACTTCCCCTAGTCCACTAGTCAGGGGAACCGATCACCCCCAGAGTCCACACCACCAACGCCTGCATCTACTTGGTGAACTACGCCTCGCCGCGGCCTAGGTGGAGCCGCGTGCCCCCTCGGCCGGCCGTGCTAGCACGAGCTCGACGTCCGCGAAGTCGGCCCGGTCTACGGCCTACCCGAAGCAGGAGATGGGGTTGAAGTAGCACTGGTGGTAGCGGACCTGCCGCTTGGCCGTGCGGAGGAAAGCCGTGTCGCCCATGTCGCCGTCCGGGGCCGCTGCCGCCAAGGCCGTAAACGCCCTGCTCGGCGACGCCCTGGCCGAGGACACGGCGGCCTCCAGTCCGGCCATGTCGTCATTGCTCGCCATGGGGTCCAAGACGGCAGCGGGGGCGGCAGCGTCATCCGAGGCCATGGCGCGGAGCACCAGGAGGGCCAGCGGGTTCAGCGCGTTGAGCGAGCCGGTGTAGGCCTGGAACCGCAGAGTCACTTTAGCACCTCGACGCACTGCATGCACTGCGCTGCGCACTACGGCCGCGCGACGGTCGGATGCGTTTAGGAGCACGGTGGCGCCGACGCGTCGAGGCACAACGACTGTGCGTCGGGAAGGCTTTGCACCTGTTGTGCGTGTCCTGCTCACCTCGTCGTTGGCGGCGTGCGTGCGCTGCCCCCGGACGACGGCCGCGCTGGCGGCGTCGCAGACCAGCAGCACCAGCAGCAGCACGGGCAGCAGCAGGGCGGCGCGCTGCGTCCAGGACGTCGTGCAGGCCATGTCCGGGGCCATGGCGCGGAGGGCAATGTCGCTCCGGAGGCCGTCCAGGGCGTTATATAGATGCGGCCTGGCCGCGCCACCCTGCCGCCGTCCCACCGTCCCGCCTGGTCCCGCCCGCCACCTGCCGTCCCCACGCCCAGCGCCCCCAACGCGCCCGACGCCCACCCCGTGGCGGTCGGCACCGCCAGCACCGCCAGCACCGCCAGCACGCGGTGACGTCGCGCAGGAAGGGGCGCGCGGCGCGCAGCTGCAGGCTGGGCGGCCTGTCTCTCTCGCACCCTGGCGGGACGCCCCATGACTGCCAAAGAGAGACAGTCTGCCGTCGAGTCGTTAAGGCCGGCGACTAATTTTAAGACTCCGAGGTCCACGGCCTCTGCCAGTCGCCACCCCCAGCCTCCGCGTCATCCCCCAAGAGCTTGTGCGTGGATTCACCACCCGCCGTTTTCGGAGAAGCGGCCGACAGAATTCCCGCCATTTCGGCACGAAACCACCGCCTCAAACCGGGCAAGCTTACCGCCAATGTCCACGCACGGCGACACCCCCCACCCTTTCCTTCCCTGCCAGAGTTTCCCGCGGCTAGTGTGGTGTGTGCTTTGGATGATTTCTCTGAGGGCGCTCCGATTCCCCGTCGACGCAGCCACGCCGCCTCGACCGAACAGCACCTACACTGCAGCCGATCGTGCACAGGGCTGTACGAACTGTTTTGAAACTCCTTGATTAGGCAACCGGCTGAGTTCGACGCACCGGTGCGTTGCGGGATGGCCTATCTCGGCCCTTAAGCGCCTGTGGAACCGAGGGTAGGCAACCGGCTGAGTTCGACGCACCGGCGCGTTGCGGGATGGCCTACCTCGCAGGCTGGCTCCGCACGCTCCGCACGGCTTTGACTTAGCAATGTGTAATGTGTTTGGTAGGTCACGTATTCGAGTTTTGAAAATGAAGACAGCTCGTGGGTTTATGTAAATTTGTATTTCAACATAAAGTACAAAATCACAATAAAATCAATAAAAACATGTCGTTACACTAAGTACGAAACGAATTCAGCGGTCATAAATTGGTTCGCTTTCATCCCCATCTCTCATCACAGCTAACACTTTGAGCAAACGAACGCTTTTGCAGGCTGCCCTTAAGTAGTTTAAGTACAGCTCTGGAAAGGGTTTGGGGTTTGGAGTAGCCCAGAAACACTATGCGGTCGAATAGGCACCAGCTCGACCAATTCTATACATGTGTCTCTAGGAAGCTGGGTTGCCCAGGGCAGAGTAATTCAGCATTTCTCAGTCCTGAGGCGAGTTGACTAAACGCAATGGCACATAACACGTCTTACGGCGCCCCTCACGGCAATAAACTGCTAGAAAAATACTTATAAATATATCAATAAATAACCTTTTCTTTGCGAGGGTTCGTCTTACAGAGTCATGGAAAAAGACTTTGTCGAGGTGATCAACTTTGTTTGATGAGCTGAATTCGATTGCAGCATCAAAATGAGCCTATCGAACGAAGTTGATCACCTCAAGAAAGTGTTTTTTCCGCGAACACGCCGTGGTGGTGGCGCTTGTGCGTGGAGTCTGGTAGTCTTGGTCCTAAACATTGACGGGGTCCCCGGTAGACGCACCGAGCGGCCTCCGAAACGTGAAGCAGACGACCTGTCGGGTCGGCGGTTGTTCGTCGGTGCGCCTGGAAGGTGATGCAGCCACGACACTGCGTGCGACTGCTGGAGGCAACCACAGCGGTGCGAGCTTCTACGCGATGTCTCGCCGCGGGGATGTCACAAAGTCATTGTTTCGATATTTCGTTCAACAGTCCGCTCTGCGCGCCTTGAGATCTGAACGCTCCCTTGTTCCCACGTGGAGGCGGCTGGTGACACCGTGGTGACGCCGTGGTGACGCCGTGGTGACGCCGTGGTGACGCCGTGGTGACGCCTTGGTGACACTCAGCACTGCGCAGCCGCAGCCTCGGCCCGAATGCAGACGAAACGCGCGACTCGGCCTGCGCGCTTCAAAACCTGGCCGTGTGGAACGCCTCCGGGTCTCCGGCCGCCTCTGGGGCGCTGGGCAAGACCGCGTTCGTCATGGCCACGCCGTTGCGGTCGAGGCTCGCGGCCAGCGCCGCCTGCTTGTCCGCGATCTCGAGCAGGCGCTCCGTGCTGTGGCGAAGGCTGTACGAGAAGTACACGACGCCGCCTGCACAAAAGCATGCAGTCACTATCACTGTCGGCGGGGGATGCGGCCCTTGCTGCACGCAGCTGTCCCGTTTCCGCCGGGCAGGCCGGCAAGGGGATGCGTCAGTGTCCGGGAGTGATAGCGACGCGGCTGATAGCAGACAGGCGCGGAGCCAGGATTTTTGTAAGGAGGGGGTAAAGCATTTCCCTGCCCTCCGCGCCTGAGAGCTCTGTCCGCTGGCGCGCTGGCCCACAGGAGCGCTAGAGCACTTACCGACCACCATCCAGACGACGAAGCGCACCCACGTCTCGTCTTTGAGGTTCACCATGAGGTACATGTTGAGGAAGAGGCTGATGGCCGGCACGTAGGGCAGCCCGGGCACCTGCAGCAGCACAGTGTCAGTGGACAGTCTCCAGACGAGGTGGGCAACGGCAGGCAACCCGGGCCTTGATTTCGTGCTCACCGAGAAGGACAGTTGGGCGACGTCGGCCTTGGGCTGTTGGCCCAGCATGATGACGACGATGACGAGGGGCACCAGGAGCGCCAGCGTGGGCGCCAGCCACGCCAAGGTGTTGGAGTACAGGTCGTCGCCCGCCGTCTTGAGCAGCACGCACAGGGCCAGCGTCAGCAGCACTGCACACGAATGCCGACAAAAAAATGAATTTTCCAGGATTTTTGATTCTGGGCACGCGGCCGACTCCCTCGGCCCATCAGGTTCGCAGCTCCACTCCCACTGTGCCACTTGCTGGCCAAATCGAGGCAGCACTCACCTTGCACGAACACCAGTACGCCCGCGGCGCCCGTGGTCAAGGCCGTTGGCCGCTTGGCGCGCTCCCAGTTCACCAGCCCCCCCAGGACCGGGCGAAGGTCAGCGGAACCCTTTTCTCGCTCTGCGTCGCGCGGGAGTCCGTGTACCTGCAATGCCAAGCCGCCATCTTGAGAAGGAGAAAAGAAAAACCGAAGGCAAACCAATAACGGCGCCCGCCCCGACCGGGAATCGAACCCACGCCCACGTGGAACTTGCCTGAGCACCAGCACGCACAGGCCGACCACGGTGTAGGCCAGCAGGGTGCCGATGGACATCATCTCGATGAGCTGGTCCAGGTCGAAGATGAGCGCGAGCAGGCCGGACAGGGTGCCGGCCACCAAGGTGGCCACCACGGGCGTCTTGGTGCAGTCGTTGACGCGCGCGAACACGGCGAACAGGAGGCCGTCCTGCGCCATGGCGTACATGACGCGGGGCAGCGGGATCATGGTCCCCAGCAAGCTGTGCGACAAGGAGGAGGGCGTCAGTCACCGCGGGTCGGCCGCCGCCACCTTGGTCGCCACGCTGCAACGAGAACTACACCCACCTGGTGGTGAGCGCGAAGATGGCGCCGATGGTGACGACCCACTTGATGGCGTCCAGGCCCATGCTGTCGAAGGCCACGGTGAAGGGCGCCGAGCGGTCCAGCTCGTAGTAGGGCTTGAGCAGGGTGAGCACGGTGGAGATGCTGCAGTACGTGGCGCAGATGATGGTCAGCGACAGCACGATGGCCAGCGGTATGCTGCGCTTGGGGTTCTTGGCCTCCTCGCTGGTCGTGGCGATGCAGTCGAAGCCCACGAAGCCGAAGAAGCACATGCCCGCGCCCTCGATGATCCCCTTGACGCCGTACGGCGTGAAGCCCCCCGTGTCCTTGCCCGGCCGCGGCGGCAGCGACCAGTTCTTCGGGTCGGCTGAAAAGGAGCATCCTGCATTAGAGGGAGAGCGAGGCGACTCTGTGGTCGCGGGTCGATGGGACTGGACCAGGGAATGCCCCACGTTGCCTGTGACGCCGCAGCCGCCGCAGCGTCACTCGGACGCGGGGTATCGCCGGATCGAATGTCAGACCTGCTGTACTGTACTCTATTCGCCGTGGCAGGTTCCATTTTCTCACCGTAGATGGCACCTGTGACGACGGCGGCGGTGGCGGTGCCCAGGTTGAGGAAGGTCAGGATGTTGTTGATGATGGAGGACTCCTTGACGCCGACGGCGAGCAGGGCCGTCATCACGGCGCAGATGCCGAAGGAGAAGAAGTCCGGGTAGCTGGCCAGCGTGGGCACGTGCATGGGCACCGTGCTGTTGAAGAAGTCGGAAATCTTGTGGTCGACCAGGGTGTCGATGTAGGTGGACACGCCGCGCGTTATGCTGGCCGTTCCTGCAGCAAAGTCGTTTGTCTTTGTAAGTTTCGTTTTTCTTTCGTCAGTGCTGGCCGCGGCCTCCCTGGCCACAGACGCCACGCGGCGCCACGCGGTCCTGGCTCACCGATGGCGTACTCCAGGATGAGGGTCCAGCCGATGACGAAGGCCGCGATCTCGCCCACCGCGACGTAGGCGTACACGTAGGCCGAGCCGGCCTTAGGCACCCTGGCGGCGAACTCGGCGTAGCACAGTCCTGCGGACACAGAGGGAAAACTGTTTACACCGGGCCTCCCCACTGACACAGTCAATGCACAAGGCTTCATAGAGGTCCAAAACGGCGTCAAACCAAAATCGTGTCACAGAGGTTCATAATCGCGTCACATTATAGAAAGGAATCACAGAGATCTGAAATCGCTTCACGGCTCGCTGTGCGGCGTCACCCTGCCACTCCCCTGGTCGGCCCCTATCGACAGGGATTATGCTTAAGTGATGACTATTACACAATCCCCTGCCTCGGGCCGTTTCGCCCTGAGCAGTGAAGCCGAGACCCCTGTGCCCCTTGTCCAATGCCCCTGCCGGCGTGCCCTAGTCCGAGCCCCTCCAGCGGCACACGGGTGGGGTCAGAAAGGGGTCGAAGCGGATCGAAGGCGCTGCGGGTCCCCAAAGAGAAGACGTCCGCACATTTTTTGACGTTGCCCTGGTTGCCAAGCCAAGGGCAAACACTGCAAAGCACGCGTCGAGGTGGACAACGCTGCGACGCTGATTTGGACCCGTCAAAAGCCGGGATCACGTCTTTTTTTTCGCGCCTGCCTTTCTGACAGTGCTATCTGAGATCCGATCTGCCAAGCGTCCATGGACACGTCCATGCGCAGCGGTTCTTTAATCCGGTTCGCGATAAAGCCGAATCGAAAGGCGGGATGCTTTACGACCCTCGCAATCCCCGGTCCTGGGTCCGCCGAAACGCGAGAAGTGCCGCCAGAAAACACAAGCCCTGCCCTGCAATCGCACCGAGTGAGAGACTCTCCGAAAACAGAAGAAAAGCGCCTAAAAGGGCCGGGAGTCGAACGCCGGTCCTCAGCATTGCGGACCGACGACTAAACGCTCTCGGCCACAGCCATACCGGAAATAGAAACGAATGCGCGTTCCGTGTTATTGACCGCTGACTCCCCCTTCCCCCTTCGCCTCCTTCTCTACTCCTTATCGTCCACTCGCACCTCGCGTGTTCTGATGACTGGCATCTTTTATCCATTCTTGATTTCCCCGATCCTAGTAAAACAAGCCGACGAATAATCACGTTTTTCCCCCTCGGGGTGTGAGTTTTATTTGTGGCAGCGATTAGAGCACGGTGTTTTTCCGGCGCGGCGCATGATTCTGACAATGTGCACGGCACGCACGGAACTTTGAGCCGCAGTACGGCAGCCGCCGGCGCTACGTGTCTCGGCTACTTGTAGCTCTTGTTTTCCGTGATGCGGTTCACGGTTCCCGCCAGGCGTGAGGTTCACACGCGAACGCACGGAGTGCTGGGCTGCGTACTCGGGTTCGTTTTTGGCGGCGACTGTCCGCTCGGTGTCCCTTTGTGACCCCGGCCCCCCCGAAGCACTCACCGGCGAAGAAGGAGGCGATGGCGGCGAAGACGAAGGAGAGCAGCACGGCCGGCCCCGCGGTGTCGTTGGCCACCTGGCCGGCCAGCACGTAGACGCCCAGCCCCAGGGTGGAGCCGACGCCCAGCAGCGTGAGGTCCATGACGTTGAGGACGCGGGCGAGCGGCGAGCCGTCGTCCGTCAACCGCTTCCTCCGCGACGCCATGCCCCAGAGGCCGGCCATGGCCCTCTGCAACCAGAGCAGAGACCGGCCGGAATCAGTGGGTGACAGTGGTTGTTGACAGCGCGCCGGTTGACAGACAGGTTGACAGATTGGTCACCGCGCACTTCTCAAGTAGCGCCACTCGAAATGTAATTGACTTATCTATCGGAACTATACACTGTGACACAGTGGCCGTTCAACGGCGAGGCGTGGCCCTTTGCCAGGCAAGACTGCAGTGTCGTGACGCGCCGGTCACAACACGCGTGACGTCACCGTGACGTCACAGCGACGCCAAGACGCATGCCGCGCATGACGCACGTGCGTCCACCGGGTGCAGCGAGGCGAGCAGTTTTCGACATTGGGACCGAAACCCCATTTGGGGTCGGGGAAAAATATATTGGCGTCGCGGCTTGGTGCTTGGGGTCGTGTGGGGTCGCGAGAGGCCAAGAGCACTGGGGAGACTTAATTTTGCCAGTGGAGTCGTGACATGTTTGGGTCGTCGCGAGTCAGACACGGTTGAAAACCGCTGAGCGAGGTGCAGCTTGTTCCGCTCCACTCCCAAAGCAGGCCACGCTGCACTAGGTTCGAGCACCTCTCTTGTGTGATGAAGGAAAACCGCACTGAATATGAACAACATTTTTGGAAAGCAGAAGCTTATCTCATAAAAACTTGGGAGGCCTTTTCTTCGTCCCGCAAACGCGTTATCCACTTCGCCGCAAACCTTGCTCTTTCACTTGTCATTTTGGAAGGGCGCTGCTGGTCCCTCTCGTGGGGTTGGCGGGGCTGGCGGGGTGCGGCGACCACGGTATGGCTGCCTGGCAGAAACCCCCCTTTACCTTGAAGATCAACATGGTGGCGGTGCGGGGCGTGCGGGGCTAGGGCGCCGCGGTGCTGGCGGCTGCTGGCGTCCACTGGGGCCGCGGTTCGACGCCGCAGTGAGGCGGTGGCGACGCGACGAGACGAGACGCCGTCGTCCTGGCAGTCGTGCCCGTCCTGGGCTAATCAGCCCCAGATATGTACGACGTACAATGTGCGGACGGCGCGTGGCGAGGCGGGCGCGGGGGGCGAGGCTGCCTGCCACGCCGAGCTGAGCACTATCTCCGGGGCGGCGCGCCGGGCGCGGTCTTGTCGACCTGGCTCCCGCTGTGCGCGGTGCGCCCCGCGCTCCGACACAGAAAACTGGCCGAATTTAGGTCCGGAGCGTCCCCGACCGCCAGAATCGCAGCCACACCCCGCCGCGGCCCGACGCCCGACGCCGCACTAGATCCGGACTGACTTCCAAAGCACTGCCGAGACACGCGTCCCGCCGTCCCGCCGTCCCGGCGCGCACGGCCAGGCCGCCGATGCTGCGAAGGACTAAGGACTCGGCGGCTCTACGAATGATTAGCGACGTCGCGCTCCTTTGAAGGGGCCGCCGGCATGTGCAGCCTCGCTGTGTCTCTCTCGCACCTGAAGGGAGCGCCCCACCGGTGCGAGGGAGACAGAGCGACGAGAGCGACTCTCGAGATCAGTCGGCTGGGACACTTGTAACCAAGTTGAAGGCGGGTCTCGAGTCGAGCACGCCGATGAGGGCCTCCTCGATGAGGGCCGCCTCGATGACCGTACCCACTAACGCTGCAGGCGGATTCTCGAGCACGAGTGGGGCATGACCGAGCGTCAAGCTGAGGACCTTCTCGACGACCGGACTGAACGCTGAGGCTGCAGCCGGCGAGGCAGGACCGGGACCGGCGGCCATCGAACCGAGGGCCTTGGTGACCGACGGCCGTCCTTACCCCGACAGACTGATATTCCGAGTGTCGTTTTCGTCGCTCTGTCTCTCTCGCACTCAGGGGTGCCCCATTTAGATGCGAGAGAGACAGAGAGATAAACACGACTGTCTTAATAACTCTGCACGCGGTCCCCGAATGGCAGGAAAGTCAGCGACTCATAATTGTGTCCGTGTCTGCCTCATCGTGGCATTGACATCGACATTGGCATTGGAAGTCTGCTCCTGGCAGCCCCCCCCCCCTCCCCCTCACGCAACTGTACCGGTTAGCCGCGCCAACTTCCGCTCGCTTCCGCCACACACGCGGCACGCGCTGGGAAGCGAGAACCCTTCCTTCCCACCTGCCACCTGCAGCGGGAGCTGCCGCGACTCACGGTGCACGTCCACTAGGGGTTCGCTTCTCGTCGAACTCCTTGTTATCAGCACTGCTTCAATCGCCTTGAAGAGTGGCGCCTGGAGATGGGCGGTGATACGCTTCACACGTCATGTACGATGTATCGATTTTGCAGGACGACAATCGATGTAGGTCAGTGCGGCCATTTGACTGACGGGTTGGATTTTCCCGCCGTCCGCTTCGCACTGTTTCTTCAGGTTTGCTTTTCGCCTGCACACTCGCCGCGGGGAGCACGTACCCACACTAGCAGTGTGCCTGTTGTGTGCCGATTGTGTGATTGACGATGGTCTCGGGATTTTCTGGCGGCGGTGGCAGCGACTCTTTTTAATTTCGCGTTCCGCCAGTTATGTGGGCCACGGCCGGGCATTGGCGGCGTTGCCCAACAGTGGTCATGCCGCCCGTGTCGCCCGCCAATCCTAGTCGCCGAAGCACAAGCGTGCGCCCCGTGTGCGCCCCGCGCCAAGCCCAACAAGAAAACTACGACGAATCGAAGAAAAAAAAAGAAAGAGGAAAATAAAAGATACAGCCAAGGTGGGAGTCTGAATGCTGCACCTTGTCTGGCACGTACTTACCACGCACTACTGTGGGACGTGCGCCAATCTCATTGATTGACTGATTGATTGATCTTGCTGACTACTGTAGAGCCACTTCGCGGATTCCAAGTAAAAGAGTCGGTCGGAAAGAATTGTGTGAGGCCACGTTCCAAATTGTGAAAATATGTTTACAGTGCAGAAATGTTCTGTACTTTTGCAGTTCCTTTCTCCCTTTCACACTGTAAAAATAAGTCTCCTGAAGTTACAAAGGTTCCTGCGGCAAGATATTTTTCCGAGAGGTACCTTTTTAAATTCCCAATTAATTTCTTACAGTGCAATGCGCCTCGAGTGGATCGGGGTGCCCAGCATGGCGCCACCAAATCACGGGCACTAGGCACCAGCGCGCTGCGTCGTCAGCGCAGTCGGCCCGCGGCCCAAGACGCGACTTCCCATTTTCCCAATAACCTAGGGCCGGCTGGGCGGCGGGGCGGGCCGGCCAGCGGAAGGGACGGGACGCGGAGGCTGCGAGGGCGGGGCGGGCGGGGAGGGATGCCCGGGCGCCGCACGGTGGTGGCGAGGGCAGCGGAGGGGCGGCGGCGTGGCGGCGCGTAGCGCCACACTGGATAGCACCGGTTCCCGCCCAGCGCCGAACCCGCGCCCGGATCCGTGCCAAGGGGGTGTACGTGTACAGCACGCGTTTTCCATTTGACTTTTCTTCTGTGGTAGCACGTACATCACTTGTCAAGTAGCACTGACATCGACTTGATTTGACGACTCGTTTATGTTTTTGACAGGGAAATATTTCCTAGGCAAACCTAGACAGGCCATATTGGGACGCACCTTCGGTAGGCACTTACGCAAACCGCGCGTTTTTGTTCAAATTTGGACCGGAGGCAGTCACAACAATGACATCATTGCGGCACTTTTCTGTTTTTCTGTCGTGTCGTGTTTGCCGGACCGGGTTTGCTGAGGAACTGTTTCCTCCGACAAACATCTCTGTTTACTCACCCCCCAGGACCGCAGGTTTGCCTCGACGACGCTGGGAAGCAGCATGGTGGCCAACGGTGCCCGGTGGTGGTGCCGTCCCGGCTAGCGCTTGCAAGCGTGGTTCAAGCGCGGTGGCGGCGGTCCGGGACTCTATGCGCCTGCGGGACAGGAAGCGCACTGCTAAGCCGAGAGCGCCAAGAGCGCCAAGAGCGGCAAAAGCGGCGGGGAGACAATGGGCGCGCTAGCAGAGCCGCGCCGCCGCGTGGACTCATGGAGCGCCGGCTGGACTGTACGGAAATCGGGGGAAAAGTTGGAGCAGAGATTCGCTCGTTTCACGACCAGGCCGGCGCCTTGTGGAGGACAGTGCATATACGCACATATATACGTACATGAATATACGTATATACGTATACGTACATATATACGCACATATATGTCTGCGTGTCCTTACATTAAAAGCGTGTCTCGGAGAGTCGCAGAGTGGGGCAAGGTCGCTGCACTCGCCTTGCATCGGAAGGAGCAGCTCCTGCAAGAGTGGGGCATGCGGCGGTCGCGGCGGTGAGGTGCGGTGGGTTGCCTACCAGCGCCCTGCTCGAAAAAAAAGAGGAGAAAAAGAGGTTGGACGTGAAGTGAGATAATGGCGTCTGGGGCGCACCTTTACGTTTGTTGGTTATCTTTCACTGACAGGGCGTCTGACAAAGTGCAACCTGCAGTCGTCCGGCAGTCCGGGCAAAGCCAATGCAACGCGCGTCCGGCTCACCTTGCCGACACACAAACACACACATACTCGTTTCTCTCTCTCTCTCTCTCTCTCACACACACACACACACACACACGCGCTTACACTCACTCACACCTTTATCAGGCGCGCCAGGGTCGTTCCACACAACACCCGCGAAGAATGCTCCAACCCCATGAGTGCAGTCACTGCAGTCCGGCCAATGCGGGATGTTGATCCTTGATGTTGTGGGTTTGTGGGTCAGCATAGCGCAGGGCCAGCTCCAGAACAAAGAACAAGGTCCGCTTCTGAACGTAACTTGGAGCCGCGGAGCCGCGGCGGCCTGAGGCTGTGAGGGAGGCAGCAACCCTGTGGCCGCCCAGCCCAGCCGTGGCGCCTCGGTGGCCAGCCCGCCGAGTCGCGCCGCCCCGACGCCTCCCTGTAATGGACAAGCGGTGGCGTCATCCCTCGAGGACGGCAGGGCCGGCCGGGACGTCGACGTCGCCGCGTCGCCGGGAGCAAGGACCAACAGCTGCAAGGTGGATGACGCCCCGCGGATGCAGCGGGTTTGCCGTCCATTTTGTGACAGGGCCAGCTAACGTGACATGGCGTGCCCTACGCCACGCCGGATCGGTGGATCGGCGGACCGGCGACGCCGGCGACCTCGAACATGGCGACCATCGGCCAGGCCATTGGCCATTCACGGCGAGTTTCCGCTTTTTGCCACGCCGTCCTTTGTCTCTCTCCGCAGACTATGGTTCCGAGAGTCGTTTTCATCACTCTGCCTCTCTCGCACCTGAGCGGGACGCCCCACGAGAGCGAGAGGGACAGAGCGACGGAGCACTGCGTCCGACTGCGTCCGTCACGGGCGTAATGCTGATCCGCGACTGGCAGCGCACGCCATACGACGTCACGCGGCCGGCGTCCACCAGCAGAAAGCCGCAGGCTAGTACACAGGAAAAATAGTGTTGGAGAACAGAAGTTTTTATTTCTTACGGTGAAGAAATTAGCCTTTGTGCGGTCCAAGGAGGACATAAAAGACTTGATTGAAGGAAAGCCATCAACGGACGCGCGCTCGACGACAGCAGACGGCAGCGGCAGCGGACTGAACTGGAGATTACTGGAATATTGAGACCCGGCTACATCAGATGGCAAGCGATAAAGGCAGGGCGCCGGATGCTACGCCACGGTAGCCGAGCCCACTAAGTGGTGCAATTTGGAACAAGTAGATCCGTGGTTCAACACGCCCATCCCAAACAGGGCGACAAAGGCTTATCGGCTCGCCGAAAACGTGTATGGAACTTACGTAGTACGACCCGTTGAAGTTTTGACCAGATATCACCCGTTCCTTTTCGGCCCTTGTTTCTACCAGAGTGTGAATTTTGGGGTGCGAATCACCACGAGCTACTCACCGGCAGCATCAACTGCGCCGTGGCGTGGGCCCAGCGCGGGCCGTGCGTCGCGGAGTGGCGGTGCAGCAGTGGCGCTGCGGCGCTGCAGCACGACGGCGTTGACAAACACGGTGGCGGTGACGGTGGTGACGGCGACGGCCCGGCGCGCGCTATCGGCCGATCAGTGCGACTGACTGCGTGGACCTCGCGGACCTCGCGGGCCTCGCGGACGGCATGCCGGCGGGGTGGTTCGGCGCTGGCCGCGTGCTGGTCCACGACAAGGGCCTGTCCTTGGCGGACGGCGCGTGCCGATTTGCGACTCGCACCGAACCAAACTGGACCAGCTCGGGGCTGCGCCGGGCCGTGCCGGGCCGCTGCGGCGGGTACTAGCGTAGTGGACCTCGCCGCCACTACGAGGCCTCCTCTCCTCTCTCCGCCGCGCTTTGCGTACCTCACGCGGCACGGCCGTGGGGCGCGCGGGGGATTCCCTCTCCCGATTGGCGGGGAGCGGTCGGCAAGGCCGCGCGTCCTGCCTGGATCGAAGCGGGGGTGGGGAGGGGTAGGGAGGGGGACGGGCCCGGAGGGGGTGACCCGCCCCGGAGCAACAAAAATGGGGTACGAAACGGTTTTGTCCGGCGCGTCGCTGGCCGTTGGCGCGTTAGTGTCAGGCTCCACGCACCTGGACGCCATGATGTTGATGCGAGTGAATGCCGCCCATCCCGGCCGATCTAGGCCGAACGCTCTTCTTCGTAAATCATATGTCAGGAGGAGAGATACTACGATAGGGGGAGGGGGTGGGAGTGGAGGGGCATGTGCACGCCTTCTATCCACCGTGTGGCGCGTCCCTCGGGGAAGACCACTGCGCACTGCGCACACGCAACGGGGCCGAGCGGGCGCCTTGGTAATGCAGTGTAGGCAACCAGTGCGCCGCCCTGTTGAGCGGGACTGCCTACCACTCTGCCGGCGCCAGACCAGCGTGCCGCCACTCTGGTCCAAAGGCAGCGCGGGGCTTTCCTTGCACGGTGCTCCTTCCAGTGTATCTCGCGCGCTTTGGTAGCCGTTCTGGCGGAGAGTCCCTCTCGCAGCCTACGGGACGTCTCAGGAGTGCGACGGAGACAGGGCGACGAAACGAGTCGGCCTGCACCCTGCAGCACAGAGGAAGGGGTAACTGCAGCTTACGTGTTAGGCGATTGAGCCCAGCACACCGTGTCGACTTGTGGGGAGTCACGAGGCCGGGCCGGCCCAAGAGCCTCCTGAAGAGTCATTTTGTTACCCGGTCTCCGTCGCACTCGTGGAGCTCTCCGTAAGGGTGCGAGAGAGACAGCCAGTCCAAGCCCCACCCGCGCCGACATTGACGCGCTCCTTCCGCCCTGCCCGCGGGTCCTACAGAGCGCCCGCGCCGCGGCACCGCGGCTGCGCCAAGGGCTGCGCCCTGCACTTGTTTGCCACGTGCTCGTCTCTCCGCCCCGCTCCCTGCCCGCTCCCTCCCTGCCGTGTCCGTCCACCCACCGGCCCCACCGTCACGACCCTGAAACTCTGGGTTCCGCCCCCACCTCCGGCCTTGAATGGCTCGAAGGGCTTGAATGGGCCAGGGCGCTAGGCGAGGGCGAGGGCGAGGGCGAGGGCGCCAGGGGTGCCGAATGCGGCCGAGTTCTCTGTCTTTATCTGCGAGTCCGCGCAGTGTGTCTGGCGCGCCCCGCTCCGGACCACTCCACCGTCGCGCGTTCTGCGGTCGCGATTCGCGGTACGCCCTGCGTTTCGCCGCGTTCGCCGCGTCACATAGCCGCCTCATTTGGAGTAGGAGTCCTTTTGGAGACGATCGCTTCCGCGCCGCGCCCGCGCGCGCTTGTCGCTGCGTCCGCCTACCGCCCACTCTCCCCTACCCCGCCCCTCCCCCAACCCCGCGCTACGCCGCGCTCCTGCGCCCTCCCCTCCCCCCTGACCTGCTGTCCAGAAGTGTTACCAGTCGCAGAGGGGAAGCCTAACCTCTCGGAGCGGCGAATTAGTCAGTTTTGTGTAGGTTTGTGAGATCCGGCCACTTTGTCACCGTGTTTCGGATTCTGGCCATCTTTGGCACCTTCTGCTTCGTGTCCTGTTGGAGGATAGGCGAGCGCGGGGCTTGCAGCGTTTGCCAGAGGCGCAACGGGAACACATGTCAAGACGGGGAGGGGGTTGCACTTGTCTGCACTTGGCCTCGGAATGAAACGTCAATTTCCTCCCCATTTTCGTCCATTCGTCCCGCAACAGAGTCCGGGCTCGATTGTTGGCCACGGCCCAGTGTGTCAGGCAGCCCTGCGCGAGTGTCGAGCGGGTAAAGTGTGTCTTCGTCTTATGCGTGGACGCTGCACACTGCCCTGTCCCGTCCTGCCGTTGTTTATGTTTGGGTTGGAGCTGTCGTCTGCCTCTGTGCAAGCCTTCTGTTCCCTTCTTCTTGCCCTTGCTCCTGGGGAAGAAAAGAATCTTTTCTATTCTTCTAAATTATTATGGTTTTGTGCTTCTAAGTGCGTTTTGTGGATGTTGCTTTAAAAAAAAATTAATTAAATATTTTTGCTTTCAAAGTAGCCCTTTTCTTTGTTGAAACAAGGCTGCTTCTTCAATTACACCAGTATCTTGCTCCATTGCGATTTTTTGTAATTTCCATTTTGTATTTTTTCTTCTAGGTTAACATGTTTTGGTAATATCCCTCTACAATGGAGGATAATGAACAAGATTTTGAACGGGCCCGTCAGGGCATTGCACTTCTTCTCAACAACAAAGAAGAGGAAGCCGAGAGTCTGTTTGCGAAAGGAAAAGATAATGTTCATATAGCAGCTAGCCATTGTTTTGCTCGATTCATGGTAGGTATTTTTTGGGTGTCTGGATTTATCATCATTGCCTATCTGGTGTTGCTTCTTGATCCTGCCGTTTAAAGTTGACACTCAGCTGATACTATTCTTTGGGATCTTTCAGAACGCATTAATGACCTTTGAAGAAGAAAGAGTGCAAGATGCTTTGGATGCATTCAAGGAAATGGAAAAAATGTGTGCTCATGATGTAGGGTGGTTGACCTCAGTTCGTAACTCTGTCTTCAGTAGCACTGATGTGAGTCATTATTTGATTTTTATGAAAAAGTTTATTTGATTTTTTTGACACCAAATAATTTTGTTTGCTCCTCTGTTTAGTCCCAGACTTTGGCACACAGACTAGAGGAACAGATCATTTTGGCTGACTGTCAAGTTGGTTCTGCCTTATTGACCTTTTTGATTCAGAGAGACAAAAGTGCGTTTGTTCGTGGTGGATGGGCTCTCAGAAAGGCATGGAAAATTTATCAGCACACCTACTCCCAGATCTTGAATCTCTATAGGCGAACATTCGGGACAAATCAAAATGTTCCAGGTAAGACTTAGCCAAGCTGCACTGATAATGTGAAGCTGCACTGATAATGTGCACAGTTTCCTATATTTTCTGAGGGAATCTTATAATTTTCTTTACAGGCTCTGAGTTTCCTCTGTGGCAAGTTCTGCCACGTGACAACACACTGGCAGATCTTCAAAGCCCAACGGACTGGGCTGTTCCTTCCGCTGCTAGCACTCCCTCAACAAGTAGTAACGGCATTCGAGGATTCCTTAGTAGTAGTCTGCGCACTCCCTTTTCTCTTCTGACTTCAGCATTTTCAGCTTCTCAGCCTGAGTATGTCACTTGTGGTATTAAAAATACTGTTCTGTTGGGCCAAAATTAATTGTAAACCTTAATTTTTCAGAGATAACATTCCACCTAATGTTGTGGCAAGGCTTATGGCAGGTGTAAGCTTTGGTTATGGAATATTTCAGCTTTGTGTGTCATATGTCCCACCACCTCTTTTGAGATTCATTCACTTTTTGGGTTTTGAGGGAGATCGTAATGCTGCTTTAAGTGCATTGAATTTCACAAGACAAAGCAACGACTTCAGAGCTCCACTTGCAACGTAAGCTTATTCCCTTTTGATGTTTTCAATGAATGTAAAATAAATGTTTTTTTTTTGTTACTGTTTGTTTTTGCTTGTTTACAGCTTGGCATTGCTCTGGTATCATACCATACTTTGTCCGTTTTTTGCATCTTCTGGTAACGGAGAGAAGGTGAAGAAGCAGTTAGAGGTTGCTGAAGACCTGCTCACAGACTCAACTGAATTTCGTGAATCTGCTCTGTTTCTTTATTTTGAAGGACGTCTCAACAGGATAAAGGTATATGGTTGTTTAAACATATTGAATTGAAATGGCTGGGGCTAGGACCACAATTGATCCTCTCCTTTTTGGGTCTGTTTATGTGTTTCATAAATCTTGAACCTCATAATTATACTCTTTTCTAGTGTAATACATCTGAGGCATTGAGGTGTTATGAGAATGCTGTGAAAGGAAATCCCCAGAGAGAGGTCCAACTTCTCTGTTTACATGAAGTGGCAATGTGTCACCTTATTCAGCTTGATTACGAAAAGGGTCATTCCTGCTTTTATACACTTATGAATCAAAGTCGTTGGTCAAATAATCTCTATAACTATATGGTCGCAAGTAAGAATTTTTCGTTAATTAATACATGTTTTAGAAAGAATTTTTTTCAAAGTTCAAAGCGTGACATTATTTTTACAATATCCTGTTTTTCTAGTAACTGCTGGTTCCTCTGGTAAAATAGAAGATGCTGTATCTTTAATAGAGGACTTACACTCATCAATCTCAGATCCCAAGTCAGATGACACGGGCCTAGAAATTCTCATTTGGCGCAGGGTAACTCTTATTTCAAAAGCAATAAAGAAATTCCCTGCTGATGTCAATAGTGGTGACTTTGGTCTCTATGGCTCTACTTACTTTCAACTCATGGTCATGGAATTTCTGTATATGTATAATTTTCTACCATCATGCAGTGATGAACATCTTGATGCCATACTCGATGGTAAGATCATGTAATTCCTGTGTTTATTCTCATTGTCACATAGTTCCTGTCTTCTTAGTTTGTTTGTATCTATTTCAGTGTGCCTCAGCTGCAACTACGCTGCTGAACCAATGGCAGGTTTACGTTTCCTCATAGCGGGATCCGTTTGGGGTTTACATGATGACAGAGAGAACTCCATTAGCTGCTTCAGGCAATGCTTAAGTGCAAGAAATTTCAGCTGTTCAGACACCGTCAACCCTGACATTCCTGATAAGCATATCACGGTCTTTGCTCTCTATGAACTAGGTGTTCTTCTTATTGACTCAACAAATGTCAGTGTTATGGTATTGGCAAATGTGTTTTATATGTTGCAGAAAATTAGCACTGTCCTTACATTCTTGTTTTTAACTTTTGCAGGGCTTTGATGAAGGTAAAGAAATGCTGACTAAAGCTCAAAATGATTTCAAGGATTATGATAATGAAAGTGCATTCTCTGTGAAGATAAACCATGCTTTACAACTAAGTAAGAGAAAGTCTGAAGAGCGTTCATCACATTAAACTCTTGTGTGTATGTGTGTGTGTTAGTCAAGTTACCTGGGCATAAATGCTTTGGTAGACTTACAGTTTTATTGTGAATAATCTTATAGCATATAAGTGAATTGCATTTAGTTTTTATTCTGATCATTAACTTTCTAGGAAGAAAACGTTCCTCATTTTTTCCCCAATGATTTGTTTGTTTAGTATCTAAATTTTAAGCTAACATTCCATCCCTTTTGCTATCACATGAATTTATACTCCTCATAAATTTCCCTGTACCATTTTAACATAATGTAAACTTGCTATAATCTTACTTGTTAAGTTTCATTGTATTTGTCTATTTAATTGAAAATTAAATTGTGATTGAGCTGTGCAGTCGTCAACTGCACGTTTTCTCTCACATTACATCTTACCATTCAGTATAACAATGTAATTTAATTTATTTTATTGCAGAATCTAGTCAGAATCTGAAGATGTATCACTTTGTGATTTTATCATTGATTGTTGTTTGTTATTCTTGTTACTACCCCATTAACTTAAGAATGGTCATAGATCTCCTTCAAGTCTTGTCTGAAAAAAGTTTTATGTCTTTCGGATGTCTTTGTTTTTGTTTTTTCAAGGTAAAAATAGCCTTGCTGTGTTGCGAAACATATTGAAATTCTTCCAAAGTGTAGTTAGGAGGTTTTCATACATAAATTAATCATGGCATGTAACTCACTAATGTTCTTTGGTGGTTGAGATTGTATCATGACAAGAAAACTTCAGATGAAAATAGTCACTGTGTTAGCTGATTTTGAATGTTCACTAACAGCCTGTGAATCCTTTTATTTATTCTTTTTAATATTTATTTTTAATATGAAATGTGTAAATCTGGTCACATAATATTTTTGATTTGGAGTATGTTGTTTTGTTTCATGGAAATGTCCTGTGACACTACTCCTTTATTCTAGGGATAGTTCCTTTGCCATTATAAGGTAAGCTTCTCTGCGTTTTTGCAACTGAACAGCATTCTAATTTTTTATCTCACTCACTTTAAATCCAGTGATCATACCTTCAAAATTGTTGAAGGTCTTACCATTGTAGTTATGCTATGATGCTCTGATTAAAGTACTGACTGAAGTTTCATCATAGCTCAGTGTCACCCTGCCTAATCAGCTGAGGAGGCAATGACACCTGGTGAGTCCCCTGTCCATGGGTGGTTGTGTTAAAGAATTTTTGCGTAGGAAACCAGAGGTGACATTTGAGAAACAGATCCCTCCAGGTGTCAAGAAATGAAGACTGGATGTGTGAATTAATTAAAAGTACAAGTGCTCATCAATCAGCTTGTCCATTAATTCATATAAATACTCTTGGCAATAAGTACAGAAGATTTTCAGGATAAAGTATAAGCGTAGCGAATTGTCACATTTGCAACACATCTTAGGTAGTCCGTCCTTTATCCGTCTAAATTAGTATGTGTTTTCTAAGATTGTGTGATACTAGTTTGGCATTTTATTTTGACTAGCATCCAAATGTTTTGTTTTTAGAAAATGTGTTGCTGTTCAAATCAGGAAAACATTCCAAGAGTGTACTGTTTAGTCAATAGTACAATACCACCTAAAACTCACACAAGTTCCATACTCACTGAAATTCTTTGGTGGATTCAGAGCAATCCACCAATACAACTATTGGATGGTTGCTAATTGCTCTGGCGTTTTTGAAGACATGTTTTTATCCAGAGATAACTGCTAGTATTTATGTCTGTTCTTTCTTATACATGATTGTCTCAGCAATTTTTCCTGGGGGGGGGGGCAATTTTGTGTAAGAGCATGAACACTTGTATGGCATTTGTGATTTGTGATCCAATTTTGTTTTTGTATTGTACTTGTTAAATGATGAATTCCTAGTGGAATCGTCATATAATATGTGTAAAGCTCATAAAAGATTAATAAACGATAACTAACTAGTAAAAATTTTTTCCTTATTCCAAATGTTTCAAAATTCGGAAGATATATTTTTCCTTTACTTCCTTGCCCCTGCCCCCACCCTCGCTTTTTGAGACAGCCGGCTTGTTAGTACGGTTTTCTCCCACCAGAGCAGCATCGAACAACAAATGAGCATCTCGGTGTACTACAGCAGGTGTTTTCGGCTAACATTTACCGTCAAAAAAAGACGCTTTACAGCCTAAAATAGCGACGAAGTGCAGTAAACAATACTGTGCTTAATTTATGCAAAGGGAAATAACTCATCAATCAGTGAGTGTGGTATGTATGGTTGTTTTCCAGTTGGCGTGCCAACCCGTCTTGGTTCGATTGCAAAAATGGCGAAGTAAACAAATTTTATGGGGCATCTCTCTCTCTCTCGGTGACACCGCAGCGCAGACCGAATTCGGTAGGAGCCGTCCGTCCATGACGCTTACTTGAGTTTTTCCTAACTTTTGTAATTTTAAGAAGTCGCACCTTCCTAAAAAGTTATTTTGGTGGGTCCGACCGCTCTGTGGTGGCGTTGGTCCCTTGAGCGAAAAGCTGCACTCTGAAATGTTGATGGAACCGCCGTAGTATTTCGGTGAAAATGGTGTTGTTGTGATCAGGTTGGGGTCCAGTTGAACAAACTTAATTGTGCATGTTCGTCGTGGGTTGTCCAACCATAGGTGCTCTTTTTGTGACCCCTACACTGTGTTGTCGAACTTTCCTGGATGATTTTGACGCCAATGCCGTCCGATTGACAAGGGCATGGGAAATGCTAGCAGTGTTTGCTTCTACCCTAACCTCTTAATTCGCTCCTATCTTTTCATTTTGTATCGCGTTGCTGTGCAATCTCCCTCAACAAATTAAAAGTTTGGCTTATTATTGCACATCTTCTTTCCCTTTTAAACAGATTTCCAATTTATATGATCAGTTTTCTTTATTCAGTCATTTGGCTAGTTGCTTTGTATTTGGTTTGCTTGCCATTCCGTTCAAATAAACATCCTATTAGCAATTTTATTTTAAAGTTGGCCATTGAAAGACTTCAGTTTTATTAGACATTTATTGGTCATTAACAAGTTTTAATGTTTACCCTTATATTTCAGGTTGACTTGCAACACATGAGTGGCCAATGTGTGTTCGCCAGAAACATCACCAACAATCATTATGAATTTTACTCCCTTCGGTGGCCCATTTCCTGGGTCCTTGCCTGTTCATCAATTTCCTGCCAAGTTCAATCATGATGGCACAACAAGTACTACCAATACAACACCTACTCATACTGTGACCCAAAACGACATGTCTAGTGCTCCGAGGTATCATTCTAGCCCTGGACCAACACATTTTTCTAATCAGCATCATTCACCTGTCAGTGTGCCCGTTAATGTGAAGTATTCTAGACCAGAAGCACCCACAAGCGACAGCAACAACGGATCTGTTACCCAGGTATGTGACGTTATGAGACTGTTTATGGTCCTTTTTAAGTTGAGGACTTTCTATATATCTCTGTTTTATTTTTAAGTCACGTTAATCGTCAATTATTCTTAACTGTGTTTAATGTCATGTCTGAGCTATCTATCATATTTCTCTGTCTCTTCCATGTGAACAGACATCCATGATGAATCAAGTTGCCAACTCAACCAAATATACTAATGTCCACTACACTGTAAACGTACCTGTCAGCTATGCTCAGCAGACTCAACAGCAGTCTCAACCATCTGCAACATCACCATCTTTACAAGTATGGGCTAAGCTTGTGAAGAATGAATACAAGCCATTGGCAATTAGTTGTGCTTTTTTCCGCCTTTTGTGCTTCACCAGTTTTGTTAAATTGTTGCTATTTGAATTTTGCTTCTTAGGACAGAGAGGCTGCTGAAACAGAAGCTCAAGAGCAACAGCAGCAGCAACTACAACAGCAACAACAACAGCAGCAGCAGCAGCAACAACAACAGCAGCAGCAGCAACAACAACAACAGCAGCAACAACAACAGCAGCAGCAACAACAGCAGCAGCAACAACAACAGCAGCAACAGCAGGAGCAACAACAACAGCAACAACAGGCTGAAACGGGTGAAACAGGAGAAGTGTTCAATGGCACTGGAACTGTTGTGGGGCACCACCTTCATCATCATGGAACACAGACAACAATGCCTGCATCTTGGCAGTCGCTAGCTACTCCAGGTTCAACTGTAAGTATTTGGGTTCGTCAACACAATTGATTTTTTAACTGCTGTCTTAAGAACTAATTCTGGTAACTCATGACTTTTCAGGTTGCAGACTACCTCTCTCACCTTCCGGCATCAACTCTTCCTATTAGCCTCCATCATTTTCTTAAATATTCAGCTGAGTCTATTAAAAAGGAGTCAGAAGGAAATCCAGCTCCACCCACTACTGCATCACCTGTGCAAGCAGTAGCTGCTCCCACCAGTGTTATCAATATGAATGCCCACCATCCCAACAATGGTGTAATGTCACCAAATGGCCATGACCAGCAAGTTCAACAGCTTCAGACTGTGCAGCAGATTCAGGTGCAGGTCCAGCATGAGCAGCATGAGCAGCTCGAGCAGCATGAGCAGCACCATGAACAGCAGCCGGGACAAGTAGTCATCATCAACCCTGCCTTAAAGAAGAAGAAAAAGAAGAAAGCCAAAGAGAAGAAACCGAGACCAAAGCCAGGAGAAATCAGGTTTGGTCCTATCTATACTTTTTCCCATTAAAAAAAAATATCTTTAACTTGTACCATACCATGATTGATACAATATTTGCATGCAATTAATAGAATCCAAGACCTTACACTGCCAATTTCATATTTCAGACTTACCACTGCCTTGGATGGATCTACCTTGTATTGCTGCCCTGAGTGCCACATGGCATATCCTGAGAAAGAACTGCTTGAACAGCATCTTTTAGGTCATACACTGGAACGCAGATTTGTCTGCAACATTTGTGGAGCTGGGCTTAAACGCAAGGACCACCTGACTCGCCACAAGCAGAGTCATAATCCCGAAAGACCATTTGTTTGCTCTGTCTGCCTGAAGGCGAGTTATTTTGTTTTTAAGCTGTATATAGTTTTTCTGAGACAAATTCAATTATTATTTTGTCTTCTTTTAGGCTTTTAAAAGGAAGGAACAACTGACCCTTCATTTTGTGATTCATTCTGGTGAAAAACGGCATGTTTGCACTGAATGTGGTAAGGGTTTTTACCGAAAGGATCACCTACGTAAGCACACTCGAAGTCACATTGCAAGAAGGTATGATGTAGTTGTAGATCGGGAATATAATGATTGTTCTTATTCTTGTTATTTTTTGTTGATGGGTTGTTTGTCTTTTCTTGACAGGGTCAAAGCAGAAATGAGCCAGAACAATCCTCCAGCAGCAGCAGCTCCTGGTTTAGTGCTGACACTTCAGCATTCAGGTCCTCAACATGTTCAAACTGAACATCAACAGCAGCAGCAGCAGCAACAACAACAAATGATATCGTAACTTGGTGATGGTGAACTTGTTGCCTTCACTCATCATCCCATTTCAAACAAAATGTTTCTATTTGGTGTTTTCTTTCATAACAATGTTTCATAGTAGTGAGAAATTCTATGCTGATTGTGGCATATATATTATTTATTGTTTAGGTTGTTTTGTTTGTTTTATACCTGAGCAGCTGGGCCATTTTCTGCCAGTATTCCACAGAACACTTGTTGTTTCCTTTTGTTACCAATGCTGCTGCTCTTTCGTTCCTTGGAGCACAATGTAACATTGTTCAACTTGGAATGTGGGTTCATCAATGATCTCATAGACTTCCATCTGGGTGCTCTGTAGGCATTGATAGCAGCATTATTGCTTGTTTTACCATGAGATGCTTAGCAGTTCATTTTACCTATAATATATTGTTGGTAAGCCTCAGCGCTGAAGTTTTTGGATGGTGTTATCCTATGTGGATTATCTTTTCTGGATTTTGCAGTGCTTATACTCGAGAAGCTTATCGTGATAACTGAATGAAATGCTGATTTTAAGGTTTTCCATTTAAATGGATGCTGTTGTAATGTTAAGGCACGGACAGAAGGGCAGTGCTTATTTTGGGACAGACGTCTAGTGTAGGAAGGGTTGGATACCTTAGCCCTCTCTTCTAGCGAGGACCCCAATCTCTAGAATGCCCATCTAGACATCCCTACATACCCTGGAGGTCCTGGAGGTTTTTCAGAAGCAAGCCTGGCTAACTTGTTAAATCTAATTCATACACTTGAATTGGTTACCCAATTGCCAAGGAGTTGTGATGATTTCAATTTAGTGTTCACAGTAGATCTTGGAGGCAGTCTTCCAAAGACAGTACTTGTGTGAAGTAATTTTTCAGGAGGTGAATTTTGAAATGAAGTGTCACGTCTTCATACATATGTATGTGCTTACATATATAAATTTGTAGATTAGTATGAACCAGATGCTTCCAATGCTGACTTTTATGCTACTCACTTAAATTTGAAATCACAGTATACACTGGGGTTTGAATCTCAGGAATAAATGAGCTAGGGATTCATGCAACACTCTGACAAGATATGTTCATGTATCTACTCATTTAGCTATTGTGTAAATGTTGCCATTGAAGTGTGTTGTGTGTCTAGATTATCCTTTTTTTTTGTGCTAGGATGAATTGCAATTTTATGTTGCAAGCTGTTTCATCCAGATATCATGATGAGGTTCAGTGGCTCTCATTGTTGTTGTTTGTTTTCTTTTTCTTTTGTAAACCATGACATAGGAATCAGACTGTTTTCAAGTCTTATTATCATTATTCTGAGCTACAAAATTCACTCTAGCTCTCTTCCCCTCCCTTGTCTTTCTATTTTCCTTAACTTATGCCATTTAAAATATTTTTTTGTCTGAAACTCCTGTTGAAGGTAGAATAATGAATACCTTACTCCTTGTGAATGTGACAGTACTCTTATATTATAGCAAGTTGCTGAGGCTAGAAAGTATTAAATGTGAATTCATCGATTGTTTTTTAAGTAGGTAATGTAGTGCAAAATGCTATTGAAGACAGCTTTTTTTAAAGATAGTAGTGTGATTTTTTTTCATTTGTATCTTTTATATGTACAATTACTGTATCAAATTATGTTATAGAATCTACCTTTCTTGTTTCGTTTTGACAATGATAATTAATGTACATATGGAACTGTTGACTTGTCTTTTGAAAGGGAATGAAAAATTTGTTTTGACCAGCCGTAAGGGTTGAATCATCATCAAGGTCGAGTGGTTTTTTTTTTATAAATCAAATCCTCAAAGGAAGATCAGAAAGATTTGTAAAATCTCCCTACTTATTGCATCCAACTGTGGTTGAATACCTTCAGTAAGGTCTGTTTGCCACCAGATTTTGATTTTGGACACAGATGTGCACCTACCTTTTCCAGTATCCAAGAGGGCATAGTAGTGGTCCTTGTGTTGTGTGTAGTCTCACTTTCTCCTGAAGATGATCATTAAATTTTATATGTGACTTAATCAGCTATGTAAACTCTCTTCAGATGTTAGAGATTGACAACCTGCGGAATTCTTGGAACAGCTGTAGTCCCTCTCTCCTCCCTTTAAGAAGTAATGACGTGTAGAATGCCTCTCTTGAGAAGTATACCCATTAGGCTTTTATTTTTGTGCCATGCCATGAAGTTTTTCAATAATCATCTATTTTTGGAACATCAAGTGCAAGATCTTTGTGTAGATTTCTGTTGCTGGAATCGGAATCTAATTTTACTAAGGTTCAGTCTGCTATTCTTCATGCCAGATCCAAGCCAAAGCTTCACACAAATTTTGTAAAGACATACAGTAGTTTGTTTTTCTTTCTAGCATCATTGTGTGTGTGTTGATTTGGGTGTGCTTTTGTATGGCTCCTATATTTTATAGCATCCCTAATAAGAGCGTGCTTTGGAATAGTCTGCATAGTTAGCTGTGACCGTAATGTATTCTCAAAGCTGCATTTTATTTTCTGAGGTTTGGTTCAAATGAATCTCAGACTGAGCAGCAGTAGTCTACACTGCTTAGACTTGCATGCCATAATCCTCAGGAATCCCTGTAGCATAGTATTAAGTGAATAAGATCAAACTCAATAGTACCTTCCTACCTAAGGCTTCTTTGCTATCCTTTTTTGTGTGAGTACTTGGGTATACTCTTTGAGTCATTTCAGTCATTTTTGTTTACTTTTGTGATGTGTGTGATACATCATTTACTCAGTACAGCCTTTGAGGCTAATACAATCTCACGCGTTCATATTGTTTTTGCAATAAACCGTATCAAGTGACACGTAGCTATGTTGATCGAAGTCGCCACCAAAATCAATAGGTAATCTAGACTTGATAACATAATTTACACACTATGTGTGTTGGGTGATCAGTTGCGGAGTCCATGGAACTGATTATTGGCTAAAATGTATCTTTGACCTTAGAATGTAAACTTTAGACTGAATGTAAGTTTAGGTGTAGGTATACAGTGCACTATAAAGGTTCAAAAATCTTATCTTTAAAGAACCTATCCTGGATGAATCATAGGTTTGTTTTCACATTGATTGCAAAATTTTGTGACCTGATAGTTGTGAGGAGGGATCTCTGAACAAAGTAGTATATTATCATAGTCATTAAGGAAGCTCAATCCTTGGATCATCTTCATTTTGGTATAATGCATGAAGAATGACAATTTGGGCATGACAATACATTTTGTTGGACACAGGCAATATGTGAGACAGCCAACATGTGGCCTGGGTCTACACAACAATGGTAACAGTTCATTGAGCTTTAATATGTAGCATCATCAATTTTGTCTTGCCTTATAATTTTGTCATTCACAATCTAGATCTCAAAGTCCAAAGAAAGTGAAGGATGTACAGTTCATATCTCTTGGTTTTAAAAAATGTTGGGCCTTCCAAAGTATTGTAATCCATTCTTTGGACATTTAACTCTCATACAGACTTCTTTACACAGCAGTTCGTTTGTAGGAATTTGACTCGGTTTTATGATGATAACTTATCTTATCTCTTGACTTCAGTAATGTAGGAAACATAAGACATTCATCTGAAAGAAAGAAGTGTAATACAAAATTAGATAATGCTTAGTTTGTCTAAGAAGGTTTCCTGCATGCTTTTTATCACCCAGTGAAAAAGATTTCAGTATTAGTGTTTTCATTGGTACATCTTGATGCTATAATCAGTCTTCTGACTCAATTTGGTTGTGTTATGTTTCTGGAAGTCGCTATTGACATCACAACTGAAGCTAATAGAACCTCAACAAAATTAAATCCATGCTTCCTCTTTTCTCTTTTTTTTAAACTTTTTTTTCTTTCTTATTTTATGTAGAAATTGTTAAATCAATTTAGAGTTTTTATTTGGTTGTGAATACTAGAGTCATTTAAGTTTTTTTCCTTCCCTCTTTCTTTCTATGTTTGTGGGGGGCTCACAATTGAAGTTGCCTGGTGCCATGTTCATAGTTCAATGTATATTTTATTTGCAGCTATTTCAGATACCTCAATACACAAGTTTGACTTGAGATTTAAGTGTATTACCATTAGAGTGCAATCACATTTATAATGTTAGATTTCTCATTTAAGTTTTTAATTTTGGTTGTGGTATCACATAACTGCTGAAATTTGTCATGTGACACCACATCTTGTGTTTGGGAAGCTTTGCTCAAGTATTCCAGAACCAAAAGCTTGTGTACTTATCGTTCTTTTACTATTGTCTGGCGTCCTTGGTCCTTAAGAAATCTGTTTTGTTTATTCCTGCCAATCACTTAGTTTTTCCATTGTCAGATGAGGCAGTTTTGTGGGATGCTCTGTGTAGTTTAACTGTAATTTGTCTAAATTTTACACATATTTTGGTATTGGAATGAACTTAGCATGTTACCATAAACATTTCAGTTGGCTTGCTTGTTTGTTCGTTTGTTTGCAACTAAATCATGGCATTTTGGCTGTACTATCATCATGATCATCCAGTATTAATTAATTCTACCAGAGTATTTATTCACACCATGTGTAAATGACTTTTTTCTTCTTTTTTATTCCAAGACTGGGATTTGAGAGATTTATGTGCCTTTGAATATTCTGCATCGTTTCTTTGTTTGGTACTGTATCCACTTATGAGCTGTTTGATTTGTATTAAGAAGTGGGAAATCTATTGTCTTCAAGATAGATCAACTAGTTGCAGCTTTGGCTTCACATTCTCTTTTTCTCTTTGTGAGTGACCACCGGGTATCAAGGCATGGTTGGATTATTTAATACATATTTAACATCAACCCTTCGAAGTGAGATTTTTTTTGTACAGTTCCAGTATTTTTGTGGACAATAATTTTTAGAAACTTAGTACTTCTCTAGATTGGTGATGTCCCAAGCAATATTTAGAAATGTTTGCAATATTTGTTCTCAAATCTGGCCTTCCAATGTTCTATAAGTAAGCCATTCATTTTAGGTCTTGTGAAGTTAATATGTATTGAACTGTCTGAACTGTACTGATACCTACACTCATCCTATCAAAATAAAGTGGGCAATGCATGTTGTATGTAGATTCTTCCTTAGTAAACTTTAATAGTGTATGACTTAGACTGCTTAACACAAGTCAGACACTTTGCCATTGCTTTCAATGAGTCAAGTCTGGGTTTTCATTCTTGAATGTAATAGGGCGGTTTGTTCTGAAATTTAATATATTTTTGACCAAATTGCTTCACTTGGGATCCGGGAGTACACCCAGCTAAATTAGAAAGTATTGCCACTCAATAAATGTTCTTGTTCTAGTCAGGCAGTGATAAGACAATCGTTGCAACAAATGCTCTACCTTCTTAATGTGTACAACCATTTGTGTAATAAAATAAGCTCTTTCAGGTGAAGTACTGTTATAATTAGTTAGTGCACTGGGACAAAATTTTGTGTAGGTTCCATGTACAGAACCACAGTTATCATGAATCAAATTGAATTCAACAAAAATAGAGATTGTCTCTTATCTCTAGAAATGAGAGAAAGCAAAAGAAGTATATTTGTGTATTGGTGTGTAATATTATTTAAGAACTTTCAGTGTACTTTTCAAGCAGGATTGTAAATTTGTCAACTAAAGCAATCAATGTTGGGTTAAATTAATTGTAAGAGGATGATACATGTATTAAGCTTATGCAAAAGCTTATCAATGAGTTCCACCCCTCTATTTTCTTATAATTTCTATAATGTTAGAGGGCACTCATCACTAAAATGTTTAGAACAGCTAAGAAGCTGGTAGTACACGTGTCATCACATTTTGCAATTCATAACCAGAGAGGTTTGATTCTCCATGTAGATTTGAAATCAAATCAGGTGTATGGGTACACTGTGTTATGCCTTAAAATATTGTTATACCCTTGTACTCTTTGTATACCAAATATTCTAGATCTGCTTCTGTATTGAAGGATTGATAAATCAGAACCTTAATTTTGGTATTTTATTTTCACCCTAATACCACTGCACAAGCAGATTGACAAAGGATGCATCTTTCCCTCGTTAATATTTGGCCGACTCGATGCGTCATAGTTGCAGCTGCCCCTCATTAGTAAAGCATTGCCTAGTGTGAACCAGCCGGACCAGCCGGCACGGCTATGCACGGCGCATTGCGCTCGCTCGCGGAGTGACGGGAGTGACGGCCGGGCCACTGGATCTGGAGTCTGGAGTCCTGGCGGGCTGCTGGAGAGGACCACTCAGTTGCGTCACCGCCCTGGAATATGCTGGAACACGCCGTGGTTACAGTAGTTGCGGCCCGGCCTCTGGGCTGCCGCTGGGTCCGCTTGGTCAGGCCTAGGGCGGCGCGGGGCGCGGTCGGACTCGTGCATTCCCCATTCGATCGCTGGGCGGCCGCGGCCAGTGCAGGGAGACGAAGCTGGCGCAGCAGGCACGGCCCACGGGGCCCACGGGGCCCACGGGGAAGCTCGGACCTGTGCGATCGGTCAGTCGGTCACCTGCTCGCCTCAGACCGATTCCGAAGGATCTTCGTCGCGCTGTCTCCCTCGCATCCCTACGGAAGGCCCTGTGAGTGCGACAGAGACAGCGACGAGGCGATCCTGCGGTCCATGCTCTCGCTGTGATCGAGGGCGCTTGGCGTGGTGCCCGTCCGAGCCGCCGAGCCGGAGCTGCAAGAGAAACAGCCCAATTTGATAACGAGCCTGCTCTTGCTCTATCTGGGGAGACTGGGTTGACCAGCAGTTTTAGTGTTTTGCGCCGCCTAGATTCCCAACTAGGCCCTCCGGGCGCGGCGCGGCGCGGCGGGGACGGGCGGGACAGACACGACACTTGCTGTGTCATGGCAGACGTACGTCCAGATGAACGCGTGACAACATCCAGTCGGTCATCGCGTTCCCAGAGATGCGTCTGCACATGTTGCGGCCACGAGGCCGAGGTCTTGGCGCCTTGGCCGGGGCAACGTCACTCTGGAACCGAGGGGCTTGCCGGGGCGCCGGCCTGGCCTGGCCAGCCACTTTGTTGCACTAATTGTGCAGCCGCCGGGCCGAAACTCGCTAACACACCTGCAAAACGAAAAACGTCTGTAAGTAGGCAAGTTTACCGCTTGCGTGATTCGTTGGCTTCGTTTGGCCCGCCTGTGATTACCGCAGCGACGCCATCCTTGTCGCTCCGCCTGCTCCGCCCCGTCGACGTCAAGAGGGCCGAAAGAAAGCTACCCCCTCCCCTCGCTCCGCGGCCGTCCAAGGCGCTCCGAGTCATTCGCGTTGATTCGGCGACGATTTGATAATTTGCGGCGGCGACGCTGCCCGACGCGGGACGCGGTTCGCACGCCTCTATCCGCGTCGCCGCGACGCCGCGACCCATCAAGGATCAAGGTGCCCGGAGGGTCCCGGAGGCCTTACGAGCCGAACCATCCGGAGAGGCCGCTTCATCGTTGTCTCTGTCGCACTCGCGAGGCACCCCATTAGTGTGCGAGAGAGATAGAGCGACGCACAGGGCGGCACGGGGTGGAGACACTGGAAATGACGCACAGCCCGCCAATTTGGCTAGTAGGTCCCGGGACTGGACGGGGCGGGGCCCGGCCGGGCGCACGCACGCACTCGCCAGCACGCAGCACGCGCACCAAGGGCGCGACGCGCGACGCGGCTAGGCGCGGCCCGCGGCGCCCGGCCCTCCCAGTTCCCAGTGCCCCTCCCCTCCTCCGCGTCAGAACGCAGAGCGGCAGAGCGGTGGTGGCAAAGGTCGCCGGGCGACAGCGGTTTCAATCGTCACCGCGGTGCTAATTGAACCAGCCTCGGCCGTGGCGGCCCGGCCCGGCCCTCTCAAGTCTCGGCAGTGTTTTCGTCGCCGTGTCTCTCTCGCACCTTTGCGGAACGCGTCGCGAGTGCGAGAGAGATGCTGCTGGACGGACGGAAGGCTCCAAGCCGCTTGACGCCCTCACTGGAAAGGGGCGGGTCGCCACGCTGGAGGGGCATGCATCTGCGTCACCTATCCAACGGCTCACAGCTTTTGAGGGATGAGTGCCGATCTCGAAGCTGGACTTTCTTGTGGCGGCAGAGCATTTCTTTCAAGGTTTGTTCGCAAACCGTTCTCAGGCGCGCACCGAAAAAAAAGGGGGGGGGGTGTCATATGACGTTAGAGGGCGGTAGGGTCCAAAACGACGACGTGGTCATCGAGCGAAGCGATAAAGTAGCTCCACTAAAGAAATAAAGCAGAGGCCGAAAAAGGAAGACGACGTATAACGACGCGGAAACCTCCAAACAGGCTCCGGTTTTTTTTTCCGGCGCGCGCCGCACGCGAGGGACTCTGCGTGGACTCTGCCTGCGGTACTGCGGCGAAGTTCCGGGCTGGGGGATCGGCCCGCCGACATTCTTTTGGCTTCTGCCTTTTATTTTACAAAACGAACCTCGCTCTTGGCTTTTCCGCGAGCGACGAGCTCACTACTTTTTGGCGATTCATCCGCCAATTTCCTGTTTGACCTGCGTCCGCCGCGTCCGCGCCGTCGCGCATGGGGCGTGCGTCAAGACCGTCAAGACGCCGGGCCCGATACCGGAGAAACATCAACTCTCAACAAGGTTTGGCCGAACTACGCACACGAACTCACGCACTCACTAACGCGCGCGCGCAAACAAACACACACACACACACACACACACACACACACTCACGCGCGCACACACACACGCACACACACGCACCCGTTTGTAAGGTGCACCGGCAGCGTCCACTACTCGAACCGGCCAATCATCGACGAGAGCAGGGAGGGAGGGGAGGGGGGCACGTAGGGCCATGAGCCTGTTGGTCCGTGTTCAGTCCATGGCCGAACCGCATCGAAACAATGACGACAAGGCCTGCCGTTGTGTGGCCGCGGTGCGCCGCATGCGCGCCTCCTTTCACTCTTTCCAGGTTGCTCTCTGCCCGCCACGGTTTTGGCCCTTCGGGCTTGGTGGCTTGGGCGGCAGGCAGAAACGGAGATCGGCCGCGCCTCGGAAATGCAAGTCGGCTGCACGACCCTGGGTCAGGGTAGAGACGTCCGTGCCCTTGGAGCGCACTCCTTGTCACTACGCGGCCGGGCGCGCACGTTGCGGCGCTGACGGTTTGGGCACACAGACTGCATCCAACTGCCGCTACACGCGCGGTTTATTGGCCGCCCGAGCCAATCCGTTTGCGCAGGCCATTATGCTGCTCTGAATGGACTTGATTGGGACCGGTGGGCGAGCAGCGAATGGCGCTCGGAAGGCCTCGACGCCTCGGCGCCTTGACGCCAGGACGACGCGGCCAAGGCGTTTGTCTCGGCGTCCCAGTGTTCCGGATCCACACGCCCCACGGCAGCGGGGCAGCGAGGCAGCGGGGCCATAGGGACATACATGCCCGGGACATGTCTCTCGAAGGAGGGACACAAGCGGGATGGTGCCTCACTTCGATTGCACTATACTTGACGAATTCATTTCATGTCGAATCGCCTACTGTTCCTATCCCCTTTTAAATTCATAGTCAACTGTCAAAGAAATTTTGGGGTTCGTGATGTTCGTGATGATGCCTGCGGCTAGCGTCGAAGAAAATGAGGATCCTCGGTCGGTGAGCCAAGGTGGAGCGGCGTTTTTGATAAAGTATCGCCAAAAAAAAACCAGTACAGCAGAGCGGGTGAGAGGGCAGAGAGGGGAGGGCGGAGGGTCATGGGTTGGTTGCTAAGTACCAGAGAATGGTAACAGTTGCCTATTTACAGTGCCAAGGTGTGACTTTTTGCCCACCTTTCTGGCGGGGCCGCGGCGCGGGCCGCGGCCTAGTCACGTTAAAACGAACGTGACACGATTCACGTCAAGGAACGTGACGTCACATTCCTGGATCCCAAGTGAGGGGCAAAAACCAGTTCGAATGTCAGGTGTTGCTCTTTTTGGGCGGCTTTTCGCCTTTTTGTTTGCGCGGATTATATTGCCATCATCAATTAGCATATCTCCGGCCGATTCGCTAGTGACCAGTGTAGCCGAGCCGTACTGAGGATACAGTGACGTCACGTTGGCTTGAGCGAGGATCTATCACGTTCGTTTCAATGTGACCTGGCGAGGCCCCCGCCCAAAGACGCATGAATTCGCGTTCAAACAGTGTGACGTCACACTCTTTGGTTCCCGAGCAGTGCTCCCAGTGCGAGCGGTTACGGTGAGGGGGTTTTGCGCACCGTCTAGTGTCGTCTTGGACTATGCCCCGCTGGGCTGTTTGGGCCGCGTTCGGGCCCTCCTGTACGTACACAACGGGAAAAGCAACCCGCAATAGACGTTCAGTGACTTGCTCCTGGGGGACGATTCGGCACGAGAAAAAAACCCGCTCGATGCTGAGTACTTTGGAACGTGTCGTGCTGGAGTCGTCGAACTGTTAGTCTAGCCTGAATTCCCCGGCTCCCGGCCCGGCCGACGCCCTGCCTGGGCCTCCTCTCACGACGCCGGTGCTGACGCCGCTGACGCAGGGATGAGCTTTTCACACCCTGCCGGCCCGGCCGGCCCAGCCCCGCCCCGCTGGCATCTGTTCCCCGAGATTTGACACCATCATTGGCTGGCCAAATAAAACTTTGAACCGCAAACGAGGACCGGCGTCACCGGCGCGCTTTTGCGCATCGCGGCGCGGCTCGCGTCAGACACAAAGAAGTCCTGCAAATATCCAAATATCTCACCTCCTTAACGCCGAGAGTCGCTTTTGCGGCACCTTTCAGCCGACCAGAAAAGAACCAGAAACAAGACCCCCCCCTCCCCAGTGGGCGATCCAAGACAGATGGCTGCTGGAAGGTGCTCTAGGTGCCAACAGTTTGTTTGAGTGGTGCGCGGTGCTACGTCACCCGCCCGATACCCGCGTCACGCCCGCGGCCCACACGTCCTGCTCTTTTTCGTCTCGCCCGCCCGTCTTGCCGGATTCCGTCCAACAGACTGCCAAGAGTAGTTTTCGTCGCCCTGCCTCTCTCGCACTCGCGGGGCTTCCCCTTGAGGTGCGAGAGAGACAGGGCGACGACTCTAGGGATCGGCCTGCTGGACGTCCTGGCGCCCTGGCCGCCCAGGGTCCACGCACGTCCCGCTGTCGCGTACGTCACCGTGACGCTTTGTTTATCAGTTCCTTTCTCCGGGTTCTGGACATCCTGGATGCGCACGTCGCCGGCCTATAGCCTGGCCAGGCGCGGGAGGGGTGGGGGAGGGGTCACGGCCCCGGCGCCCCCGTCACCTCGGCCAAGGTGGCCAAGGTGCCAGTGGGGACACCGGAGGACACCGAACACCAACAGCCGGCAATCCCGCCTCGGCGGCGCCAGTGCGCCAGCCTGCCAGCCTGCCAGGGCGCCACCCTGGCCGTGCGGAGGGCCGAGGGAGTCTCCCACTCCCTTTTGGCGCCTAAAAAGCGCGCTGCAGACTCATTCCCTGAGTCCTTGTCGCTCTGTCTCTCTCGCACTCGTGGGGCTACTCTCTGAAGTACGTAGTCGGACAAGAGGTTTAGGCTTTCCGACTGCAGAGCACTTGAATTTATTTTCCCACACTGCTGGGCCGGCGCCTCCTCCAGAGTCTCCAGGAATGCCGCTGGTCCTGGTCGTCCCGGGGACGCTCCTAGTGACGTCAGCGTGGACCGTGGACCCGCGGGGAGCCGGCCCTCCTAGGATGCGTCGGGGACCAGAGTTGGAGCAGAGAGACAGTGTCACCCCCTGTGTCCCACCCCTTTCACCCGGCCTGGCCCCGCAGCCCCCGCAGCGCCATCCATGATCCAACAGTATCAGTGACGTCGGCGCCACACCCTGCACCCTCGCGTCGCCCCGTCGCCCCGTCGCCTCGCTGTGGAGGAGCGCGCTGTGAGGCCGCGGGGGTGCAGCGCAGCGGGAGCGACAGAGAAAGGCAGACGAGGGTAGCGGAGTGGCGGGCAGCGCGGGCAGCGGCAGGCCAGTTGGGGTGGAAGGAAGTGGAGCGGGGGTGAAGGGTGAACCGACCCCCACCACCCCACCCCCAGCACGCCGTGTCAAGCGGCACCGCCAGGAAGGCGCCCCACCCCCGCGCGCCCCCGCCGGCCCCCGCGGGGCAGGGAGGGGCAGGGAGGGGGCAGTGGGCGAGCCCGCGGCGCGCAGCCAACCAGACGGGCGACGGGCAGGCAGGCTGGCAGCCAGGCGGCCAGGCGAGGCAGTCAGTCGGCATCGGCACGGTGCTGGTAAAGCAGTCATCCGTCGTGCGGCTCGGCTCGGCTCTGCGGCGCTCTGCGGCGCGCTTCACTCACTCGCACCGGTCAGGCCGTCAGGCAGACTCGAGCGAGTTCCGCTGTGTTCGCATCGTCGTATCGTAACGTCAGTGCGTCACCGCAGTGATACACGGCGCGAGCAACGCCCACCAACACACGGACACCCTCCACGTCGACGTGGACGTCGTGAACCTCAAGTCCGCCAAGTCCTGCCAGTCCAGCCAGCTCCCTGGAACGGCGCTGGAACGTCCGCGTCGCGCCGTCGGAAACCCCCAGGCCTGTCTGCAGCGTCTGCAGGCCGAGCCGTCGGGCACTCCGGCCGTGAGTGCGTGTGTCTGAGCCCGGGAAGAAATCAGCACTTCTTGTTGTGCACCAGCGCAGCGCGCCGACTGGCCGAGGCTAGAGGATAACCGCCGTCGCCCTGCACGGCACCGGCCCCCGTTTCCCAGAAAGGTGAGTGGGCAACTAGTGAGGCAGGGACTCGCGGTGCATGATGTCAACGCGGACGGGGCGTCGACGGCCACGGTATAAATAGCCGTAACGGCCGCGCCTATGCCTCTGCGCTAGGACTCTTACTAGGCCAGCACGGCCCAGCCACGCCCAGTTTTTTGGGTTCGGTCGATGCAGCCGGGCGATAACTTGACGAGGGCCGTCCTGGTGACGGGGGACGACGCCGTCGTAGTCCTGGACGTCTCGGGCCGCCGTGTTCGGCTCGGCGGGAACGCGGAGCCCTCGTCCGGAGTCCTGGGCCGGCCGCCGCCGCGGCGCGTTGAGGTTATGTCGCCCAAGGCGCTCCCTGCTCCCCGCCTGCCAGACGCCGGGACGGCCGAGAACGCGGCGGTGGCGGGGCGGGACGGGCGGCGAAGAGGAAGAGCGCGAGGAGCGCGAGGCCGGGCGGTGCTTGGCGGTGCGGCGCGCGGCCTTTGGAGGTTAGGGTTGGCGAAGAGACGGCGCGACGTCTAGGCAGGCGGCAGGCGTCATGTGGGACGGGACGAGTCCTTGTGACGCCGGCCGGGCCGGCGCGGCGCGGCGCCGCGGGGCCCTCGGGGCCCTGGGGGCGGGGGGACCGGGGGACAGCCAAGTGGCGGCGCTGCCTGCACTGCCCTGCGCTGCACTGCGTGCAAGTGCATGCTGCGGGCTGCTTCTGTCAAGCGGCAGCGATGCAGGCCGCATTCTCGCGAGCCGGCGACCCTCTCCACCGTTCAAGACCATCAGAGCGTTGGCGACAAGCGGAAAACGGAGCAGGGCAGTGCCGCAGTGCTACGTAATGAGCGCTCTGACAAGTGAAGCGGCAGCCTTTGGGCAGCCTCCTTTCACCTTGATGGTCCGACTGGGTCCGACTGGGTCCGACTGGGCCTTAGCACGACGGGGGCCCATTGCCCATTGGCGGGCCGCTGTCACGCCGCCATTCTCCCCTTGAGCCCCGCGGCCCCGCCGGCATGGCCCATTCATTGCGCGCCTCCGGGCCCCGGGCCCCAGCAGACTGATTCCGAGAGTCCTTTTCGTCGCTCTGTCTCTCCCGCACTCAAGGGCGTCCCTCATAGGTGCGAGCAAGACGGAGATAAGCGGCTGTCGGAATCAGTCTGCGGGCTGTCTCTCGCACTCCAGGGGCGCGAAAGAGACCGAGGGACGAGACAAAGCCGCTGCTCGGCATCAGCCTACTGGTCTCGAAGGCTGCCGGCCTGCTCGTGAAGGCTGCCCATGGAGGCTCCCGGCCAGGTGAGAGTGGTGCCCGGCGGGGGTGGGGTGTCCTGGAGCCATTCCCCAAAATGGTGCTCGCCTGGCGTCGGGCCAGTGGCGGTGTGGCGGTGGCAGCCAGTGGTTTCCCTTCCCTTCCGCCACTGGAACTCTGACGCCGATAACGGGCTGGGGGCACGCCCCGACGACCCGACGCCCAAACGCCCCGCCTCGACGCCAAGTGTCAGGTGCAGCAGGGACGACGACGGCAGTGCCGTCGCTCTGTCTCTCTTGGAGTTCTTGGCGGAGCGAGAGAGACATGACGAACCGCCCGTCTCATGCACACGGCAGAAGACCTCGCCCTACCCCGCGGCCTGGCGGCGGTGCGTGACCCTATTTTGACACCCCTGCGGACTCGGCTCACCTGGCCGAGCCGCCGAGCCAGTGTAGGTGTCGCTTTCCTCCCACTCCCCTCGAAAGCCGCTGCCTGCCTGGCTGCCTGCCTGGCGGGGATGAGAGATGCCACCCCAGTGGTTCATGTGACCTCCCGCACCCCTTCCAACATCCCTCGCCCCTCCCTCTCGGTCTGGCGGTGTGGCGGTGCATTCTGTTGCTGTCTGCGTTTCGCCCAAGCGTGGCCGGAAATCCACCCCCCACCCCCACCCCTCGGCGCAGCCTCGTCCTGGAAAATTCATCGAGTCGGAGCCCCCTTTGGGTTCCATCCATACACTTTCCGTGAGTGCTATCGCGGCCCCCTCCCGCCCACGCCCGTGCCTCGGCGGGCGTGGCGGCGTGGCGGCGTGCGCGGCATGCCAATGGGAGGACAAGTTCGACGGGCCCCTCGATGGGCCCTGAGGGGGCGTGCCTAAAGTCGGGCCCCACTGCAAAACCTCCGACGGGGCCCTGCGTTTGCGGCGCTTGCAAAATTGGTCGCGGATTGCCCGGCCCTTGGGCAAGGGGCTGCGGCGGGCTGCCGCCTGTGGCCTTCCCGTCCAAAAGGCGCACACTCATGGCGTGGCCCGCGGGCATCGCGTGGCGGCGTTACGTGGTTGACGGACAGTCCCGAAACGGACGGCGCTGCTGGCGCTGCATTCCTCGCGGTTTTGTGACATAAGACTGAGTGCGTGGAGGGGCCGCGGGCGGCGGGCGGGCGGCCTCGGCGTCACGGACCGTCGCGGACCGTCCCGGTGCGGCCCAAGAGGGAGAGGACCGGCTGGGCTTGAACTTGGAGGACGCTCCACCCGGTGGGGCACTTTGCGCCTCACGGCGTGTCCCAATGGCACTCAGTTCAGTGCTCTCCACTCGACTCCGCGGTTCGTCTGGGCCAAGCCGCAGTGTCGCCGCGGGGCGGCTGGCTGGCTGGCTGGCTGGTCGCGGAGTGGCGGGTCGATCAGCAACAGCAGTCGTCCGGGCCGTGACCTCGCCGACGAGGAGTGCCAAGACAGAGTGCAGCATGCTGTGCATGCACACCGTGTGCACCGTGTGACTGAACCCGCGGGCCGCCGACCGCCGCACCGGTTTGAACGCGGTGGCGCTGCTGGAGGCCCTAGAGTCCTGCAAGGGCGCCCGCACCCCGCGTTGGCCTGCCGGGCTGCCGGGCTGAGTGGTCTGCGGCTGCTAGTGTATTCGTGCGTCACCTCGCGGCCTCTACGGATTCGATCTGCAAATATTGAGCCTGGTAGTGATTGGTTCGGGAGTGACGTCATCTCGTGACGCTCATTTTGACTGGTGACGTTGACACCGTGTCGCCTGTCCCCCGCCCCGCCGCTGGCTTCTGTTTGCGGGGTGTGGGTGGGCGTGGGCCGGGGCCGGGCCGGCCCCTGCAGTGGGTCCCCGCGGTGATGCTCGCGGGACCCAAGTCTTGAGCAACCGTGGCTCGGCTGTCTGTCTACCGCCACGGGGTTCCAGCGAGAGGGAGGGGAGGGGGGATCCTCTCCTTCTGATGACATAAATTAATCCCGCTGGAAGTTTCTGCAGCGCGGAGTTCCGCCTCGCGCGTCTTCGTTCCTCTCTTTTCCGAATGGAAACTCCGAGTTGGCTGCGGCGCGCGCAACCGCTTGGCTCGCCTGGCGCAGTCCCGAAACATTTTCCCGGGGAATCGTTGGTCGGCGCGACCGCAACACGCTCGCTCACTCCAGCGCCTCGCCGCCTCACGGCGCACCCCACCGCCGGGGCGGGGCGGGGCGGGGCGGGGCGGGGCCGGGTGGAAGGGCAGGTACTCGGCCACCCCGTTTCCGGAAACCATAGCGGAAAGGCGCTCGATCCCACCGGGGCTAGCCGGGGTGTGGAGTGCGTGTCGGTGAGGCAGAATGGAGGGGGGGGGGGGGCGCTAACCACCGCGCACCGCCGCGGCCGTGTCATGTCGGCCTAGCCGGCTTAGCCTAGCCGGTCGCACGTCGCGGCGCGTCGCCATATTCGCCTTGCCATTTTTTTCTGGTTTTGTTTTCCTCATCTCGTAACCGCGCGGCGGCTGGCGCAGTGGGCTGGGAGGGGTGCGGTGCGGCTGGGGGTTTGGAGCCCTCCCCGCGTCCCGCTCGACACGAAGCCCGCCCTGAAGCACGCCGCACTCCAGGTGCTGGCCCCGTGGCCGTTGACCGTTGACGCCGAGCTTGTCTGATGCGACTCCGCCACGCTTCGCTCCGCACGCTGCGCACATCGCGGCGGTTTCCGCGTCTCTATTAGCGTCCCGCGGCTCCTGGAATGTGTGGCGGTGCGGCGGTGTCGCGGTGGTCCGGCCGCCGGGTCACGGCCTTGGCGCGGACTTCCCCGGGGCCGCGTGTCTCGCTGGCCGCGCTCGCCGCCCTCCCCGCCCGCTCCGGGTGCTGTCGGCCGGGCCGCGTGGCGGTTGTTGGTGGTTGCGGCTGTCAAGCGGGACGACAGGCCGCGCGCTGCGCCACGGCACTGCTGCGCATGAAGTGAAGCCCCTGCCTGCATCGGAACGCCGTTGCAACGCCAACGCCGCGCGCCGCGCACGCCGTGATATGTGGGGTGGGGTTTCCCTCCGCGCCCCCTGCTGGCCATCATGTTGTCCGACGCAGGCTACCCCGTGTCATGCCCGGCGTTTCCTCTCCTGCCCGCTAACTGTCTGAGAAAAGAAATCATCCGGAAACGCGGTGATGCGCTGTTACCATGCATTACTGTAGCACGTGGCCGATGTGAGTTGACGACCCCTCGGCCCCCGTGGCGCGCGGCGTGTCTCTCCGCTCCGTCTCTCTCGCACCTTGTACGCGACTCCCACCTGTGCGAGAGAGACTAAAGCGACGAGAACGACTCTCGGGATGAGTCTGCTGCCGCTTCGCCGTTTCCCTCGCCGAGCTGCTCATGGCCGAGTTCGCAGTGGACTGGCTAGTCCGCGGGCTGCTAAGGCATTCCGCGCGGCGCCGCGACGCCCACGCCGAGGCAGGCCGAGGCAGGCTGCCCCGCGAATGGCTAATCCCTGCCGCCTGGCCGTCGGACTGCCGAGCCGAGAGGGCAAGGAAGAGGCATTGGCTTGTTCCCACGTGCCTTTGCTGCCCGCCCTAGCGCCTGCGAGGTAGCCTCCAGTCCGGCCCGCAGCACGCCGCTGCGGAGACGGTGGCCTACCTCGCCGTCTCCACGCTGGTGTGTTGCGGCACGGACTGGAGGCCTACCTCGCAGGCGCTGACGGTAGAAAAGAAGACGGACGAAAGAGGGGCTTACATTTCTGTTCTGTACGCCGCGACATACGCCTCCCGGCCGGCCGTCCCTGGAGCTGGGTCGGCCTGCCCGTCTCGCCTCTTGCGATTCTTCTCCAGGGA